ACCTGATCTGAACCGTACAAGTGCCCTTTCCCTGAATGTATTTCACTCAGTCTTGTTATATTTTCACTTAGATACCAGTCAACTTCAGTTGTGTTAGCTCACTCTGTTCTGATCGCTATTCACGATTGCTCCTTGTAGTACAGGGTGAATAAAAAAAAACGAAACCGAGATATTATTGCTAATTGTAACAGAAGTAGGGCACATGTGAATCAAAGGGAGATATCCTCTGTTAGGGTTGAATCTCCTCTTTAAAATGACACCCTGATCATGTCCTTTCATTCACGGTTGACTGAGCAGTGACCAATTTTATGTAAGGGACAATTTACAGGCTTGCGCCACTTTTCATGGTGAAATCTCTTTTTCCCCCACCTGCCTTGATTGGCAACCATAGCCTTTCACTCTGTGACAAATGACAATTAACACAAAAACCACAATTGGTTTAACAATTTTGAAGTTGAACAATTTTGCTCTGAACTAAGTCAAGGCACTAGAGGCGAAATATCATAGTGCACCTCTGGTACATCAATGGTATTGTTGATGTACCCCAACGTGACGCGGCCCCCAACGTGGCGCATTTTTTCGCCTGTAGCGCCTAGCTAGAGCAAACATTTTAACTGAAATTTCAAATAAAGTGACATTTCATCAAGTTCTAAACACTCCCGTTCATAAATCACAAGTTTATTTACCCGTTACAAAGTTAGAAGAAAAATCTATTTTGGCGTGATTTTCTGATTTTATTTTCAAGTGCAAAGTGAACCCTTTGAAAATGCCCCGAAAATAAGACAATAATTTTCTGACAATCATCTGGCTGGGTATGCAAGTAGAAATAATAATGATTTATCAGAATTTATCAAGTTAACAGAAATTCTGAAATGTTAATTTGGAATTTTTCGAGATTTATTTAAGTGCGCCACGTTAGGAAACACTCTGCGAATTCGTGCCCAATTTCCGGGCACGTTTTTGAATTTCGGATTAAATTTTATGAAACCGAAATTGTTCACAGAGGTTAAATAGCACGCATTAATAAGGTAAAAGTACTAGTAATTTACTGCATGAATTTGAGGTTTGTCAACAAAGAGGTTTGGCAACACTACACGAGGAAAGTTGGGTATAAGCTTCGAAGTGCGCCACGTTAGGGAACACGACTATATACCTGTACAGTTTCCATGGTTTCCATCAAGTAGTTTTTAGCATTCAACCTCAGGCTCTGTCTCGGGGAAAGAATGTCATGAATGTTGCAGCCCGACACCACTTTATATGGAGAGTCAACAAAATTTTTCTAAGGCCTAGGCCTAGACCCGTGAACATGGCGCAGTTTATACAAGCCACGTTCACGGGTTTAGCCTAGGGGAAAAGATCCATACTCGGACGTCAATTTATCTGCTGCCAAACATATTAATTGTCACCTCACCTTGTCATTTGAACCAAGAGAAATCCAGGAAGCTGTGTTAAGGTGAAAAAAATTTACTCAAAATGTGTTTTTAGAGCACATTTTGGATGCATACGTCGTGCAGAACAAACTTGAAGCAGCCGGTCAAAACTGATTGTAGCGGCTGAAAGACAGCGGTACGTTATACACGTGACATCAACAACCATGACGTCGCATGAGCCTGCCAATGATAGTGCAATACGTCATTATGAATATTTATTTTCTCATGAATATTTAGTTTATTTCAATGGATACTTCAAATACGTCCAAAGATTGTTTATTGCAACAGCGATCGTGCGCGGCCGAGCGGTTAAGAGTCTCGTGTATCAAGCAAGCGTCAGAAGTTCGAATCCCGATGAAGTAACTGACTGATTAATAAATAGAAATTAAGGAAAGGAGAGGGTGAGAGTAGAGGAGGGAAAGTGGAGGAATAACCATAAAAGATGTAACTTTTGGCGCTAGAAAATTAATTGAAAAAAGTGACGTCCGAGTACGGAATTTTTTCCTAGCCTAGGCCTATATAGGCCTAGTAATTCCTGACATTGACAAAATTAAGAAATTGGAAATGTTTCTCAGTCTCAGATACATGCCAATATCATCATTTATGCAATGACTGACCTTCACTGAGATGATATATGCAGAAAAAAAAGCAGCGTCAGGTTGTGCCAGGAAAGATTCCCATATCTGGCCATCACTTGTCACCCTGTGCACAAACCCTATAGGACTGGTCTGAAAATTACTAGGCCTAGGAGCCCGTCAGTGTTTTTCAGTAAAACTTCAAAATTTGTCCCTGCTAATTTTGCCTTTTTTAGGACATAATTACCACTTTGGTAAACATTACTGATGGCCAGATATGAGAATCTTTCCGGTTGCGACATTTTTTGCTGGAAGGAATTCTTCCCGCATTTTTACAAACCTCAATGTTCTTATTCCTCCATGATTTTACTAACCTCAGCTTCAGTCATGCCACTGTCACAAGTGACAGTGTACCGTGGAGTGTACTGTGTAGGCCAATGCCACAGCCGGCAGTCAACAATCGGAAGCAAGCCTGTCAGTTTTTTTTGAGTTCTTTGGTCTGCTCGTCTTTTCTCCTGCTTTCTTCTGGGCATCTCGTATGCTTTCTGTCGATTTTATATTTGTAACTTCTTATGGGCGAGTCTGAAATGGCAAATTTCATCCATGCTTGCAATGATTGTTTCCTGTGGAAACTACTCATGCTAGTGCTACAAGTTGCTCGATGTGGTGAAATCAGCGCAGCTAGCTAGCTAGCTGCAGGTGCCATACAATTAACAGCGCCCTCTTACATTTCCTGACGTCCTTGCCAGAGCGTTTTACCCAGGTGAATTCACTGATGAAATTTGACTTCGGCCTTTTTCAATGAAATTTCAGGCAAAAGTTTTGTTCTATAAAACTTGCAAGGCACGAGGGGCCACTAGGACATCAAATTTCATCAAGCTAGTTCCGTTCATAATTCATGAGTTTATACAATTTACAAAGTTGGCAGAGAAATGATTTAGGCGCGAGTTTTATGTGTCTTGAACACCCTCAGAGAGTTTCTAAGCATACTTTATTGGGCGAGTAAAAAAACGAGACCGCAGATGTCGGGACCATTGTTTAAGTGAAGTTCTAAATGCAACACTTTCAAAATCTAGGATATGAAAGCCCACTTCATAAGCTTAGTACAAGAATCATTCAAATCACTTATGTGCTTTTCAAGTTATGGAATTTTGAACACAACTACCGTTTTGAAGTTCTGTCCACGGATCACGCAAAAGGTGTGCGTTCTTTCAGCAAAGCGAAACACAAATCCCCATGCTCTCACTGGTCGCTGCCTTTTTGCCTCGTGTTGCAGTTCTTGGCCCCATAGCTTTTTAATTTTAGCAACAAGTGTGACAGACCGCCAATAATAATTGTCTAATATGCAACTAATCCTAGCAGGCTTCGGTCTGATGTGAACTGCATTATTTTGTCTCTCTCTCTCTTTTCCTTATCTTTTTGAGTCTCGCTCTCCCTCTATATATCTTCTTTTTTTAAAGGAAAAAAAGGGGGCGGGGAACGCACCCCCACGCCACCCCCTGGATAGGGTATATGGTATACGTTTGCATAAACTTGTTTAAATATACCGCTCAGATTTTGTTTTGTTCTTAACAGGAAACTCATGCTTGCAGTAAAACCTCAGATTTCAAAAAGAATTCTGTAAAAATCTAGAAAGTAGAAATTGTTTAAAACAAAATCCTGATATCGGTTCAAGTCTGCTTTGGCCACACAATGAAGCTTAAAAGCTCAGCGCATTTACAAAACTGTGATGGGGCTGTATCTCACATGGTGCTAGGTGCAGGGTTCGACTTAAATGGTAGCCCGTTATTAGCCAAATGCTAGTCAAATCAGCAACGGGCCTGGCCAGTCAAAAAATACACGAATTGGGATACAGCAAAGATGAGAGGACTGTAAGAAACACAAATCACTGAATTCTGGAGGCAAATCTGTATCAAATTTTGTCTAATTTTATTAACTGTTTTGGGTTAAAAGATTAGATATTTTCATGAAAAACAGTGACAAGATTGTCTCAGGATACACGTTATACATGTCTGCACATTGTTTATGTGACACTGTATCAAAGAAAAACATGCGGACTGGTGAAAATGTCTACTGGTTTCTTAGTTAAGAGTCTGCTTCAGTATACCGGCTGCAGAGTTGTGATGACTCGAGTCAATGACTCGACTCGAGTCCGACTCGAGTCACAATTTTTGGTGACTCGACTCGACTCGAGTCCCCTAAGGGTAAATGACTCGACTCGACTCGAGTCACTGCGAGCAAATGACTCGACTCGACTCAAGTCATTCATAAGAAGACTCGACTCGACTCGAACGAAGGCTAATAAGACTCGAGTCCCAAAAATAAAAGCACAACTTTGCGAAAAGTATTTGCAATGACTTATGGTGCAACATTTATGCTCACTTTGCTTTGCGAATTAGTCATGTATAAATATACAACGTGTCACAGACTCCCACCTCATGGTTCTAGAACGCACACAATACTATCCAGGAACCAGATTTTTCGCTTCATCAAATTAGGTTTGCCCTTCACCGACGTATAAACATTGTTTACTCAGTGTGTTACCTCCCGAGTGAAAGTTGGAAAAAATCACTCGGTTGGGACTCGATGTCTTACCACTCGACCGAGCTAACAGGATTGGTTGGCTGGTTCGAATCTGATATACATAGCAGCGGGTACCGCATCAACTATTATAAGATGGAATTTTGCGTTGGGGTGATATAAATCAAATTAGTTTGCCCTTCACCGACATATAAACGCATATCATCCCGACGCAAAATTCCATCTTATAATAGATTTTTCGCTGTTTCATCATTGGCTTTAGGCGATTTCTTATAAAGCTCTTGGATTCAAACACTGGCTAAACTTATGGCCTCCTTGTATAAATTGTGGTATATAGTGTTCAAATATTCGTGACTCGAATAGACTCAAGCTAAATATTTGACTCGACTCTACTCAACTTGACCTTTCGACCTAATGACTCGACTCGACTCGAGTCACTTCTTTAAAATGACTCGACTCGACTCGAGTCACAAAAATCAGTGAGCTTGCTCTAGTATACAGCTCCGCAGAACATGCCTCCCCTGTCTGGTGCAGAAGCACACATACCAAGAAGCTGGATGTCATCCTCAAGGACACCATGAGGCTAATCACTGGATGCCTTCGACCTACACCCGTGAAGCTCCTCCCAGTGCTATCCGGCATTGCCCCCCCAGCGCTCCGCAGAGAACATCATATGCACGTGCTGGCGGAGAAGGCCTCCCAAGATGACAATCACATTCTGCACGAGTGCATCAAGGCTGCTGAAGATCTCGGCAGAAAACGTCTCAGCTCTCGTCACCCCTTCGGCCGTCATGCAGTTTCCCCCGAGTGTTCCAACTTCAACCTCATGGAACAATGGGAAAGCAACTGGCAAGAGACTGAGAGACCAATCCAGTTCGCCACCTGTCCGAGTACTAAACTTCCACCAGGTGCTAACCTCCCCCGCAGAGATTGGGTCACTCTCAATCGCCTGCGCACCGGGGTTGGACGTCTCAATGCCAGCATGCACAGATGGGGCTTGAGCCCCTCCGCGGCCTGCGTATGTGGTACCCCTGAACAGACTGCACACCACATCCTGTTTGAGTGCCCGGACCTCGGACCGCCTGGAGATCTCCACATAGATCTTACCAACCCAACCCCGGAGACTGTCACATGGCTACATCAGCTGCACGAAATTGTATAGTGGTCAGCAAATCATACGAAAGAAGAAGTGACTCATTACATCTCTGACCGGCTGGCTAGTGAAAAAAAGTTAAGGTCGAACCCTGGCCATGTGAACTTGAAAGGGGAAAGTTTCAGGGTCCCAGCTGTTGAGTGCTTGCAAGAGTCTGTGATCCATAGGTTTTCTTTGTTGCCTTGTCTTTTTGAACGAGACCAATGACTTGGTCTATGTCACAGATGGCGTCTAGCATGCCCTCAGTGTGATCATTCTGCAGTGCAAAGTCTTGCAACTTGTCCAGGTGTAGCATGGCCTCTGCAATGGAGACAGTAGGGCGAGGGGTTCGGGATTCAACATCATCTTCAACATTGTTAACTTCTGCTACGCTGGAGGACACTGCACCTAGGATGGCATCATCGGAGAGCCCCGTGGTGCATCGAACATCTGCGTCAACTGCGGCGTAAGATTTGAGCGTTGTTTCCCATGGAATATCCATCCCCGTATCTCTCAGTTGATCAAAGAGGTCCTTGTCTTCAGTGGCTGCGTTGATGTCAACGTCAGGCTTAGCTGTTTCGATGTCCAGGACGGTAGCGGTCCTTTTTCTCTCAAAGCCAGCAAGTTTAAAGCAGTGGGAGATGGTAGTGTCCTTGACCATCTTCCAGGATTTCTTGAGGAGAATCATAGCATCCAGCACGGTGGGGTTGTACTTCTCCTTCCTGTCTACTGCTGCAAGGAATGATGTGATGAGTTGGCGGCGGTAGTGCATTTTCAAGTTTCGAATGATACCTTGTTCCATAGGCTGGAGATTGGCAGCTGTAAGGGGGAAAGGAAGACTAGAGTGACGCTCTTCAAACCAGTGATGTGGGGATGTGCAGGACAGCTGTCGATGACTATGGCGATCTTTCGGTTTTTCTTTTGGCACATTTTGTCGATATTACGAGCCCATGCTTCAAAGATGTCGGATGTCATCCATGCTGTTTTGTTTGCCTCATACAGCGTTGGTAGCGACTTCACGTTAGCCAAACACTGTGGCTTCTTTGTGTTGCCAATGACAAGCAGGGGCAGTTTTTCGCTTCCGTCCATGTTGGCGCACACCATGGCAGTCAGACGTTCTTCGCTTCTCTCACCGCCATTGCAGGCCTTCCCCTTGAATGCGAGCAATCGGTCAGGAAGAAGGCGGTAAAAAATGCCGGTCTCATTGGCATTAAAAATGTTCGACGGTTTGTACACTACCAGGAGTGGACTTAGGTCAGTTGTCAACCAATCTTTCACCATTTGATGTACTCTAAGTTGGCTGGTACTTGACAATGCTTTCCTTTCATCTGATAGTCCGGCAGCACCTGCTCTAGCAACCACATTGAAGGAGACATTGTTTCGCGCTTTAAAAAGATCCAACCATCCATCACTTACAGTGAAGTTGGGAAAGCCCAACTTCTTGGCAAGGGATTTTGCCTTTTCTTCTAAGATCTGCCTTGTCACAAGAATGTTCATGGCTTGTGCAGCCTTGCACCACATCAGGACAGCTTCTTCTACCTGTCTTGCTTGAATCAGACATTGCTTTCGGAACTGCTCCATCACCATTCCCTTTTTCCTCATTATTCCATTCAGTTCCGATATGGAAATTCCCCATTCCGCAGCGATGTCGGTCCTGTTTTTCGTGCCGCAGTTCTCAACTTCTTCGATAAGATTGACCTTATTGGCAATTAGCAAGGTGTCCAACTTACTGGCCGTTTTCCCCGCCGTCGCTGATTTGGCACCTGTAGTCTTACCCCTGAGAAATATATCAATGTAAAAGGATGCCTTGTTTAAAGTTTTAAAAAAGAATTAAGTGCTGTATCCTCAAATATTGCTGTGCCAACATGTCCACTGCACTATTAACGAACGACTGGGTCTGATTGGACAGTGGTAGCAAAATCAGGCTAACTCAAAATCCAGGCGCGCGGCACCCTCAAAGGTCTCCAATGAAATCACATGGCCCCGCAAAGAGCCAGAAATAGGCTGTGATTGACCTGCCGGTGTGCAGGCTACCATTGGGCCAGCAGCAGCGATCAGGCCAACTTGAAAGCCAGGATTTGTTGTGATTCAGGCAGGTTATTGCAAACTGTCCAATTGCAATGGCAGCATGCACAGTGTCCCAGTTAGCCACGCCCTCAGACAACCCAATGGAGTTTTTGTAAACTAATTTTTTTTGTCTCAGATTTTTAGCGTTCCGCGTGCATCTGTATATCATGTAATTGGACAATATTTCACAAGCTGCGTTGACGTGATTATGCAATAGGTCAATTCTGGCTAAAAGTAAAACACGAGTCCTTTCACAAATCCAGTCACAAGTAACAGAGGAGTCCTATTGTCACAATTCATTAAAGGGAATATACATCATTTGCTTTTGCTGTAATTTTCAGAAATGGATGGAATTGGGGGGTTGGAAATATAAAGCAAATATAGTTACACTGACTTTTTGGAGGTTTTGGGTTCGAAAATGCTATAAAAACCAAGAAAAACGATCATTTTCCTGTAGTCTGGTTCCCTGACTCCATATAAGAAGAAACAGAGCAGTTTACATACATTGGGGAATTGTAAGGTCAGGGAACCAGTCTAGCTGGCTCGTACCCGTTCATAGGTTTGTAATCGATTGCAAACAAGTGCAATGGTCAGCGTTGGAAATTGATACAAAAATACCACTTTTCTTGAAAATGACAGTATACCAGGTGCCATAATTTTACAGGATGCTTTAGACTGTCATTTACCAACATCCTGTTAAGGTATTTCGCAAAAACTTGGTAGTTTTATTTTTTGATGTTTACAAATGTTGTATATTCCCTTTAAAAAGCATGTGACTTGACTGAAGGACTTGTGATTGACTTGTGATTGACTTGTGACTGACTTGTGATTAACTTGTGATTGACTTGTGAGGGCCTTGTGAGGGACTTGTGAGGGACTTGTGAGGGACTTGTGAGGGACTTGTGAGGGCTTTGTGAGGGATTTGTGATGGACTTGTGAGGGACTTGTGAGGGACTTGTAATGGACTTGTGAGGGACTTGTGATGGACTTGTGAGGGACTTGTGAGGCACTTGTAATGGACTTGTGAGGGACTTGTGAGGGTCTTGTGAGGGACTTGTGAGGGACTTGTGATGGACTTGTGAGGGACTTGTAATGGACTTGTGAGGCACTTGTAATGGACTTGTGAGAGTCTTGTGAGGAACTTGTGAGGGACTTGTGACGGACTTGTGCGGGACTCGTGGGGGACTTGTGCGGGACTTGTGAGGGACTTGTAAGGGACTTGTGAGTGGCTTAGGATGGACTTGTGACGGACTTGTGAGGAAATTATGAAGAAATTGTGAGAGACTTGGTAGGGACTTGTGAGGGAATTGTGATGGACCTGTGCGGGACTTGTGCGGGACTTGTGAGGGACTTGTGAGTGCAATGTGAGTGGCTGAGGAAGGACTTGTGATGAACATGTGAGGGACTTGTGAGGGACTTGTGAGGGACTTGTTGAGGGACTTGTGAGTGCATTGTGAGTGGCTGAGGAAGGACTTGTGATGAACTTGTGAGGGAATTGTGCGGGACTTGTAAGGGACTTGTGAGTGGCTTAGGAAGGACTTGTGACGGACTTGTGAGGAAATTATGAAGAAATTGTGAGAGACTTGGAAGGGACTTGTGAGGGAATTGTGAGGGACTGGTAAAGGACTTGTGAGGGACCTGTGAGGAACTTGTGAGTAGCTTGTGAGGGACTTGTGATGGACCACTGTGGTTTCATATAAGATTGATTTAAAACCAAACGAGATATTTAAAACGAGACTCACTGGGGCAAGTCTTCCTCAGCTGCTGGGAAGCAGACTCGCTTGGGTTGTGGCTCATCGATGGTGGGCTCCTGCTGGGATTGCTTGCGCTTCTCTGGTTCTTTCTGAAGGATGGGGCAAAGGGAAGTTTAAGTGTGAAATTTAGACACATTCAATAAAGTGTCTTCCCCTTCAATGTAAATTCAGAGTGTAAATCCTACCAATGACACAACTTATGCTCTGTTTTAGGAAATTCAACTGTTTTTGAACTTCTCACTTTTAATGCACAAATGACATGGCGTCTCTATGCAAACTTGAAATCTGTTCAAGAAAAAAGCCTACTTTGTCCCAACCCAAAAATACGGCTCATCAGGCCACTCTTTTCATTGTCTGGTTTTGTGTGAAATGACGAACAGAGTTCCCTTCAATGAGATTCAAGTCCATGGCAGATTACTCCCCAACAAAAAGCAGGCATCAATTTATGCTCCTGGGTTGAGAGAGGCAAGTTGGGGGAAAGGGGGGGGGGGGGGGAGACGACCCAATACATGTATACAGCCAAAAGCTGGATTTGAACCCTGACCTCATATGGCCAACACACTCACCACTAGGCCACTCTCCCCACCCACCTCCGAGTGAACAGGCAAAACATCAGCTTTGAACGGACTGTGAATTGAATGCCATTTTTTCCGTGCCTGACTAACCTGTTTCTCTTTGTCCTCTAGTTTTTTCTTCTTTTTGTCCTTTTTCTTCTTCTTTTTCTTCTGTTTCTTCTTTTCTGTTGTAGGGTCCGACTCAGGTCTTGCGATGTAGTCATTGTGATCCACCAAGCTGACATCAATAGTGGGAGTAGGATTCTATCAGTTTATACCAATTAAAAAGGTTAAAAAATACAAGAAGTTAAACTTGTACGATCCCCTGGCATGCTGTCAGTATTTATACAGCCAGTCAGTTAGCACACTTTTCAGTTGACCTATTACCGAAGTCAACAATGACCTCATTTGACCCCACACATCATCATCATCATCATCATCCGTGTCCATCATGGGGGATGTTGAACCGCCCAGACCAAGCGATCAGATGCAGACTGCCACAGCTGATGTGCACGTGTCTTGTGGTCACCTTCTAGCTGGCACACCCAGGTGTTGCGAGGTCGGCCCCTGGGTCTCTTCCAGCCCCAGGCCTATACCTTTGACCTCAAACATCTCAAGTCATATAAAGTCCCCCTACCTAAAGATTATTGTCACCAGGTTTGGAGAAGTCTGACTTATGACATATGACAGCACCAACAGTTAACCTAACCAAAATGGAACATACATACATACATACACACCCAGGGTTGTTTATGGTGTACCTCTATTGTTCCTCTTCCCTTTTCCTTTGTTTACACACTATTTTTTTTTGCAACAGCTCTCATTGGTTTTGTACACATTTTCTAATCATGGTCGTCCTCGATTTGGTTCCTGTCCTCAATTCATCGATGATGTTGCACATGTGTCTTCGATTTACACCGTTAACGCGCACACCCACCCACACCCAGCTCGCTTTTACTATACTCATGAGGACCTACCCCTTTCCTTCCTTTGTTCCCTTTTGCTTGTACTTTAACTTTTACTCCACAGCTTCCATTTAAAGGTTTGACTCGAGTCAAGTCAAGTCATTAGGTGAAGAAGGTCAAGTCGAGTCAAGTCAAATATTAGATTGAGTCAATTCCATTCACAAATATTTTCCAAAATTTATAAAGGGAGGGCATGCATTTAGCCGGCGTTCGAATCCAAGAGCTTTATAAGAAATCACCCAAAGCCAAGGATGAAACAACGAATTAGAAAATGGAATTGGAAAATGTGTTTAACATCCAGTTCCTGGACAGTATTTTGTGCGTTCTAGAGCCATAAAGTGGGAGTCTGTGACTCGAGTCAAGTCGAGTCACCAAAAATTATGACTCGAGTCGAGTCATTGACACAAGTCATTACAAATCTGTAAAAATGCACAATTTGCACAAATGTGCGTCAGAGCAGTGGACAAACAGCACTGAAGGGATTACTTACATGGGTCAAATTCCGTTTCCAAATGTCTTCGCCCCCGAACTTCTTCTTATCCTGAAAACAATAATGAACAACAGTCCGTCTTGAGAAGAAAGTCCTTTCCATCACGATCTCTAAAATGCACATCAATTTTGACACTTGACAAAAGTGGAAAACTGTTATGACATCGATGCGACACTGCATGGTTCGACTTCCAAACAAGTTTATTACTGAAGGGATTACTTACACTAGCCAATCGGATTGAAGGGATTACTTACACTGGCCAATAGCATTGAAGGGATTACTTACACTGGCCATTCGGATGCACGTTCTGAACAAACACTTCTGTCTCCATTTGTTCTGGCCCCCAAACTTCGTCTTATCCTGAAAAAAAATTATGAACAAAATTCCCCCTTGAGAAAAAGGTCCTTTCCATCACGATCTCTGATATGCACAACATTTTCACATTCAACAAAAATTGGAAAGCTATTATGATATACAAATATTGAATGCTTCGAGTGGTGTAGTAAAACTAGCCTCCCGAGGTGATCCATGGACATTCTATTTTCCCAAGGCGAAGCCGAGGGAAAATAGAATGCTCTATGCATCAACGAGGGAGGCTAGTTTTATTTCACCACGAGATAAAGCATTCAATATTTGTTTTATAACACTTCACCCACATATTCTGCTTGGTTTTAATATTTTAAATTATTTAAATCTGAACACAGGTGAAATAAACTTCAATTTCAATACAAAATTGGTGGAAAATGTATTTCTCTCTTCCAAACTACCCCTTCACGAAATGTTTGAACCCAAGTCTGCGGCGCGCTCTCTTTGGAACAATACGCCCTACGCGCAACGCGCACACCAGCATCATTTTGCACACAAATACCGCGCTGTGGAAATAGTACTTTGGTTGCTAATGGTATAGTACTTTGGTTGCTACGGGTATAGTACTTTTGGCCGTACACAGAAAGATAGCAAAATTAGAAAGTAACATGTGACTCGCTCTCGGCCAATCAAGACACAGAATCTGTGGGTGAGGTGTTACAACATCTGATATGACACTGCATGTTTGGATTTACAAATAAGCTATCACTTTGTACTTTGGAAAACAGACGAAAATCTCAAACACTTCTAAACATTCACACACTTATAACTTATAATTAACGACAACAATTTACATTGTTATGATGTCTCAACAGCATTATCAATCGTAACACTAATGAGAATGGCACAATAAACAAAACTAGCTGCACTTACAAGACAGAAACTACACTTTCCACAGTCGTCGACAACCTTGCAAGGCTCACACTGACCGCATGGGAATCGCCTTTGTTGCCTCTGATGAAAGAAAAGGGGACGATAATAAGATCAAAGCAGTCAGTGGAGCAAATACTAATGATAACTCTTATTTTACCAGGACAACCCAATCAGTTGTGTGAGAACTGTTATCCCCAACCCAATAGTAAATGAAGGCATTAGTTCAGCAGTTTTCAGATATGGTCATAATTCTGTCTTGTAAACGAAGAGTAAATTGTGTTTTAACCCCAACTCCCTAGGCATTTTTGCTAGGATGTAGCCTCAATCCTGCAAAATCCTCCAATTGGCCTCATGGAAAAATAGCATATAGCCTCAATCCTGCAAATTCCTCCGCTATTTCTTGAATATGGTTCATGGAGGGATGACCACTGCCTGAATCCTGCAAAATCCTCCGGCTATGTCTGTCAATAGGCTGAGGCAGAGGCAGTGACATCCTGGAGCAGTGCGGAGGATGTCAAGTATAATCAAGGACTAAATTTATGCACGGCTGAGCATAAACAACACAAGGTCCGGCCCAAGACCTTGACACAGTGCGTACTCCGAAATCAGCAACGCACTTTTGCCATGTAACCTCAATCCTGCAAATTCCTCCAATTTGCAAAAAGGATTTTGGAGGATTCAGGGCGGTTAGGGTTAAAGGGCATATAGTATACACATTTACACTGGCAATGAGGTCACTAGTGCACGTCTATGCGCCCCGAGTGAATGTGAGTGACCAGAAGAGGGTCCTATTTCCCGACGTGCCATTGACTATGTGACCCAATTATGCCAGTCCATATTTTATTACACACCTCTGTCCAAAATATAAAGTAAGAAAAGAAATGTTCTGGCTTTTATAATTGAAATGTTTTAATTCAACAGTTAACTTGTAAGCAATTCAACTATCATGAATTAAAGGAACACTTTCAGTTTCCTAGATTCAGTTTTTGAGTTTGAGTTTTTGAGAGGGTGCTGTCATATGGCAAAAATGTAGAGTATAGTGGGCACTATAGATGGAATTGGGGGGTTGGAAATGTATAGAAAATATAGTTACACTGACTTTTTTGAGGTTTTTGGTTCAAAAATGCTATAAAAACCAAGAAAAACAATCATTTTCCTGTAGTCTGGTTCCCTGACTCCATTTAAGAAGAAACAGAGCAGTTTACATACATTGGGGAATTGTAAGGTCAGGGAACCAGTCTAGCTGGCTTGTACCCGTTCATAGGTGTGTAATCGATTGCAAACAAGTGCGATGGTCAACTGGGGCCAGTATTTGAAACAAAAGCCAGTTTTTTCCAACGCTGATCGGCCGATCAGCGTTGGAAATTGATACAAAAATACCACTTTTCTTGAAAATGACAGTATACCAGGTGCCATGATTTTACAGGATGCTTTACACTGTCATTCACTAACAGTCCAGCAAGGTATTTCAAAATGATTCGGTAGTTTTATTTTTTGATGTTTGCAAATGTTGTATTTTCCCTTTAACTGAGGCTTTCGGTTCAAGCTGCAATAAGCAAACCTAGAGTAAGTATGCTTAAAAAGATTTTCATCTCACCACTGCTGTCCCTGTTGCCTTGATGGCCTCCTCCTCCTGCTCGGCCATGTCCTTGCCTGCCTCTTCCTCTTCTGCATTGAGCTTTGATATTGCTGTACCGAATATACAAAACGCATAACATTTGATTATCAACCAGACATTCAAACAGCTTTTTGGTGGTTTGAATATTTAAAAACAAAAACCTACGCACATACACACACGACTGTCATGTTATTTTACCTGTTTCGGGGGATTTCGGCTGATTCACGATACCTCCATATTGAAAAAGTTGGGGGATTATGATGGATTCAGGACATGAAGCCTAGTGGTACTGCAGGATTTTGATGTATTCAGGATACCTCCAGATTGAGCAGTTGGGGGACTTTGATGGATTTAGGATCTCAACAGATTTACTCCCGGCTAACTGGTGGATTCTGATGGACTCACTGGCACTCAATTGTTTTTGCATGGCAAAATGGATGGATTTTGGCAGATTCAGGATACTTTCTTGTAAATACATGTATATCCAAGGGGTTTGGGTTAAAGTGACTTGCAAAGTATGCAACAATGTAACTTGCAAACAAAAATAAATGCCTAACTTCAAAGCTTCCCTTTTTTGATGGTGCAAGTTACGACATAACGGGACGGTTTCACTGGCAGATCAAAATCGTCTTACAGCCGATCAATGCTGAACATAACAGGCTTAAAGCCAGAAAACCTGGAGCCAATTTCATGGCGCTGCTAAGCACAAAAATTTGCTTAGCACAAAAAAAGTCTGGCTTATAAAAGTAGGTTACCAGCCAAAACTCTTGTGATTAGTATTCAGCTGTTGTTTGCTTATCATGCAAATCCCATGGAGTTTTGGCTGGTAACCTGCTTTTATAAGCCAGACTTGTTTTGTGCTAAGCAAACTTTTGTGCTTAGTGAAATTGGGCCCTGATAAGTTTCTACTCACAAGCGCATGGTGGGCATGTATTTTTGATGATGCGATTAGAGGCATCTCTTCCTATGCCACTGCAGTCCCTATGGTACCACTCATGACAGTATTCACAGCATCTGGGGAAAAAAACCAAAAAAAAAACAAACACCATTTGATTTAACTCCAGAACCTTTAAGTCTATTTACACAATCCAAATGAATCCTAGAACAATAAGGTGTGACACTCACTAAATCAAAACGTCAGATTCTAGGTCTGAATCTGATCACATAAAAGTAAATCAAATTAGGTTATGCCCTGCACCGACGTTTAAACACTGTATACTCAGTGTGTTACCTCCTGAGTGAAAGTTGGAAAAAGGTAAGCTGCCATGAATACGAACTTTCACTCGGGAGGTAATGTTGTGCCCATTCTTGAAAATCACGCATTCTCGAGAATGGGTATGCACATTCTTGAGAATGTGCAACTGGATCCTTGCTCAATCTTGGCAAAAAATTACTCTTCCAGATTGAGCGCACATTCTTGAGAATGCGCGACAAGATAACTGTCTTGTCGATGCCAAGCACCGGCTGCGCTTGGCAAGTCTAGCTGAATCCTCGTTCACTGATTCTTAATAATTATACTGTTGCAACGCAAGGCGCTGAAAAGTAGAGTGGATATGAAAAGTATACGCGTATTGGGGGAGGGGACCGGGGGAAAAAATAAGAATAAATAAGAAAGAATTCAGATTTTTGGGATAATAAAAGAGGGGGGGGGGGACGTAAGAATGAAGAATGTGAAGAATGAGAATGAATACTGCGACATCCCATAGTGCTAATGCTATTTCCCATTTAAATTGCACCAATTTATTGTTCACACCCCACCATAACGTCGCAGAGCTGGATTCTATCTAGTCAAAAGAGCAATTTTGGCAGCTTCTGGACATCGTTTTTTTCTCGTGGCACGCATATGATACATACAGGGACTTGTACTTGTCTAGCCTAAACAAAGCACTTCCCAGACTAGTTCCCAGTCCTCCGTTATTACAAAACTTCCATAAGTAGGCAGGAAAAAGCAATAATAACAGGTTTAATATGATTCAAATTATCGTAGTTATACGAGTACAGAAGCATAGAACATTTTCTTTCCTCTTTATATGAATTGTTTCCCTTTTAACCGCTATACAATTCATTTAACATAATTATGTCGTGCAATGTTTGTTAAGATTGGGCAAAATTCATAAATTGTGCACGTGATATTCCCACCCAATCTTAAGAATGAGCGCTCATTCTTAAGAACGCGTGCTCGTTCTTAAGAATGGGCGCTCATTCTTAAGAATGCGCGCCCATTCTCGAGAATGCGTGATTTTCAAGAATGGGCACAACAGTAACACACTGAGTATACAGTGTTTAAACGTCGGTGCAGGGCAAAACCTAACTTGACTTATATCACCCCGACGCAAAAAAAAAATTCAATCTTATAATAGTTTATGCGGTACCCGCTGCTATGTACATGTACATCAGATTCGAACCAGCCAACCGATCCCGTTAGCTCGGTGGCCGAGTGGTAAGAAATCTGCACTAGAAAGCAGGAGGTCGTGGGTTCGAGTCCCACCCGAGTGATTTTTTTCCAACTTTCACTCGGGAGGTAACACACTGAGTATACAGTGTTTAAACGTCGGTGCAGGGCAAAACCTAATTTGACATAATAAGTAACAAATTTGTAAAAAACTCAAACAATAGATTTTAATGATATTAGGTTCCTGGGTTTCACTTATTGGAAATGTTTCACTGGGTTGGCTTATTTTCCTAATGGCCTAATCAAGCAAGACGCTTGAAAAACGGGAGTTCTGAAGCATTTACAAGGATGATCTGTAAAGTTAAACAAAGAAATACGGTGGAATGCCGCAAACATCGAACATCGCGGATCCACAGAAATTGTTCGTAAAAGCGATCGTTGGGAATAGTGATTTTAAGCCGCCGGTGTTCCAGTACTCACTTCACGCTGCACGCCCTGGTAGTTACCGACAGACGACTTTGAACGTGTGCAGACGATTGAATTGAATTGAACGTAATTACAGAGTTTTTGAGCTTACTACCAACAGGGTAAACAAACAAACAACAATCAACCAAGAGCAATCATATCAGTGATTGCTGTCGAGCTTCATCACCCTATCCATGTAACAGTAGACGGACCACCAGCGCAGGATCATCCCTGGGTTTGGATGTGCCACTACACCAGCAAGAACCGTCTAGGGAGTTTACAGGGAAGATTTATCTTCTTTGATAAAAATACTCACATCATAAATATTTTCCTACTAGTGGAACAGCATACAATGCAGTTCATATACTCCCTGCTAGCATTCATCATTCGGAGGAGGTTGTCGCCCTTGGTCTCATTGCCCACGTCATTGTCTTTGTCCTTCGTTTTCATCATTCTGAGGAGGCTTCTGGACTTGGCCTTCCCCCTTGGCCTTCCTTGGCCTTCCTCCATGCCGCAGTGTCTAGGCTCCCAAGATTTACTGCCGGTGGTGTCCTTGTCTTTATCCTTCTCTTTGACCAACATTTACATCATTCTGGAGCTTGAGACCTCAGCTTTCCTCCATGGCAGGTAGGATCCGGCTATCTTATCTCGCTGTAAAACACAAAGGAAAAATGCACAGTAACTTTTACAACTTCAACAAACTTCAGGGACAGTAATTGTATATTAAGGTTTGCAGAGGGGTCATTCGTTGTCAAATCACCTCCAAAAATTGAAGTTTAAACCCCACCCACTTCAAATTGGTTCATATTTAATGTAGACCCTATGGGGTAAGAGAATGAAAAGAATGAAATTTTAAGTTTTAGCGCCATTGGACAAGCTTTTTTGCGCTACCGCCAGCCAATTGCGTGGAAATATCGTTCAAAATATTCCACTGACATCGATCAAGAAAAAAACAAACGGGCTGAATCATTTTCGTGAAATTTCATGTTGAAATTTTGATATGCAAACGTGTGCAAATGAATCTGGAAGTTTCAAGAAAATTTGACATCTGAAAAAGGCAGCACGGTTTGCCTATAAGAGCAAGAGGGTGAGTATGCTTCTTGTTCTAGCAAAAATCAACTACAAACTAAGCCTAGGCCTAAATGCGAAAATCAAAATTTGACAAAGTTCGACATATTTTTGTACATGGTGGAAATGTGGCCTTATTTTCTGGAGGTAGTCCAGTGAATTGGCCACATTTATGGGGCTAGTTATAGGTTGACGCCGCCAGTTGACGCTTGCTGCGCTGACGCATTACTGAGGACCCACACGATTTGATATGAAAAGACTGTGTTTCCGACACTACCCATGACCGAGTATTCCTCCATGGTATAACCTTTCGTCTCGATAGCAGAATCTCGCTTGGAATTTTTGTTGGCAAACTTTCCGAATTACTTTTTATTAATCAAGTAATCTGCTGGAAGTGTTGTATACAGGTGAAACAGGTATACATACCGGCGAAGGGCTGGTTCTGATTGCGAATTTTGCGGCGACCCTTCTCAACGTCGAGTTTGTGTCATCAAATGAACAGCGCCCTCTTTCCATTTTCTCATGTCCTTGCTAGAGAAAAGTTTTACCTAGTCCCTCAGTCAATTTCACTGCAAGTCAAATTTCATCAAACTATTCCCGTCCATAAATCTTGAGTTATCTACCCGTTACAAAGTTGGCAGAAAACGATTTTGGCGTGATTTTCCGATTTTAATTCGAAGTGCAAACTTGTTATTTCTGACAAACTCAAATCCGGTAGTATACAGTATGCAGAGTTTGTCACAATAATTTGGGATTTTCCGAGATTTAGTCAAGACTTAGTGCGCCTTCGTTACTCCGATGTTGCGTCCAGTTCGGACGCCACCAGTTTTAAATTTCGGACTAAATTTCATGACACTGATTTTCTACAAACAGCAAGCATTAACTAAAGGTAAAAGTATGAACGAATTAAAAGTAATTTGGCAACACTTTTTAAAATTTGGCATGAGGAAAAGGTCGGGCGAAACTTCGAATTGCGTCACGTTGAAGCAGTTGCAAAATAAAAGATGATAAACAAAGCTTTAATTTGATGTGTGTCTTGAACACCCCAGAAAGTTGCGAGTATTTCTTCTGAGTTCCTGAAGCAGGGTCATTTATCACAGGGTGCATCCTGTTCTCCGTCCTGCCCGTAAGCCTAACCCTTTCCAGCTCCTCAATAAACCAAACTGCTTAGTCAGGTGGCATTATGGTCGGAATCGTGACCGACTGGTCCAAAGCACCAAACTTGGCAGATAGATTCTTATAGCCCTAGAGAAGATATTTAGAAGGGGTGACACCTGAAGTTCTTTTGGGAAGGGTGCCTAATTTACATAAAACGTTAATCCCTGCCGTGTAATATTTTTATTTTCTATTTTTTTGAAAAGTGTATTTTGGTGATTCTACTTGCATATTCTTACTTAAATAACATTTTCATACAAGTGACTGAATAATTAGGAAGACATAGTAAAGAACCAAAATTGCTACTATTTTACCCTAAAGTCGCGCGCATTTACCTTTTTCTCAGATATCATCAACTATAGTCTCGCCAAACGTGGGTACTGATGAGCTTCAATTCACAAAGTTACTTACTGGCATAGTTTACCCTGACAAAAATAGTGGGAAATCGTGTAAAAATTGATAACATCTTGATGTTTAGCCCAAAAGACCAAAAAGGGGGAGAAAATGTGGTGTCCATAAATTGGGCTACTAGGGGAAGGGTAATGTGGGGACTTGAGCAAGTTCAACGAAATCCCCCAAATAAGAGATTATTGTTGTTTACAATAAAACGTTTTCTCAACAATAATTTTGGGAATTTCCTTGAGCTTGTTCCAGTCTCCCATGTCAGGCAACCCTTCACCTACTTGTTAGCCCAATTTACGGACACCTCGTTTTTTCCCCCGTTTTTGTTTTCTGGGCTAAATATCACAATGTTATCATTGTTCACATGATTTTGCATAAGGTTTTAATATGTTTTCATAATCATTCAGTCACTTATATGCTTTGGAAAATGTTATTTAAGTAAAGATATGTAAGTAGAATCCCCAAAATACACATATACCCCATATGGGAATAAATATATTACACGCAGGTATTAACAAATAGTATGCAAATTAGGCACCCTTCCAAAAAGAATTTCAGGTGTCACCCCTTCTAAATATCTTCTCTAGGTCTATAAGAATCTATCTGCCAAGTTTGGTGCTTTGGACCAGTCGGTCACGATCTTGACGGAAATTAGATCTAAGCCACCTGACTGATTTTGGGGATGGCGAACCGGTGAGCTTACTCCAAGCGTGTCCCCTGTAGATCTATAATTGAAAACCTTTCCATTAGAACTCATGGAACTTAAGTCAATTTAAATGTACATGTATACACAGTGTTCTGATTCCTAATTTTTCAATAAATTCGAAATTTGGCGTACGTTGTTAGCACGTTCTTTATATTCCTTTGTTCCGGTAACTTTAATAGCCACTCTTTCAAGGTTGGGGATTTTTCCAACACATTTTTCATGGCTATGAAGTTCATGGGCTAATTTATAACTACGTTCCATTATTGAAAGAGCTTGTGATGCCACATAGCCAGAATAGATATGCTTAGTAGTTGACTTAGTATTTTTTTGTCCTCGCAAATGAAGGGCCGGCAGGTCGTCTGAGAGTGCATTTCTTAAAATCGCTACTGTCTGTTTTCCTCCATAATAATCAAAGTTCCTCTTTTTTGGTTTGTGAAAAAAATAAAAGTTATTAAAAAAAGTTTGAAAGCTAACGTAAAAATTAGTTACCGTTGTACGTACAGGCAACTCGCATACTTCTACACTCCAAATCTGGTTGAAAAAAAAAACCCCGAAGGAACACTATAGCGCAGAGCGAGTTGTCGACTGCGTTGTGTGGTATCGTCAGATTGGCAAAGTGTGGTGCAATTGAAATTAAAATAAAATGAAATATCTGTGTTTTTAAATTTTATTTGAACTGTTGTGGCGTGATCAGAATGCTCAAAAGTAGTACGGCTTTTTTTCCAACCTCACATCATAGCCTTTAGGTGTCGTTCTTGACTCCATCTCAACACTGAAAAATTGCCTGGGTTAATTTTACCCAAGAAAGGGTGTAAAACCAAACTGAAAACAGTTTAAGAGGAGATTAAACGGCGATTTAAGTGTCTCAGTCTTGTATCTTCCTCATCTCCCTACATCACAGGCCGACAAAACTCGCGGTTATGCGCCCCTTCGAGATGAAAACAAAAGTGCCCCTCAATCTCACACAATTAAAGCATAATTATGATTGCACTACAGATAAAATTGTCTACTCTTTTGTAATTGAAAACCGTCTGCCAAACAGTCCCTTAAGATTGGGGGGGGGGGGGGGGTACCATCTTCAAACATAGGGGGCGCTCTTCAAAACCGAGCAATATGCTCATTACACATTATGTGCCCATTTTTCAGGCCCAATTACATGGGTTTGGGGGCTTGGTTTTCATAATTCCTCCTTTATATCTAAACTATCTATACCATTTGGGAAAATGATTACTTTCATTTCATAGTCTGATACATTTAGGGCCATTCATTTTCATCTCAAAGGGGCACTTTTATGATCAAGGGGGCACATTTATGGACGCAAAAGGGGCACTTGGGTAAATCTGGGGGGCAAATGCCCCCCCCCCCGGTTCAACCGCCCCTGTTTGGGGACCAATGTTGTTTACCCCCCCCCCCCAAAAAGAAATTGTGTCCTCGATCCGCGCCATTGCTGAGGCCGAAGGGTTCTCAATTTCACACCAACAGAAGGTGCCCCTTCTTCTGGATAAGTGCCCCTTTAGGTGCCCCCCCCCCCCCCAAAAAAAATTGAAAAGCGTTCCATCGCCCCTGAGTCGTGTACTTCTCCCGTTTTGCAGAACATTGTGTACAGTCGGCTCCCGTTATAGCGAAAACGGCTAGAACGAAATCCGGTTATTACAAACAAATACCTTCGGTCCCGGCAAAATTGTGCACATGTCTATGGGGAAAATTTCGGTTAAGACGAAAACGGACAGTACGAAATTCCTGTTAAAGCGAAAGGTTTTGGCGACCCGGTTGCGTAAAAATGCATTGTTAGCGACCCATTTATAACGAAAGGTAATCCTGGCTCACGGCTTTTTTCATTCAACTTGAAAGCAGTACAATGTTTTAGTAATCAGCAGGTGTCCGTCTTGTGTGAGTAGTTTCATGTTGCCGACGTAGATGTATTCAGAAGGAGGTGCTAATCGGTTTGCCGGCGCACAGTCAAGTTAATCTCGCGCTGAGGTTAGGCCTGTCATCGCAGTGTTGCAAAGACGCGTTCCAGTCACCCGAGCCACTTGCACATCGCCATTGTGCCATTAATCAAAGACGTACTTCGACCTTTGTGAATGGGCTTTCCCAATTTGTACCTAATTCTGCCGGTTAACAACAAAGGCCCATCATCAAAGGGTTCCGATGACGAGTGCCAGTCACCCGCACCACTTGCACATCGCCATTGTGACATTCATCCAAGACGTGACCTTTGTGAATGGAGCCGCCAACGGAGGAACAACGGCCAAGAAATGTCACCGACTGTCTGAGCCTAATGCACCAGGTTCGAGACTATCTCTGCAGCCAGCCCGACATGGACGACGATGTCTATGATCACGCTGCTGCAATCCTGCAGTACCTCTCCAGTAGGCAGCAAGACAAGATGTCACAGCGGAAGATAACGGACTTCTTCAAGGTGTAACATCACCTTCCAGATAAATCAAACCAAACGGCTCTTTTCAGAGCCACCACATTTTCAAAAAAGAGATTTGAATCCCGACTCAAATAAAAATAATGAACCCCCACCCTATTACCCGGAGCAAATAAAAATAATCCCCCTCCCCCAAATAGAACCCCTTATAAAAAATTGGAAATTAAATAAAACATAATTTACCCTCTCCCTCCCCGGCACAGATTTGATTTGATTTAAAAAAAAAAAAATGTAAGGTTAAACAAAAATTACAAAGCACCCCATTTCAAATCCAAAATAAAATAAACAATCTTAGACTATCCCAAAATTCTCCAAAATGTAGTTTCATTCAAAATTATTCACGACCTCCCGTAAATTACTCCCCCACTCCCAAAAAAAATATTTTCTTAAATTATTTATTAAATTATAACCAAAATTGTCTTATTAAAAAACTTATTCATTTGAGCACCAGCACAAAATACGTTAAGCTATTTCGTAACTTTTAAAAAAAGAAACCTGCTGGGACGATACGAAACTGATCACCATCAACGCTGGACATTATGCATACATATGCAAAGCTATGAATAAATGAACTAGTGCACGCCAATGAGCTCGTCCGCTTGCGTGACGTTGAAATCGTCAGACGTTAATATCCAATCACGATGTAAGATTATGACATCATCACTCATTAGGACACTGACTCATGAGGGCGCTCTACCAAGTTGTAAAATCTACTCAGATCACGGACGGACCGGAAAATCTGGAACGTAAATGACAAAGGTTTCTCGGCCATGTGCTTGAAAACGCTTATCACATTGTCACATTGAAATCTGCAAGACGAAAGGACAATACAATTTAAATGTCTCTCCATGACACAATTTGTGCTGGGGAGATTACTTACTTTGAACATCGAAGTGATCCAGGTCATCCGCCGTTGACTTCTTCCTCATCGATGATCAAGCAATGAAACGTCAGATCTTCGTAATGTTTATTTTATTTTCGTTTCGTACATTAAACATTTTTTTTTCACTTGACACAATGATACATTTTAAACATTATTTTTTATTTGACAAATCACATCATAGAGAGCATGTTCTTAATTGCTTTCAAACAGAAAAAGTCATTGGGTACATTACGTACGTTCACAAGCGTGCACAATAGGGCCAATTCAAGGTGAACAATGGACGGGAAACATTGTATCGGATATTACGAAATTCGGATACAACGAAAATTTTGGCCGGTCCCGTGGTTTTCGCTATAACGGGAGCCGACTGTATTTATTTCGGAGGTCTTGACTAGCACTTGCGCCGATATTAATCCGTGCGGACCACACCTCTCAGTAGCGTCCCTGAGGAATTCGGTTGGGTATTTTCTTTGCGTGACTTTTGAATTTCCCACTGCCACCCAATTATATTCTTCATGAGGGTCCGTCTTTGAGAGGAGAGCTTTCGAGTCGCAAATGAAAAAAGGGGCCAACATTTATTTTGGGCTGAAAACATGATGTGAACACATCCATTTTGCAGCAAAGGTCTCCTCTCACTCGTCGCTGCCTTTTTGTCTCGTCGAGTCACAGTTCTTGGTCCCGTCGCTTTTTAATTTTAGCAAAAAGTACGACAGACCCCCAATAATAATTGTCTAATGTGCAACTAATCCTAGCAGGCTTCGGTCTGATCTGAACTGCCTTATTTTGTCTCTCTCTCTCTATCTCTTTTCCCTTTTCTTTTTGAGTCTCGATCACTCAACATCTTTCTTCTTTTTTCTTTCTTTTTTTTTGAAAGGAAAAAGGGGGGGGGGGGGGGGAAGAGACATGCACCACACCCCCGCGACCCTCCTCAGGGCCTAGGGTATATGTTTGAATAAACTTGTCTACTTATACCATTCAAAAATTTTTAGTTTTGTTCCAACAGTAAAAACATGCTTGCAGTAAAACCCCAGAAATTCCCGATTTCAAAAAAGAATTCTATAAAAATCCAGAAAGCAGAAATTGTTCGAAACAAAATCCTGAAACCCGTTCATGTCTGATTTGGCCACACAACGGAGCTTAAAAGCTCAGCGCTTTTACAATACTGTGCATGTGATGGGGATGTATCTCACATGGTTCCAAGTGCAGGGTTAAACTTGTTAAAAAAAACAGTAGCTTACTAGCCAAATACTAGTCCAATCAGCAGTGGGCCCGACTAGCAAAACAATATTGGGATGCTGTAAAGATGAAAGGACAGGAAGACAAAAATCATTGAATTCAGAAAGCGAATCTGACTTCTGTCTTATTTTATTAACTGTTTTGGGTTAAAGGGAATGTAGGGAGACCAAGTGTGCCCTCTGTTGTTATCTAAAAGTTTTGCGAGTGTTTTGCATATCGTGACCTTTGTGCTTCCCGCGCAAAGGCAAGTTGTAACAAGTTTTTTTTCTGTGGGACTTGAACAGGGAAGACCACCACAAATTTGGGGCATATATTCTCTCTATTTTGTAGGGAGCATGGCTCCGGCCATGCTCCAAATTTATATCATTTTGGAAGGTTAGTATTATAGATTCGTCCCTGTGAGTACTTTAGTGTATAATGTGATCCTTTTGTGAGAATATTGTGTTCATTTTAAGGCCGGATGATTCACGTCTGTAATTTGTAACATATGTAGCCAGCCATGTGTTGACATTTGACCTTTATCGTTCTACATGTATATTATTGTGCCTTACATTTATCATGGATTATTGCTTTGTGTAAAAAATATTATCATCTTGACTCTTGTGTGGAAATAATGTAAATACAAGTTCGGTAAGCTCATCTCATTGTCGTCGTCATGACATAGATTCATAGTTTTACTGGCACATATTTTTAGTGGAACACTCGTCCTCTTTAAATAGAGGGCCGGCCTCCTTTTGCCGCCCCGCTACAGGAAGATACAACATTTGCAAACATCCAAAAGCGAAATGATAAAATTATAACGAAATACCTTACTGAATTGTTAGGGATGCAATCTAAAGCATCCTGTAAAATCGGGGCTCCTGGTGTGCTGACATTTTCAAGAAAAACTGTATTTTTAAAAACAAAATGTTTTTTTTTTCAAAAACAGCTCCTATTTTTTTCATATTTAGTTATTCCGCATTTTTTTTGCAATAGATTGCACACCTGTAAAAAGGTACAAACCTGCTAGAGTGATTCTTTGACCTTACAATTCCCCAAAGTCTTTACGTTTCTCTGTTTCATCTTAAGTGGGGTCGGGCAACCAGACTACAAGAAAATGATTGGTTTTCTTGGTTTTTCCAGCATAAACAAGCCCAAAATGTGAAACAAGTCAGTTTAACAATATTTGCTATAACATACCAATCCTCCAAATCCATTTATTTCTGAAAATTGCAGCAAAAGCAAATGTTGTACATTCCCTTTAAATGATTAGATATGTTCATTAAAAACAGGGACAAGATTGTCTCAGGATACATGTTTTACATATACATCAAAGACCAGTTGACTTAACAAGTCTGTTTCAGTAGCCTAGTGGGGAAAAAAGGTAAGGTCGAACCCTGGCCGTGTGGGCTTGAAAAAGCAAAGTGTCAGGGTCCCAGCTGTAAGGTGCATGCAAGAGAGTCTGTGATCCTTAAGTTTTCTGTGTTGCGTTGTCTTTTCGAACGCGACCAATGACTTGTTCGATGTCACAGATGGCGTCTAACATGCCCTCAGTGTGATGATTCTGCAGCGCAAAGTGTTGCAACTTGTCCAGGTGTTGCATGGCCTCCGCAACGGAGACATCCGGGTAGGGGGTTGTGGATTCATAATCATCTTCAACATTGTTAACTTCTGCTACGCTGGAGGACACCGCACCTAGGATGGCATCATCGGAGAGCCCTGTGGTGCATCGAACATCTGCGTCAACTGCGGCGTAAGATTTGAGCGTTATTTCCTGTGGAATATCCATCCCGGCTTCTCTTAGTTGATCAAAGAGGTCCTTGTCTTCAGTGGCTGCGTTGATGTCAACGTCAGGCTCAGCTGTTTCGATGTCCAGGATGGTAGCGGTCTTCTTTCTCTCAAAGCCAGCAAGTTTAAAGCAGTGGGAGATAGTAGTTGCCCTGACCATCTTCCAGGATTTCTTGAGGAGAATCATAGCATCCAGCACGGTGGGGTGGTACGTCTCCTTCCTGTCTACTGCTGCAAGGAATGATGTGATGAGCTGGCGGCGGTAGTGCATTTTCAAGTTTCGAATGATACCTTGTTCCATAGGCTGAAGATTGGCAGCTGTAAGGGGGGAAAGGAAGACTAGAGTGACGCTCTTCAAACCAGTGATGTGGGGATGCGCAGGACAGCTGTCGATGACTATGGCGATCTTTCGGTTTTTCTTTTGGCACAGTTTGTCGATATTACGAGCCCATGCTTCAAAGATGTCGGATGTCATCCATGCTGTTTTGTTTGCCTCATACAGCGTTGGTAGCGACTTCACGTTAGCCAAACACTGTGGCTTCTTTGTGTTGCCAATGACAAGCAGGGGCAGTTTTTCGCTTCCGTCCATGTTGGCGCACACCATGGCAGTCAGGCGTTCTTCGCTTCTCTCACCGCCATTGCAGGCCTTCCCCTTGAATGCGAGCAATCGGTCAGGAAGAAGGCGGTAAAAAATGCCGGTCTCATTGGCATTAAAAATGTTCGACGGTTTGTACACTACCAGGAGTGGACTTAGGTCAGTTATCAACCAATCTTTCACCATTTGATGTACTCTAAGTTGGCTGGTACTTGACAATGCTTTCCTTTCATCTGATACTCCGGCAGCACCTGCTCTAGCAACCACATTGAAGGAGACATTGTTTCGCGCTTTAAAAAGATCCAACCATCCATCACTTAAAGTGAAGTTGGGAAAGCCCAACTTCTTGGCAAGGGATTTTGCCTTTTCTTCTAAGATCTGCCTTGTCACAAGAATGTTCATGGCTTGTGCAGCCTTGCACCACATCAGGACAGCTTCTTCTACCTGTCTTGCTTGAATCAGACATTGCTTTCGGAACTGCTCCATCACCGTTCCCTTTTTCCTCATTATTCCATTCAGTTCCGATATGGAAATTCCCCATTCCGCAGCTATGTCGGTCCTGTTTTTCATGCCGCAGTTCTCAACTTCATCGATAAGATTGACCTTATCGGCAAGTAGCAAGGTCTTCAACTTACTGGCTGTTTTCCCCACCGTCGCTGACTTGGCACCTGTAGTCTTGCCCCTGAGAAATATCAATGTAAAAGGATGCCTTGTTTAAAGTTTCAAGCAAGACTTCAGCACGTGCTGTAGCCTCAAATATTGCTGTGCAAACACATGTCCACTGCACTAAGCCAACGACTGCGTCTGATTGGACAGTGGTAGCAAAATCAGGCTAACTCAGAAGCCAGGCACGCGGCACCCTCAAAGGTTTCAAATGCCACTACATGGCCCCGCAAAGAGCCAGAAATAGGCTGTGAATGACCTGCCGGCGTGCAGGCTACCATTGGGCCAGCGGCAGTGATCAAGCCAACTTGCAAGCCAGGATTTGTTGTGATTCAGGCTGGTGATTGTGAACAGTCCAAATACAGTGGCATCGTGCACACTGTGTCCCCAAGAGACAAGACAAAGTGCGTTCGACGGTAGTGACTCCTGAAAGAAGTATCAAGTATTTTCTAATCTTCTTGTGACTGTTTTGGCAGCGGTTTCTTTTGGACTAGCCTAAGGCACCGTTTGGGATCTTTTGAGTTAGAGGGGAGGGGAGGCGAGCTACCTGCCTTTTGAGTTATCCAGAGTTTACTGTATTACTTCACACTGGGCTTGACACTCCTTGCCAGATTTAGTACAAAGAATGTACAATTGGGTTTCAGCACACAGACAGACTGGGGAGCTGCCCAGCCAAAAAAAGCCTAAGGAGTTGGGTGAGAGTTAGTTTCACATTGCTGTAATCGAGTCCATCAAAAATCTGGTACACAGAAAATATGAAGTCCTTCCACCAATCCAGTCATAAGTAACAGGGAATGAACAACAACAGAGGAATATTCTGTTACAATTCATTAAATAGCATGTGACTTAACTGAAAGACTTGTAACTGCACTCCTGATGGACTTGTGATGGACTTGTGATGGACTTGTGAGGGACTTGTGATGGACTTGTGATGGACTAGTGAGGGACTTGTGAGGGACTTATGAAGGACTTGTGATGGACTTGCGAGGGACTTGTGAGGGACCTGTGAGTGGCTTGTGAGGGACTTGTGAGGGACTTGTGAGGGACTTGTGAGGGACTTGTGAGGGACTTGTGAGGGACTTGTGAGGGACGTGTGAGGGACTTGTGAGGGACGTGTGAGTGGCTTGTGACGGACTTGTGAGGGACTTGTGAGGGACTTGTGAGGGACTTGTGAGGGACTTGTGAGGGACTTGTGATGGACTTGTGAGGGACGTGTGAGTGGCTTGTGAGGGACTTGTGAGGGACTTGCGAGGGACTTGTGATGGACTTGCGAGGGACTTGTGATGGACTTGTGATGGACCTGTGAGGGACCTGTGATGGACTACTGTGGTTTCATACAATAATTATTTCAAACCAAAACGAGACTCACAGGGGCAAGTCTTCCTCAGCCGCTGGGAAGCAGACTCGCTTGGGTTGTGGCTCATCGATGGTGGGCTCCTGCTGGGATTGCTTGCGCTTCTCCGGGTTCTGAAGGAAGTTAAAGTGTGAAGACAAATTAAATATTGTGTCTTCCCCGTCACTTCTGTAAATTCATTGTGTAACTCCTACACATGTCATAAGTTCTGCTCTGTTTTAGGAAATTCAACTGTTTTTGAACTTCTCACTTTTAATGTACAAATGACATGGCGTCTCTATGCAAAGTTGAAATCTGTTAAAAAAACAATCAACTTTGTCCTAACCCAAAAATATGGCTCATCAGGCAACTCTTTTTATCTCTGGTTTTGTGTGAAATGACAAAGAAAATTTAGAGTTCCCTTCAATGAAATGCAAGTCCATGGCAGATTACTCCCTAGCAAAATGCCTGCATCTACTTATGCTCTACTTATGGGAAGGGGGGGGGGGAGAGACAACCCAATACATGTATACAGCCAAAAGCTAGATTTGAACCCTGACCTCATATGGCCAACACCCTAACCACTAGGCCACACTCCCCACCCACCTCCGAGTAAAAAGACAAAACATCAGCTTGGAACGGACTGTGAATTAAATGTCATTTTTCCGTGCCTGACTCCTCTGGTTGTCTCTCCCATAGCTGCTAACTTTTCAAAATCCCAATTAGTAATCAACCCGCACGGTCATTTTCAACTGCTCGTATTTTAACAGTGTATGTACCAGCTTTACCAACATCGAGTACAGGTACATGGTTTACATGTACACATACATGTGCATACCCTTCTTGTTGTGATTAATAATGTACTGTAGGCCATAGGATAATTAAAATTAAAAAAAAAAAAAAAGTCAAATAAATAATAACAATAATAACATGTGCGCATATTTTTTTTGAGATGCATACTATCGATGTTGAGTTTCGAGTTCGTATCATGTTTTTACACACAATGATTTAGGGCCACCTTATGCAATAGAAATATCCCGCCAACATACCTTGCAAACGCATGCTGATTTATCTTTTTTGGACGTTGTGATAAACTCTATTATCAATTCTCCCAACCATACTCTTAATGACCAAAATCTTGCACTGATATCCCGGCAATAAGCGACCAATTGTGTTCACGATCACAGTCACAGTACACCCAACCCACTCATCCACGAGGTGCACATGCACAAATGCCACACCACTGAAACACATTTTGAGTCTGGTCCTCAAGTACTCCACTGCGCACACAGCATTAATGTCTATCAGGTGCTTGACCGCATTGCTTATTAGACTTGTCACCAGTCCATCCATTATCGTAACATTTCGCCAGAAGTTTTCGGGCAAAAACGATACTTAACAAGTATTTTTTTGTTTTGTTAGGTAGAAAATGGGAAATTCATAGTTTTTAGTGGCAATTTGTATTTTCGTAATTTAGGCCAAAAATAAAAAGTTTCCGGTTTCTGGTATGCGCGGGTGTCGCCATAGCCATGCGCGTCGGAAAAATGAAAAAGTTTTTTTATTTCAATGAAAGATGATGTCTCAAAACGGCCAAACTCACTGGTTTGACTGGAATCCTGATGCTGCACAATTTTAACGTGTTTTTAGATGGGGTTATGATCGAGAATAAGCTTTATGTGGCCTCTCTGGACTCCCATATATTTGCACTAAGTTTAGTCGGGCACCATTTGCAGTCATCAGCCGACATTTGAGGCAAAAAAAAATCAGGTAAAAAAAAAAAAAAAGCCGCATCGCCGCACCACTTTTGGGCAAGCTCCATACCAGAAAGCGGAGACTTTTTTGGGGGGGCCTTAACAAAAAAATTGTAATAATTACAAAAAATTCATAATAGTTGGCAGCTATGCTCTCCTCCTTGTCCTCTGTCGTCTTCTTTGTTGTAGGGTCCGGTTCAGGTCTTGCGGTGTAGTCATTGTGATCCACTAAGCTGACATCAACAGCAGGAAAAGGAATCTATCAGTAAATACCAAATAAAAAGGTCAAAAAAGTAATAGCGAGTTAAACTTGCGGGATCCTCCTGGCACGCTGACGGTATTTATGCAGTCAGTCAGTTAGCATGACCTTTGACCTCAAATGTCTCAAGTCACCTGAAGTCCCCCTACCCAAATATTATTGTCACCTAGTTTAGTTGAGATTGAAGTCTGACTTTTCATATGACAGGGACTGACAGTACTATCCAGTTAACCTGACCAAAATGAAACATACTGTACCTACTTACATACACACACAACCAAGTGTGTACACAGATACTGAAATCTATATCCTTGAGGAGTAATTTCTTTGTTCTCTTGTACTAAAGCTTTCGAGTTTGAAAGTTAGTTTCAAAATGCTCCTTTTTTAATCAGAATTAATTTCCTGGGCTGAAATTTGGACTTAATATCCCTTACATAAAATACTTCAAGTTTTTTATATATCAGATCCTGATTGCAGGTAAAGGCCCCCTTTTGTTTGTACTTTTTAACTTTTTAGAAAGACCTCCCATATGTTTTGTACAAGAATGTCAATTGTTGACCTTTGGAAATTGCGGATCCTATTGTCCTCTATTGTTCAACGTCCCCTATTGAGTGCAGAAACAAACTCGCACACACATAGTCATGAATTTCTACACGCCCGAGGACAATGCTTTGTGTTACCCTTTGTCCCTGCAATATAACACTCTCCCATAGACTAACGAAACCACTAGATCATACTTCCCACCCATCTCTGAGTGAACAGGCAAAACATCAGCTTGGAACGGACTGTGAATTGAATGCTATTTTTCCGTGCCTGACTCACCTGTTTCTCTCTGTCTTCTGGTTGTTTCTCCTTCTTGTCCTTTATCTTCTTCTTCTTTTTCTCTTTCTTTTTCTCTGTTGTAGGGTCCGGTTCAGGTCTTGCAGTGTAGTCATTGTGATCCACTAAGCCGACATCAATAGCAGGAGAAGGAATCTATCAGTCAATACCAAATAAAAGGTCAAAAAAATACCTGCACGATCCCCCTGGCATGCTGACAGTATTCATGAGGTCAGTTAGTTAGCACACTTTTCAGCTGACCTAACCGAATTCAACACTGACCTCATTTGACTCCTAGATGACCTTTGACCTCAAATGTCTGGAGTCATCTGAAGTCCCCCTACCTAAAGATTACTGTCACCTAGTTTGGTTGGCATTGAAGTCTGACTTTTCATATGACAGTACTAAACAGTTTTAACCTAACCAAAATGGAACATACCGACATACACACACAACCTAGAGTGTACACAGATACTGGAATCTGTATCCTTCAGGAGTCATTTCTTTGTTCTCGTGTACTAACATTTTAGAGTTTTAAAGTGTAGTTTCAAAATGTTCCTATTTTAACCAGAATTAATTTCCTGGGCTGAAATTCGGACTTAATATCCCTTTATACATAAAACACTTCACTTTTGCGACCTTCAACAAACCTTGGAAATTCCTAGTTTTTGAGTAAAATCCATATATCTATTTTGTGACAACCTTGTGGAGACGTATACACCTATAGAAATTGCCCTTTTTCGGAGAATTTGTTTTCTTTCCTTTCGCCTAACCACTTGAGTGGAAAGGCGAAAGGAATTAGGGATTACTAACACTGGCCAATCGGATTGAAGGGATTACTTACACTGGCCAATCGGATTGAAGGGATTACTTACACTGGCCAATCGGATTGAAGGGATTACTTACACTGGCCAATCGGATTGAAGGGATTACTTATACTGGCCAATCGGACTGAAGGGATTACTTACACTGGCCAATCGGATTGAAGTGATTACTTACACTGGCCAATAGCATTGAAGGGATTACTTACACTGGCGAATCGGACTGAAGGGATTACTTACACTGGCCAATCGGATTGAAGGGATTACTTACACTGGCCAAAAGCATTGAAGGGATTACTTACACTGGCCATTCGGATGCACGTTCTGAACAAACACCTCTGTCTCAGTTTGTTCTGGCCCCCAAACTTCGTCTTATCCTGAAAAAAAATAATGAACAAAATTCCGTCTTGAGAAAAAAGTCCTTTCCATCACAATCTCTGAAATGCACAACATTTTCACATTCAACAAAAATTGGAAAGCTATAATGACATCTGATATGACACTGCATGATTAGATTTACAAATAAGCTATCACTTTGTACTTTGGAAAACAGACAAAAATCTCAAACACTTCTAAACATTCAAACAATTCTAACTTATAATTAACGACAACAATTTACATCGTTATGGTAATCAACCCATGTCTCAACAGCATTATGATTCATAACACTAAGAAAGTTGGGGCAGTAAACAAAACAAGCCGCACTTACAAGACAGAAACTACACTTTCCACAGTCTTTGACAACCTGGCACGGCTCACACTGACGGCATCGCTTTGGTTGCTTCTGATGAAAGAAAATGGGACGATAGTAAGATCAAAGGAGTCAGTGGAACAAATACTAAAGACAACTCTTATTTTACCAGGACAGCCCCGATCAGTTGTGTGAGAACTGTTCTCCCCAACCTTATAGTAAATGAAGACATTAGTTCAGCAGTTTTCAGATATGGTCACAATTCTGTCTTGTAGACGGAGAGTGAAATGTGTTTGTTTTAAAGGGCATATAGTATGCACATATAGACTGGCAATGAGGTCACTAGAGCACGTCTATGCGCCCCAAGTGAATTTGAGTGACCAGAAGAGGGTCCTATTTCCCAGCTATGAACCCTCTTCTGGTCACTCACAGGCCCGAGGGGGGCATAGACGTGCACTAGTGACCGAATTGTGCCAGTCCATATGTGCTTTATAACACACCTCAGTCCAAAATATAAAATAAGAAATGAAACTTTTACCATCCATATGTGTTTTATAACTCACCTCTGTCCAAAATATATAATAAGAAAAGAAAGTTTTCAGGGTTTTATAATTGAACTGTTTTAATTCAACAATTAACTCATAAGCAATTCAACAATTAATAAAAGGAACGCTTTTAGTTTCCCTAGATTCATTTTTTGAGTTTGAGTTTTTGAGAGGGCTCTGTAACCAGTCAAAAACCGTTAAGTATAGTGACATAGATATTTTCATCTCACCACTGCTGTCCCTGTTGCCTTGAGGGCCTTTGGTTTGGAGGAGGAGCTGGTCGATGTCTTCACTTTCTCGTTTATCTGTTGCATCATCTCCTTCTGTTTTAACTTTCTCTTTTGGCGTTCGTATGCCGTGGATATCTTTGGCTTCTTTCTTTTCTTGGTGCTCTTGACCGTTTTCCGGGATGCCTTCTCTTTGTCCTCCTTGTCTCCGTCTGGCTCCTTCTCCTCCTCGGCTGGCTCCTTGCCCCCCTGCTCCTCTGGATTGGTCTCTACTTGTTCCATGTATTCAAAACACAAAATCGGACAGTAAAAATAATGTTTCAGTCTTGATTTCAGTGATGAAAATCTCAGTTGTATTTGAATGTTTTTGTGTAATCTGTAACAGAGCCTGAAAGTATGCCGTTCTGCATTTGAGCTTCCTGACCCCTCCGCGACCTTTCTATGGGCATAAATACACGGGATTGCCCTTTCTCTTGCTATTGTTGTTTCCTGTGAAGCGCATCGAGACCTTGGTGAGATGCGCTATATAAAAACTGTGTTATTATTGTTATTATTATAATATTTGACAGAATGAGTTTTAACGTAATCACACCAAGAAACATTCATGTTGGAATTTTATCTTGGCATAAAAAACAGTTCTACTTATGATCTTTCACATCCACGATTTTCGTAACGAGGTCTCCTTGTTCATTCACGTTTGTTTTCACATCGCGTAAAGGCGCTGGAACAAAAAAAAGATTTACCTACCTAAATCCGATGGATTCTAGATTTAATCGGGCTTGCTTGAATACAGCTCGTATTCTTCAAGTTTATTTTTAAAACATTGTGTGTCCCAAAAAGACATTTTAGTCTCCTCTTAAGTTTCAATTTTACCCAATGACCGCCACAAAAGTATTTCATAAATTTTCTATGAGTGCTCCAAGTTCCACTAGTCCACATGTATTTTAGATTATCGGAAGTGAGAGGTCAATTTTTGGTGCGATATATCTCTTTCACGATATGCGATTTTTCAGTTTCCATAAATTGATATGCTACCAGTAGGAACAGTTTTACAAAGGCCTTATCCGAGGGTGATTTTCTTAAGAAATCAATTTACCAAAAACAATTTTAAAAACGTGCATACCATAATTTTCGTATTTGAGGGGTCCATAAGCGCGCTACCAGGGTTCAACTTTCAGGCTCTATTCTCACTCAGCTCAATAGCTTCCAATGGCATTTCATGGACAGCTATAAACATGGGTTCTTTTAGTAAAATGCTGATAGCATGGATCAATTTCAGCAGTTTTTGTTTTCTTCAGATGAGAGGGAGAACATGCTCTTTTAACCCTAACCGCCCTGAATCCTTCAAAATCCTCTTTGCCAAAGTGGAGGAATTTGGAGGCTTGAGGTTTATACATGGCAAAACTGCGTTACTGATTTCGTAGGATGCACTTTGTCAAGTGTTGTTTTTGCTCAGCCATGCATAAATATAGGCCAAGATTATGCTTGAAATCCTCCGTACTGCTCCAGCATGTCACTGGTCAATCCTCAACATATTGACAGTCACTGCCGCAGGATATTGCAGGATTCAGGCAGTGGTCACCCCTCCAGGGACCATATTCAAGAAATAATGGAGGAATTTGCAGGATTGAGGCTATATGCTATTTTTCCATGAGACTAATTGGAGGATTCTGCAGGACTGAGGCTACATCCTAGCAAAAAGGCCTAGGGAGTTTGGGTTAACAGATATTTTAATGGTGTTTCAAATTTGATTCCTTTTTAAGAAAAAAAGGATTTAATTTGGGTAGTTTTCTTGTTGACTCACCCTGTATTAGCACTTGGTCTGCCTCCTCCTCCTGCTCGGCAGAGTCCTTGCCTGCCTCTTCCTCTTCTGGACTGAACTTTAATATTGCTATACCAAATATACCAAAACACATAATATTTGACTATCAACCAGACATTCAAAAAGATTTTTTTGGTGGTTGAATATTGTAAGGTCAGAGAATCAGTCTAGCAGCCTTGTACCCCTTCACAGGTGCGTAATCAATTGCAAAGAAAAGGCAGAATAACTGAATATCAAAAATTAGGCACAGTTTTTGAAAAAAGCCAGTTTTCTCCAACGCTGGTCGGCCGATCAGCGTTGGAAAAATACATTTATTCTTGAAAATGTCAGCACACCATGGATTTTAAAAGATGCTTTAGACTGTCATTCCCTTACAACTGAGTAAGGTATTTTGTGATAATTTCATCATTTCGTTTTTTTTTTTGCTGTTTGCAAATGTTGTGTTTTCCCTTTAATGCCAAAAAACCTGGTAAGTAGGCCTATCTACTCACAAGCGCATGGTGGGCATGCATATTTGATGATGCGTCTATAGGCATCTCTCCCTATGCCAATGCAGTCCCTATGGTACCACTCTTGACAGTAATCACAGCATCTGGAGAAAAAAAACCCCAAGAACCGTTTGGTTTAACTCCAAAACCTTTAACTCTCTTCACACAATCCAAATAAAATCCTAAAACGACACTCACTAAATCAAAAAGCATGATTCTGGGTCTGATCACCAAAGTAACAAATTTGTAAAACTCAAACAATAAACAATAGATTTCAATAATATTTGGTTCTTGGGTTTCACTGTTGGCTTATTTTCCAAAACCTGCCTAATCAAGCAAGATGCTTGAAAAACGGGAGTCTAAATCATTTTCAAGGATGATTTGCAAAGTTGAGCAAAGAAAACTACTGAACCTCATACCATATTACAGGATAAACAAACAAAAAACAATTAACCAAGAGCAATCAATCAGTGATTGCCGTCGAGCTTCACCACCCTATCCATGTAACAGTAGACGGACCACCAGCGCAGGATCATCCCTGGGTTTGGATGTGCCACTACACCAGCAAGAACCGTCTAGGGAGTTTACAGGTAAGATTTGTCTTCTCTGATACAAAAATACTCACATCATCATTCTTGTCCTACCAGTGGAAAAGCAGACACCGCAGTGGGTAGGCTCCCCATGGGCGGTCTCCATTCCGAGGAGGTTGTCGCCCTTGGCCTTCCTCTTACGGGAGGAATCCCAAGATTTATCGCCCATGGTCTCGTCTTTGTCCCTCATTTCCATCATTCTGAGGAGGCTTCTGGACTTGGCCTTCCTCCTTGGCCTTCCTTGGCCTTCCTCCATGCCGCAGTGTCTAGGCTCCCAAGATTTATTGCCGGTGGTCTCCTTGTCCTTGTCCTATTCTCTGACCAACATTTACGTCATTCTGGAGTTTGAGACCTCGTGGCAGGTAGGATCCGCCTATCTTATCTTCCTGTAAAACACAACAAAAAAATGCACAGTAACTTATTTATATTCGGCAAACTTCAGGGAGAGTATCTTAAGGTTAACAGAGAGGTCATTCCTTGTCAAATAAATCATCCCCGAAAATTGCAACTTTAAACCTCACCCCATTCAAAATGGTTCATATTTAATGTATGGGTAATTTAGAATGAAAAGGCTGAAATGTTAAGTTTCAGCGCCATTGGACAAGCGTTTTTCGTATTTCTGCTCACTACTGAGTGGAAATATCGGTCAAAATATTGTCCTGTCGTCGATCAAAGAAAAACAAATCACACTGAATCAACGACTGCTTCATGTAGTGATATCTGCCCCGTGCCGTACGACAGTATGGGCTTTTTGCGCGGGGCACATATCATTACACTAAACAGTCACTGATAAAGCGCGACTTGTGAGTCACACACGCCATCAATGGAAGAGCAATGAAATGGATAGAACAATTGGCAGATATGTTTAATTGCGAGCGGTAAGTTTATCAGAAGATTTTGTTCTTTTTTCAAAATTACCGCTTGTTGATAACTATTTAAGGGGTCTGATGGAATGTCATGAATGTGTAGATCTATCCAGGGTAACTGTCCTCATTTGTATTCTCTTAACTGGGTTTTTTTTTTGGGGGGGGGGGGGGGCCTTTTGTTCTCGCGTGGGTATGTGCTAAATGCTACCGTGCACCAGTCACCAAAGTATGCCTGTAGTACGGAGGGTACCGTATTTCCAGCGCTCTACCCAATTCAGCATAAATTAAAGTTAAATTTTAAGACGAGCTTGTCTAGGTAGTGTTAGCCAGCATCTTGTTTACACGAAGCTTGCCATACTACTTACTAGGCATATGCGTGAAGTGCACAGTGGTAATCCAAACAAGGTGGCGGACAAAAAAAAAACTAACTCGACAAACTCGTTGTAGGTTTCGGGCAACCTCGTCCCCAGTGCTTACTTTATTTCCAACCGCGTTTCCAATAGTAAGCCCTGGATAGGAAACTTTCTTCCTGTATCCTGATTCGACACCGCAATTGGCTAGAAATAGATTTTTATCGTGTACTTGGTGTTGTTATTCAAAACGTGCAGTACGTGTTTTCGCGATCATTCGTCCACGCTTTCTCGAAAATACTCATTTCCTTACCAATTTGTTCATATTAATATGAAATGTGATACTGCATGTTGTTTCGACAAGATCGTAACAGTTTAATTAAATTAATCATGTTCACGTAACTCAAGCCATGCTGGTGCTGCGACAAATTGACTCTGTTTTTACCCCAGACACCGCATACAAAAACAAGCGCTAATGTAACGTCGCATATCCAGGCACCAGACTGTACCTCATTTGCATACGTGTTCAAAAATCTTGCACATATGCAAATGATCCAATATACCAGGGTGAGAGAGTAGGTAGTGATGGGCGCGTACCGATCGACACCCTGGGGACGAGGTTGGGTTTGAAAGAACAACTTTTGAAATGATTCTAAATTTAATTTATATGCTGAAGTGAAGGTGTTTCTTTGTCAATATTTCTAACTTACAAAACCGTCTCTTTTTTTTTGATGTTCCAAAAACTACACAACTTGTTCACGCTGGGTTGACAACCGTTGACGCGTGTTCAGTTGTTGACGCCAGTTGACTAGCGATAGAGGGACCCACACAATTTGATATGGAAAAGACTGTGTTTCCGACACTGACTTACCTTTGCTTTCGTCTCGATCGCAGAATCTCGCTTGGAAAACTTTCCAAATTACTTCTTATTAATCAAGTGATCTACTGCAAGTGTTGAAAACAGTCACTTGATATTTCATAGGCAAAAAAACTATACATACCGAAGAGCTGGTTCTTTTCCTTTCCGAAATTATTCCGACTTCACTTATCACTCAAAGTTTGAGTCTTCAAATGAACAGCGCCCTCTTACATGAAAATCCTTACATGTACATGATTTTTCCATCTAGGCCTGAACTTGACAAGCATCTTCAGAGAGACCGTGGGCTTGAAATGTCACTTTTTGGGTCAAATGTTGTTTCTAAGTTCGGAAAGGTAACTTAGAATGAAACACTCACGTATGCCTACTAAAAAGTACTTATCTTCAATTTTGACCTACGTCTCCCCCCCCCCTCTAAAAAAGGCAACAAAGATAGATATGAACTGGTATAATTACAACCAGAAATATTTAAAGTAAAAAAGAGGGAAAATAATTTAATGTTATCTTAGTTTCTTCTAATTATCCCCCACCCCTCAAAAAGACCCAACAGTTTTCAGGGTCGTTGATTTATATAAAAATATCACTTTTACAATATATAAAAAAAAATCTGCACTTTTTGGGGTTTTTGTTTAAGTTTCAATTTGAAAAAACTTTGAAGGTTTGCAAAATAAGAAAAACAAGGCTTTTAATAGCTATTTTCTATGCAATTTGAATGCGATACCAAAAAAAAGTCCGCCCGCCAATTTCGAATTATCTGCATGCAGTAATCATTTTTTTAGGCGGGATGTCTAGATAATATGTGTAATATAGGTAGGCTACAAAAGCAGCAACAAAAAAACACCCCCTTTTTTTTTTTTAGGGTTGCAGACTCCTCAAAATGGATGAAACTTTATAGAAAATAAAGCATACAAATTGTAGGTTCGATAGGAGAAAAAAAGTGAAATTTGGGGCAGACATGGCAGACACGGGGGGGGGGGGAGTAGGGCCTATTCATCCGACTGCATAGGCCGGGCATGGTGTTCCCTAGAACCGTGGCGCATTTCGACGTTGACCCCAACTTTCCTCATGCGGTGTTGCCAAACGTCTTTGTTTACAAACTTGAAATTCGTTCTGTTAAAAACTGGTACTTTTACCATAGTTATGCTTGCTGTTGAACCTAGTGAACATTTCAGTTTCATTAGTCCGAAATTCAAAAACGGTGGCGCACTTGAACAAACATCGGAAAATCCTTAGTTATTATATTAGAATTTCTTTAAAGTTGAAAAATTCTGATAAACCATTATTATATCTACTTACATGTTCAACTAAAAGTTTGTCAGAAAATGTATATTTTTGTTGGGACGCATTTTAAAGAGTTACACGGTACGTCGGGAAATCACACTGAAAATTGCCTGGGTTAATTTTATCCAAGAAAGGGTGAAAACTGCAACTACCCAAACTTGGGTTGTTCTATAACCAATTGTTTGGGTTAGAATTTATATTAAATTCAACCAAAAGTTGTAGTCATGGTCTTGAATGACCACAAGTTTTGGTTGAATTTAGCAGAAATTCTAACCCAAACAATTATTAGAACCCCCCAAGTTTGGGTAGTTGCAGTTTTCACCCTTTCTCGGGGTCATATTAACCCAGGCAATTTTTCAGTGCACGCCTGAACAAATGTCACTGTTAATTAACTTTGTAACGGGTTGGTAAATTAAAAATTTAGGCATTTTTAGAGCTTTATGAAATTTCAGGTAAAGCTTTTGCTTTAGCGAGGCACTAGAGCAGGGTTCGACCAGTCTTTGTCGTATCCCAATAATTTATAGCCATCCGAAGGCTAGCATTTGGCTCTGCAGGCGGCTAAAGTCTGCACTAGAGGCGAAAAATCTAAGTGCGCAGTAGTGTACATCGTCTCTAGTGACCTAATTTATGCATAAGGCCTAAAACAAAGGGTCTTATTTACATATCAATTGGGTGGCCTGCCTGTAGGATATAGAGACCAAAATAATTTTGGTCTGTAGGGGTCGAAATCACCGCGCGGATTGCTTGTGTCGTATTAATCCGGACCGTTAGAGGGCGTACGGACCAACTAGTCATCGGTGTAGGGGCCTATAACAATAGGTGTGATCAATGGAAGCCTTTAGACCAACACGGTAGTAGTTAACCCATATTGACTGGTCGGCTAATACTGTTTCCATTTGAACTCAAAGAAATAGAAAGAGAGATGGTCTTATTGCAAAATATGCGGGTTTTCAGACTGTAAATATGGCCAGGGATTATCAACATAGCCAGTCAAACACATGCACTGCCCGACATTATAGGCATTCGCGATTGTTAAACTTTAAGAAACACACAAGACTAGAAAAAAAATACAAATAGGCAAATGTCTACTGTAAAGTTCCTTGAAAAGTATTAAATGGAAAATGGGCTTCAAATGCTATAGTCACACATATAACGGACTGTGTGGAAGCGATCACAAACTGGGCTTTTATATTGACGATCGATAGACTGTACGTGGCGGCGCGAGCTAACGGTCTACATAATTATTGTTAGGAAGTTAATCCGTTATCTTCAGGTAACATAATAATATAAAATAGCCCGGGGGTGGGGTGTAGGAGTGTATGTTTATTTTAGGGTAACCCCGACAGTTGGACTGGGAATAGAGGGCGTATGGTCTAGTCGGCCAGTGCACTATTAGGAGGTTAATCCATTATCCTGAAGTATCGTAATAATAACAATAAAAACTAACCGCAGTATATTACTGTACGAGTGACTCAAAGAGGTGACTGTTTATATTTTATTTTCGTTATATCAAAGACACTTTTAGTTTATATAAAACAAAACAGAACAATAGTCTTTCTGAAACTAATCCTTTTGAATTATCATTGGCTTTCTAATTATCTTCTTCGTCGACGTATTGAAACAGTCCGTCAAATTTGGCGTTGTGTTTAGTCAAAACTCTATTTACCGCCTTGTTTACTCCATTGCCTTTACCTATTTTCTCTTCCAAATCCTCTAAAATATCTTGGTGAGCATCGTTATCTTTTAGATGTAGGTAACTTGACAAAAAATCCTTGTATTTGTTGAAAAAGATTTGTTTGACTGCCCAGAGGGTCTTTATGCTGGCTTTCTCCTTGGCCAGTTGTTCACTAATATCATCATCGCTGATGTATTTGTCATATTTTTCACGCCATAAGCTATCAGTTTCATCTTTCGCTTCATCCAGCCAATCTTGAAAGGCGGCGTTGTCCTCTAAATCAGAACTAGACTCCTCTTCATCCAATGATTCGTCTTCGTCTACTTCCGTTTCGGATTCGGAATCTTCAATTCTACGCTTTTTAAAATCTGGTTCGGACTCTACGTCAGAATTTTCAGATTGAATAACTTCATTATCACGATCATCGTCAGATTCCTCTTCAATGTGTGCATGTTCTACATGTCTCCGTAGGTTATATCTCCGTCCGAAGCTTTTGTCACACTGGCGACAAGCATGGGCTTTGACTGCTGCAATGGCGTTCATGTTGAATCTTTAAAGGTAAGTCTCCAAATGACAAGAAACTGATGAATTCGTTTTTTATATAACTACTCATTCGTGACCCATTCGACTCAAAAAACGTCGTTTTGAGTCGTTTTGTGAGTCGTTTAGAGTCGTTGAGTCGTTTTGTGAGCAGTTTGAGTCGTTTTGAGTCGTTTTGAGTCGTTTTTTTTTAAGTCGTTTTGAGTCGTTGTGAGTCGCTTTGAGTCGTTTTGTGAGTCGTTTGAGTCGTTTTGAGTCGTTTTGAGACGGTTTGAGTCGTTTTTAGTCGTTTTGTGAGTCGTTTAGAGTCGTTGTGAGTCGTTTTGTGAGCAGTTTGAGTCGTTTTGAGTCGTTTTGAGTCGTTTTTTTAGTCGTTTTGAGTCGTTGTGAGTCGTTTGAGTCGTTTTGAGTCGTTTTGTGAGTCGTTTTGTGAGTCGTTTAGAGTCGTTGTGAGTCGTTTTGTGAGCAGTTTGAGTCGTTTTGAGTCGTTTTGAGTCGTTTTTTTTAAGTCGTTTTGAGTCGTTTTGAGTCGTTTTGTGAGTCGTTTGAGTCGTTTTGAGTCGTTTTGAGACGGTTTGAGTCGTTTTGAGTCGTTTTGTGAGTCGTTTAGAGTCGTTGTGAGTCGTTTTGTGAGCAGTTTGAGTCGTTTTGAGTCGTTTTGAGTCGTTTTTTTAGTCGTTTTGAGTCGTTGTGAGTCGTTTGAGTCGTTTTGAGTCGTTTTGTGAGCAGTTTGAGTCGTTTTGAGTCGTTTTGAGTCATTTTTTTAGTCGTTTTGAGTCGTTGTGAGTCGTTTGAGTCGTTTTGAGTCGTTTTTTGAGTCGAATGGGTCACGAATGAGTAGTTATATAAAAAACGAATTCATCAGTTTCTTGTCATTTGGAGACTTACCTTCAAAGATTCAACATGAACGCCATTGCAGCAGTCAAAGCCCATGCTTGTCGCCAGTGTGACAAAAGCTTCGGACGGAGATATAACCTACGGAGACATGTAGAACATGCACACATTGAAGAGGAATCTGACGATGATCGTGATAATGAAGTTATTCAATCTGAAAATTCTGACGTAGAGTCCGAACCAGATTTTAAAAAGCGTAGAATTGAAGATTCCGAATCCGAAACGGAAGTAGACGAAGACGAATCATCGGATGAAGAGGAGTCTAGTTCTGATTTAGAGGACAACGCCGCCTTTCAAGATTGGCTGGATGAAGCGAAAGATGAAACTGATAGCTTATGGCGTGAAAAATATGACAAATACATCAGCGATGATGATATTAGTGAACAACTGGCCAAGGAGAAAGCCAGCATAAAGACCCTCTGGGCAGTCAAACAAATCTTTTTCAACAAATACAAGGATTTTTTGTCAAGTTACCTACATCTAAAAGATAACGATGCTCACCAAGATATTTTAGAGGATTTGGAAGAGAAAATAGGTAAAGGCAATGGAGTAAACAAGGCGGTAAATAGAGTTTTGACTAAACACAACGCCAAATTTGACGGACTGTTTCAATACGTCGACGAAGAAGATAATTAGAAAGCCAATGATAATTCAAAAGGATTAGTTTCAGAAAGACTATTGTTCTGTTTTGTTTTATATAAACTAAAAGTGTCTTTGATATAACGAAAATAAAATATAAACAGTCACCTCTTTGAGTCACTCGTACAGTAATATACTGCGGTTAGTTTTTATTGTTATTATTACGATACTTCAGGATAATGGATTAACCTCCTAATAGTGCACTGGCCGACTAGACCATACGCCCTCTATTCCCAGTCCAACTGTCGGGGTTACCCTAAAATAAACATACACTCCTACACCCCACCCCGGGCTATTTTATATTATTATGTTACCTGAAGATAACGGATTAACTTCCTAACAATAATTATGTAGACCGTTAGCTCGCGCCGCCACGTACAGTCTATCGATCGTCAATATAAAAGCCCAGTTTGTGATCGCTTCCACACAGTCCGTTATATGTGTGACTATAGCATTTGAAGCCCATTTTCCATTTAATACTTTTCAAGGAACTTTACAGTAGACATTTGCCTATTTGTATTTTTTTTCTAGTCTTGTGTGTTTCTTAAAGTTTAACAATCGCGAATGCCTATAATGTCGGGCAGTGCATGTGTTTGACTGGCTATGTTGATAATCCCTGGCCATATTTACAGTCTGAAAACCCGCATATTTTGCAATAAGACCATCTCTCTTTCTATTTCTTTGAGTTCAAATGGAAACAGTATTAGCCGACCAGTCAATATGGGTTAACTACTACCGTGTTGGTCTAAAGGCTTCCATTGATCACACCTATTGTTATAGGCCCCTACACCGATGACTAGTTGGTCCGTACGCCCTCTAACGGTCCGGATTAATACGACACAAGCAATCCGCGCGGTGATTTCGACCCCTACAGACCAAAATTATTTTGGTCTCTATATCCTACAGGCAGGCCACCCAATTGATATGTAAATAAGACCCTTTGTTTTAGGCCTTATGCATAAATTAGGTCACTAGAGACGATGTACACTACTGTGCGCCACATCCAATAAAAAATTATTCAAACGAAGGGGAACAATTTTACTCTTATTCATCTTCTTCATCTCAAGTTCATGGATATGGCAACAGGCCAAACTTGGTCGGCATGACGCCATGGGGTGCACGGCGAGTTCCGTCCAGGTTTAATATTGGATGGCCGCCTTGCGGAACAAAGGACTCCTCGGGTTAGGCTTTCTTTTACCGTAACCCACGAGGGATATACAAAAAAGAGAGAAGGCAAACAGATTAACAAAGCAACGCAAGTTCCTTAACTAAAAAACACAAATATAAAATCCTGTGTTAGTATATCTGCGAGGAACCCAACTCTTCCATGCACCCCGAAACTTTTGGGCTATTGCTCTTTTATTTTGGGCGTATTTACCAGCCCAATTTTCAGCGGCGCATTTTTCGGGATATTGACCAATCACAGCGCGCCTTTGGCTCAGGCGTACCAAATCCAAAATGGCCGGTACGGAGAGAAATCTAGGTGAGAATTCACTGCACAATTTGTAAACGATTTGTTTAATTTCATGAAAACTATATGCATTACATTTTAGATTTACGTAATTTCGGGAATTCCGAATCAGGTTGTCGTTTTGAATTGATTTGGAAGGCTAAAAATGAGCCGTAAAAACTACTATTTTAATCAATTTATTTGCAACATGGACGAAATTGGGGATCATCAAATGAACACATGAACAGCGCCCTCTAACTATGTTTAATTTTTTTGGTGATTTTGCATGTGCAGTGTGGATCTTACATGTCTGTCTTATAGTAACAACTAAAAGTAACACTAACAGTCGTACTCGTAACATTTCCAGGGCTTGAATTGAACGACGGCCACAACGCGGCCAGTCTGCCTTCTTACTGGCAGAGGTGCCCCACAAAAAATCTAGTCCGAGTAACTTGGACCCAACTTATCACCTTTTTAACATTCGGAAATGGTCTGGCGACGCGATAGGGTCCAAGCTAATCCGTGTATGCCAAGCAATACAATTTTGTCCTTGACCCAAAAACCTAGCCCCACTTTAGTCCGAGTAACTTGGACCCAACTTATCGCCTTTTTAAAAATTTGGACATGGTCTGGCGATAGTAGGGTCCAAGCCCATTCCTCGACCAAGACAACACAGTCACTGACAGTCCCAAAAACCAACATTTTCCAACAAAAAACATCAGATTTCACCTTCAAAACGGCCTCCAAATTACTAGATATGTCACCTGAGGTACAAGTAGACATAGATGATTAAGATGGTTGTACTTAAGTTTACTTACGATCCGGAAAAAAAGTGAAATTTTCCGTTCAATTCTGGAGACCCCCTCTGCCTAGGTTGTCGTTGTTGTGCTCACGTTCAAAACTGCATGATAATGGCGTCTGACCTCGACCTCATGCAAATGTGGTGCGGCGCGCTTGCGCATAATGCACTGCATGCATACACGGCAGATTCCCCTGCGCCGCGCCGACGACTGTTTCCTGATGTAGAGCGCTGTGTAAGTTCGCGGTACGCCTGGGAGTCGCGCTGGCTAGCCAGGCGTACCGCGAACTTACACAGCGCTCTACATCAGGAAACAGTCGTCGGCGCGGCGCAGGGGAATCTGCCGTGTATGCTGCATTATGTGCATTATGCGCAAGCGCGCCGCACCACATTTGCATGAGGTCGAGGTCAGACGCCATTATCATGCAGTTTTGAACGTGAGCACAACAACGACAACCTAGGCAGAGGGGGTCTCCAGAATTGAACGGAAAATTTCACTTTTTTTCCGGATCGTAAGTAAACTTAAGTACAACCATCTTAATCATCTATGTCTACTTGTACCTCAGGTGACATATCTAGTAATTTGGAGGCCGTTTTGAAGGTGAAATCTGATGTTTTTTGTTGGAAAATGTTGGTTTTTGGGACTGTCAGTGACTGTGTTGTCTAGGTCGAGGAATGGGCTTGGACCCTACTATCGCCAGACCATGTCCAAATTTTTAAAAAGGCGATAAGTTGGGTCCAAGTTACTCGGACTAGCCCCACTTGTGTGGCCTCGGTATTGCTGCGCTGTACGATCGGCCACACGCCTGGTTTCCAACCTACTGAGGAGTATAGTCCAAAGCCTGGCGCACCTTTTTGGGGCATTTTTTTACACACCACTGCATACGGTTGTATTTAGCTCTACTGAGTGGAGCGTTGAATTACGGGTACCCCTCCATACAAACGCTCCACCGATTTGCCATACTTTGGTGACGGCGTCACGGTAGCATAGTCACATACCCACGCGAGGACAAAAAGACCCAAAAAAAACGGTAAAGAGAATACAAATGAGAGAGACGGTTATCCTGGATTGATCTATACATTCTTGACATTCCATGAGACCCCTTATATTGTTCCAAAACAGTGAAAATTTTGAAAAAAAACAGCAAAATAGTCTGAAAACTTACACTACAGCTCAATGTGTTTGCAGGGAGGCTCAGTTCTTGAATCGACTTGTCGAATGAGGGGGTCTGACATGACGTCACCGTCGTTGCTCGATCGAAGAAAAACAAGTCGCACTTTATCAACGACTGTTTTGTGTCATTCAATGATATGTGCTCCGATCCGCGCCGTACGACAGTATGGGCTTTGAACACACCCAAGGATCATGTATCATTACACGAAACAGTCGTTGATAAAGCGCGACTTGTTTTTCTTCGCGATCGAGCAACGACGGTGACGTCATGTCAGACGCCCTCATTCGACAAGTCGATTCAAGAACTGAGCCTCCCTGCAAACACATTGAGCTGTAAGTTTTCAGACTATTTTGCTGTTTTTTTTCAAAATTTTCACTGTTTGGGAACAATATAAGGGGTCTCATGGAATGTCAAGAATGTATAGATCAATCCAGGATAACTGTCTCTCTCATTTGTATTCTCTTTACCGTTTTTGGGGGGTCTTTTTGTCCTCGCGTGGGTATGTGACTATGATACCGTGACGCCGTCACCAAAGTATGGCAAATCGGTGGAGCGTTTGTATGGAGGGGTACCCGTAATTCAACGCTCCACTCAGTAGAGCTAGGTTGTATTCTGTGATGCCTTATCTTTTGCCCTCCGGGTAGATAAGGTAATCTTTCTTCAATTTTTCAGAGAAATTTAGACATCTTTCTGGAGTCCTCATGTGTAAGTTTCGCACTAAACTCCTCAGTAGATTGGGAAACCAGACATGTGGCCTAACGTACAGCGCAGCAATACAGAGGCCACACAAGTGGGGCTACCAAAAACCCAACATTGCCCAACAAAAACATCACTTTTCACCCTCAATATGGCCTACAAATTACTAGATATGCCGCCTGAAGTATAAGTAGACATCGATGATTAAGACGGTTCTGAAGTTTACTTACGATCCGGATGAAACGTGAAATTTCCCGTTCAGTGCTGAGAGCACCCCTCGCGATCGTGAACACGTTAAATTTCTGACTCGTGTTAATGTTCGAACGACGCGATGTGGTCTTCATGTTCAGCGTACATTCTATGGTTCCCATATCCTGAACTGAGTGCGATTCTGTTACCGAGCGCGATGCATCGATTATGATAAGGCCAAAAAAAATAATAGTTCTGCTTCCGGTTATCCGACCGACCCTATTTTTAGGTAGTCTAAGTAATAGATGCCGTGGTCTATTATGCGCGAACAGATTTGCTGATTAATTAGGCAAGACCCCGCCTCTTGACTTCCTAGATTTTGACCAACCAGCAGGCGCTTTCTATAGGTCTGATCGGGTCTTCGGTCATTCACCCGTTGCACATCATAGACATGGATTTTTAAAAAAATGTCAGCACGCAGCGCTCGGTATCATGTTACGCGAATGCGCTCCCGGCTGTTGTTGTATTACAAAACGCTGTATTCGAATTGACCAATCACAGCGTTAGTCCTGATTTTGGGATGAAATGACATCACGATTTAGTAAAGTCGACTCCGATTGGCTGGCGAGCGGCTTGCATAAATCTGCATGCTTTGACATATCAGACGTTAGACAGTTTATGGCTCCGTGGATAACAGGTGTAATTATTATATTACTCAGACTAATTTTTAAGCTGCGACCCTAAAAAAAATTATCGGCAATTCAAAAAAATAATAGTAATAATGATTGAATAAATAAAAATAAAAACCTGTTGTCTTTTCTGTCTTTACGAAATACCTCTCAACAACCCTTTTGCTTCAAAAAAATGCTTGTATTTATTTGTTTTCTTACTTACATTCGCTATTTTTTTCAAAAGAAACCTCCGTTATTTTTACCGTGCCGCCGTGCCGCGCCGCACAGGGGCCAATTTAGAAGACATGATGAAAATGCGGTAACTAGTCTGTGCACGGCTATGCGATCGTTAGCGTTAGCATGGCTATGCATTGCAAGCACGTGCACTGTCAACTGGTCGGATCCGACATTGTAAAAATGTCTTTATACATTTTGTGTATAGCTTTCGTAGTGCAATGGAAATAGTTCAGGCTAAAACTTCTCAAATAATTGAATACCCCATTCAATCTGCATGAAAAAATTGGCCAAAAAAAATTAAAAATTCCGACCAACCGACCCTATTTTTGAAAGGCATGTAATCGGAAGCAGAAATTTTTATTTTTTGGCCTAATGAGTAGAGTAGACTGGATCTTGTTTGTAAACACAAGTACCTTTGGAACGAATAGGGAGTCGGGAACTTGGGCAGCTTTTATGGGCGGAAACCATTTCAAGCTAGTTTCCGACTCCCTTTTACCATTCGAAATGCACTTTACAAACTCATTATCGTAATTGATGCATCGCGCTCGGTAACGGAATCGCACTCGGGATACGGGGACCATCGAATGTACGCTGGGCATGAAGACCACATCGCGTCGTTCAAACATTAACACGAGTCGGAAATTTAACCTGTTCACGATCGCGAGGGGAGCTCTCGGAATTGAACGGGAAATTTCACTTTCCAGTTGGATCGTAAGTAAACTTCAGTACAGCCATCTTAATCATCGATGTCTACTTGTACCTCAGGTGGCGTATCTTGTAATTTGTAGGCTATTCTGAGGGTGAAATCTGCTGTTTTTGTTGGGCAATGTGGGGTTTTTGGGTCAAGGACAAAATTGTGTTGCTCGGCATATATATACATTTTTTTAATAACCCTGAGTAATGTTAGTAACTTGTAACATTATAAAATAAATCAAACCTTTTCTAATCATAAATTGCAAAAATCACTGTTTTTACCAGAAATATGTATTTTTTTCAATTTCGTTTTTTGAACTGAATTCCCCATTTAATTGAGGTCTGGAAAAAGTACAAAAAAGGTTTAATATGTAATATTTATTTTTGACATTTTTTCCTCTCCCGTGGAAAATTGCCCACATACGGATTAGCTTGGACCCTACTATCGCCAGACCATGTCCGAATGTTAAAAAGACGATACTCCGACTAGGACTAGCCCTAGTCTATGGCCCGCACTGAGTAGACTGTTCATGCTGGGCCAAACGAACATTGATTCCCAAAAGTGAGGATTTGAAAATAAAAAAAAAACCCAAAATTGTATTTCAATCTTTCCAACTCAAACTCGGAAGGTGGGCTTCAAACAATAGAGATTGACTTCAAACAATAGAGTCTGATTTGATTTCACATTAAAAGGAACAAAATATATATTTTTCGGGAGACCTAAACACAGTTTCTAATTTTCTTGTAAAGAATTTAACCCGAGGTGTACAGCACTCAAAATTAGCATCTATCCTAGCAAGCTAGGCCAACCTAACCTTTTTGATTAGTTAAATTAAAAGTTTTGCTTCCCTCACTACACTTTTGAGAGTCCAAAATTTTCAGACATGTAGGTGTACAATGTTAAACCCTTTTTTTTATCATGGTATTCCCATCCCCAGGCACGAAGCCTGAGAATCCACCGAACGAGTACGAAGTTGAAAGAATTCAAGAATTTACCAAGGACGATGATGTAAGTTGATAATATTCTCTGGTTTATATACAGACATATGTGCAGTTTGGTAAAAGTTGGATTCAACTTTGATTTCTACACTAAATTTTAAATTCTGCAGGGTGTGTCGTGGTATTTTGTCAAATGGCTGGGCTACCCATCGAGTGAAAATACGTGGGAGCCATTAAGTAATTTGGGCGGCTGCAGGAAAATCATCAGGAAATTCCACAAGAGCGAGAAGCGGGAGAAGCTCAACCGCCAGGAGTTCAAACGCAAGCGAGAGCTCTCGGGCGAGTCCATCCACTCCCTGCCTAACAAAAAACCCAAACAGCTGACCCTGGAACAAGCGATTTCCCCCGTGGACCTGTCCAACCAACGCAGGAACGTGCACAGGGCGCTGAAGCGCTGGAAGGCCAAGCTGAACGAGGTGTGCACAGAGAAGGCCATCATTTTGGTGGAGAACGATGTGGACCTGGAAGGCCCGCCCAAGGGCTTCACCTACATCAATGACTACAAGCCGGGTTGGGGGATCGTTATCCCCACTGACCCGTTAGTGGGCTGTGACTGTGAGGACTGTAGCAGCGAGTCGGGCTGCTGTGCCCAGAAGAGCGGTGCCCCCTTTGCCTACAACAAACTAGGCAGGATCAAGGTACCCCCGGGCAAGCCCGTCTACGAGTGCAACATACGGTGCAAGTGCGGCCCCAAGTGCCCTAACCGCGTGGTGCAGTACGGCCGACAGAAAGACGTGGCCATCTTCCGGACGTCCAACGGATGTGGCTGGGGAGTCAAGACGCTCACGACCATCAAGAAAAATGAGTTTGTCATGGAGTATGTTGGAGAGGTGAGTATATCACAAGGATATCAAACCTTTCTCTTCGCAATAGCGCCAGACATAACTCGTTTCATGAAGAGATGTCTGGGTTTCTTACCCTGAATTTGCTTTTCTTCATCTAGGTCATAACCAATGAGGAAGCCGAGAGACGAGGTCAGGTCTACGACGCCAACGGACGGACCTACCTGTTTGACTTGGACTACAACGATGGCGACTGCCCCTTCACTGTTGATGCCGGCCGATATGGCAATGTCTCCCACTTTGTCAATCATTCGGTAAGTAAATGTCAATCACTCAGTAAGTTAACAAAAAACAAAAAAAGGGGTAGATTTAATTGACCTATCGCTGTTTGCAATAGGCCCTATGGAATTTTTTACGTTAAGTTTTGTTTGTCTCAGATTTTGCGCATTCCGCGTCCATTTGTATATCATGTAATTGGACAATATTTCACAAGCTGCGTTGAAGCGACTCTAACGTGATAGGTTAATTCAAATGATCCACTGTTTGAACATTTAAACTCCAATTTGATTGTACCGGATGTCACAAGGAGGGTTTTGCGTGCTCATAGCTTTACAGTATCAGCAGTTGCACAAGATTAGAAATAAGGACCATTGGAATTGTGTGCATTCAGGAGATGGATAAATACAACCCAGAGAAAGTTTATGTTTACATGAACATCAACATTTTGTGCGGTTATTTTACTAGGCCCATTTACCGTATCTGCATCTGACTGGAGAAAGATGTATATTGCCAATAGACCTTAATCACGAGGAAGCTATTTTTGATGGTGTTCCCTGAATTTTTTTTTTTAAATGTGGCTTGAAACATTAGGGTATGAATAATGATTAATCACAAATTAAGCCAGCTGTGCCTACCAGTCAACTGCTTTTGTATGTTAATGGAATTTGACTGTCACAGTGCCTACAAGAAATATGATCTGACTGTTGGTGACTGGCCTGTGCAAAAGGCATAGCAGGGGAACAGGATTGACTTTTTAACTGTCTGTGACCGATCAAACAAAATGAGGGTTAACCCAAGTAACCAACCCTTCTCAATCCTCCTCAATCCTCCTGTCGGTTTTGGATGATTTTAGAGGATTGAGGATGAATGGCAAAGATGTGTCGCTTTATTGTGGAGGATGCATTACGTCAAGCCAGTAGGCCATATTCTGCATTGGTTATGTTCAGCCATGCATAAATCAGCCCTGTGTTTTTCTCGCATTTCATCCTCGATGCTTCTAAACGCCATTCGCACTGCCTCAAACCATAGCAGTAATTGGCAGAGGATTTTAGAGGCTTGAGACAGTGGTCACCCTCCACAGACTAAATTCAAGAAATATCAGATGATTTCGGAGGATTGAGGCTCAATCCAATTGGAGGAATTTGCAGGAATGAGGTTGCATCCTAGCCAGAGGGCCTAGGAGGTTTAGGGTTAAGGGCTGCCTTTACTGTATACCCTACGTTGCTGTAGGGCCCTCTGCAACCATCCAACCCTCTGCCAATTGTTTTGTGGAATTTTCCATTTTTCCCCAGTGTCACTTCTGTAAATGATTAAACATAGCCTGATCGCCTTTCTTTTCCACCAGTGTGATCCCAACCTAGTTGTGTACGGTGTCTGGGTCAACACTCTGGATCCCAGGCTACCCAGGATAGCTCTGTTTGCCAGCCGGGAGATCAAGGCAGGAGAGGAGCTAAGCTTCGACTACCAGATGACAGGTACGATCCGTTTTAAGTGGTTCCCAGCGTCATATTCAAATTCAACAGAGCATTGTTGTAGTCAAAATTCTTGTGATAGAACACTGGTCATCATAAGTCCATCAGAAGTAAACCACAGGTCATCCAGTCCCATGTCATCTCACAAGATATCTGAAAATGTGACAAAGACATTGCCTTGTTCATACCCTTTTACTTAAAGGTGGAGTGGACCATTTGCAGCTTCCCAAAAAGTAACCCTAACCTTCCATCAAAATCCATCCCCCCATTTGGGGGATTTTGGTAGGCAAGCCATGAGTACCAAGTCCATCAAAATCCACCTATAGCAGCAGTGGTATTGTGGTCGATTTCAGCAGATTTGGTCCCAAAGCATTATGTGAACCAGAGTCAGTGATGGATTTTGGCGGACTTGGTCCAGTACTTAGTAAAAGACACCAGGGAGTTAGGGTTAAAGATGACACCAAACTCCTAGTGAAATTATTCTGTAATGCTGTCATTTTGAAGAAACCAATAAAGAAGGTAATTTCAAAAGATGTGTGATCAACAATTGAAACAACGGGCGTCAACCTGTGTGAAGTTATGACGTCGTGCATGCATCCGGATCATCTTATTTCATTGTGTAGCCAATTTTCATCACCGTGCAGCAAATGCATAGTTTTATAACAATCATAGCGGCCCAGTGAACAGACTCGGCCATGGAAGATCGTTTGGTTGTAATCAACATGAGTGTACCACCATTTTGAAGAAATCATGTCTATGCCGTGGAATCGACGTCGCGTCGTGGGTGACCCGACCATGGTTGCAATTATTTTATGTCGAGATGCCGCTTGTTCCCCGATATTCACACAATTTCTCAGTTTTTTGACCTGAGAATGACTTTTGTACTTGCTGCTGATGGTTCCGTCGTGGCGCAAACAAATCACAGGTCGCCCTGAGAATGGTTTTAGGTTCCCAAGAGAGCTGACGAGACTCCCAGTGTGAAATTATTAGCCTGCTGGTCGGGGGAAATAAGACAGAGACGTTCTCTTGACTTGACTCTGATTGATTGTGATGTGCATTTGTCATTCTCTGTATTTTGTAGTATTTCCTGAATTATTAATTGTTTTTTCTTGTTGTTGCAGGTGAGCTCAACACCTCAGGGTCAGGCTCCAAGCTTCAACCCATCCGATGCAGATGTGGCGCCAAAAATTGCAGAGATTTCCTGTTCTAAAAGAATTTGGTTTTTAAACAATTTAAAAAAAAATGCTTTATCTGCTGTTGTGCTTACTACGTTATTCAAATCTACTGACCTCGCTTGACGAAGTTTTTGAAAGTTGTTGAGAGTGTTTTATGAGTGTAAAAAGGTTGGGGGTTTTTGCCGCGGGGATACACACGGTGTTTACTTAAGGATTGACTTGTAAGACAAGTGGTCGTTGGCTTCAAGACACGTATGTATTCAGAGGATTGATTTCCGTTGCAGTGACGTGAGGGATTTCTGTTGGTCTGGGTTTGCTGGGGGTGTTAGAGCAGCCTTTTTAGAAAAGTAAGTAGCGGTGTGCATCGGAACCAGGTACTCGAGTACCCTACCGCTGATGTCAGGAACCGGTTCCAGATAACGGGATCGGGTATCCGTAACCAACTTGACAAAATACTAAGTAAGTTCTTCGACAATGACAAAGAAAGGTTTTGAATGCTCTCTTTGTGGTGAATTTTCAAATGAAAACCAGGCTACATGGAAAACCAAAACAGATTTTACATTTATGTGCATTTTAACGCGCGATGCCCGCGAAGTTGCAGTTTACACCTGATAGCTATAAAGCCCTTCAGAGAACTTACAAGATTTGAATTTTTGGGGTTGGGTTTCTTTTACAGGTACCTGTATACCCGTGTTGTACGTCAATAGGTTCCCGGTTTTCATACTACCTGTAAATGCACACCACTAGAGGGAAGGGGAGTGTGTTAGTCAATGCTTATGAAAACACACCCAACAAAAGGGGGAAAAACCAGGCTGAAGTTCCTGATAGAGCATGGCTAGTTTTTCTTCTTTTGTACTTCCATGCAAAAATTCCTGGGAGATTTTAGAAGGGGAACAAATGCCTAGACCATGGCAGCTATGAACCATGCTGGTTTTTTTTTTCCATATGCCCTTCCTATTTGCATGTGGGCCATAATATGTGCGTCTCCCCAATAGCAAGACTGGATGTCTCAGTCACTGGAAGTTCTTGTGAACTGACCTCGTCATGATTCTGGGCCTGGCTTGGCATGTAACATGTGTGCATTGCAGACTTTTGCTGGATATTTGATTGTGCAGGGTTTGCTGTGACTGGTGAAATATATCTGTAGCCGAGGCCCATAGGCTCTGCGCAGGAACAAGAGAGGGCGCTTTTTGACCTTTTTCGAGAGCCCAGTGGGTGGAACACACTGCGTGCACGTACTGGTTCTTGCGTACGTTTAGCATGAATAGGGCTGTGCATCAAAACTGGGTACCCGAGTACTTGACCGCTGATGTCGGGAACCAGTTCCAGATTATGGGATCGGGTACCCATAATTAACTTTACATATTAGTAACTTCTCAAAAATGAAAAAGAAAGGGAATTTTCAAAATGAAAACCAGGCTACGACGATTGCGAAAATGCAGTTTACACCGTAAAGCTGAAGAGCTCACTGTACACACTTGTACCTTGCTGTTTTGACACACTGATGAGGTAGTGCTATTCTGCAGACCTTAATGAACAACGTGAACAGCAACTTCCCAGATTTTTTTGGGGGGGGGGGGGTTGGGTTTAAAGCTATAGTCCATCATTTGTAATTTGTCCATTTTGTTCGTTTGAAGCAACAAAAGAGTTCAAAATCTAATAAAGGATACTAAGCAACTAACCTGATAAAGTTTCAGCTAAGCTTCAGCTGTACATTCCGAGAAAAACAGCATTCTAAGATCTCAATTTCAAATCAAAAGTTACTGAATCATGGTTTGAATTGCAGCTATACGCGAAGTCGCGCACTGATCCGACGAATTATAACAATCGCGCGCGCGTGTGCGTCGTTCCAATACTTGCGCGCGCTGCGCTGAATAACAAAACGAACTACTAATTTAAATTTTCCTACGGTGCTTCTTAAGAATCACCGTTGGAAATGCCTTCTTTCATTGATTACTTCAAAATGACAGCTTGCCAGAAAGAATAATTTCACAGGGAGTTTAGTTCCCTTACTATCTTTCAACCAAGTTTGTTTTTCAACAATAATTACGCCAGTTACTTTTCGGATGGCTGCAAATGATGGACTATAGCTTTAATAAGGGTACCTGGGTGCCCATGTTTTGTTTTTTTTCAATCGGGTACCTGATTCTCGTACTACCCGTAAACATGCAGCATGCACGACTGATTTTGATCTTAATGTGTACAAAGCCATTACCGTAGTGTCTTTACGTGAGCGTCTGAATGTCTCTCCCAGTGGTCTCCCCCAACTCCCCCTTTCTTACCATGCAGACAGTACTTGTGCACGGAGCCCATAGGGTTGCAGACCAGTAAATAAACTTCCATTGACCCCAATGATAAAATGCTCCCACTTCAGAAATTCGGGAAAAATACTCACAACTCTCCAAGGTGTTCAAGACACACATCAAATTAAAGCTTATTTCATCATTTTTCAGTTTCTTTTCAATTTACGGGGGGGGGGGGGGGTGGTGGTCAACTGATGACTTTTAGGAGAAATTTCCATCTGAAGATGATCACCCCTTAAAATAGCCCTGAAGCCCATCGCCATTTTGAAAAACGTTGCCAACACTCCATTGCAAATTAGAGCGCTTTTAGGGCCCCAATTTCATCAAAATTGAACGGAGCTATGAGCTCCCAGTCCTGTGCACGGCTTCCACTCATATTTTTTACAAACCCTCTTGTGCATGGCCCACAGTATGCTCAAATACTGAAGATTTTGAGGGCATGCAAATCGTGATTTGGCCGGCGTAGGCAATTTCGGACCGATTTACTGGTCTGCACCCTTGGGACTTTATCATGATTCTGGGCTTGGCAAAATGGCACACGTTGAAATGAAATAACTGTTAATAGGTAGGGTGCTGTTAGTTTTTGTTTTGTTATTTTTTAATAGTGTAGTTTCAAGGTCTATCAGTTCAATTAGATTTTTTCAGTGTGTGTGGAGAGAATGTTGGTCAGTAGTAAACTACGCCTGGTGTAAAGTATTCATAACTTCAGTGCAAAGTTTCCTAATCGAAATTGAATGTTAACCATGAAAAAAAGGTAATGCTATTTTCCCTGAATCTTTGCTGTTTCAACATGAAAACCGTACAACTTTGTGGTGGTTATTAATTATATTGTAACTTTTTGCCATTTCCTTCAGAGGGCATTTATTGTTATCGTGACAGTGCCCAAATTCTATAAATATGTAGCCCTCTTGTACAAAACTATCTGAAGACGGCTTTAAAATCTAACTCTGTATATTTACTTCTTTCATGTTTGACAGCATTTTGAAGGGAAAAAAAACAATCAAAAATTTGTATTTGTTATAATTGAACAGATGTTTTTCTCTATTATGAAGAGGTTTATAAATGTCATCAAGAATCTTTTTATCAAAAATTACTGGCGCCAGTCCCTTTTCACCAAACAACAGATCCCAGTAGTTGCTGAGGTGATATGTGTGACCTGTTGCCAAAAACGAACATGAAGTTTGACTTTTTTAAGAATTGAGATTTTTTTTATATTCGTGGAAGCTTTCTAATGGTATAATTATAGCATTTGGGGGTAGTTAACAGAAATATAGAATGCCAACAAAATTGAAGTTGTTAAACTACTTTTTTTGCAAAAATAGCATTAAAAATCTTGCTGTTATTTTACAGTGAATTAAAAGTCAACTAATTAAATGGGATAAAAGTAGGTTTAAAGGCAATACACAACATTTGCTTTAGCTGTAATGTTCAGAAATGGATGGATTTGGGCCGGGGTTGGTATTTTATCGCAAATATTGTTACACTGATGACTTGTTTGAAGTTCTGTGTTCATAGTTGCTGGAAAAAGCAAGAAGAACAATTATGTTCCTGTGGTCTGGTTCCCTGACCCCACTTAAAATGAAAGGAGCAATTTATAGATGTCAGAATTGTAAGGTCAGGGAACCAGTCTAGCTGGCTTGTACCCACTCATAGGCGTGTAATCGATTGCAGGCAATATGCAGACTAACAATTGAGGGCATTATTTGAAAAAAAAACCAATTTTTTTCCAACGCTGGTTGGCCAACCAGCGTTTTGCTTGAAAATTACAGCACACCAGGTGCCATGATTTTTACAGGATGCTTTACACTGTCATTCATCAACAGTCCAGTAAGGTATTTCATAATGATATGGTAGTTTTGTTTTTTGATGTATGAAAATGTTGTATATTCCCTTTAAAAAGATGTTTGATAGAACCCCCTCCCCCAAAAAAGGGAAAAGGTACAACACAACTTACCGATTGAAACAAAACTTGACAACAAAAATTGCTTTGTGGTGACAGCACTTATTTCAAATCTTGGAACTCTCATCGTCTCAAACTGAGGTTTATCCCTAGTGCTTTTCTTGGAATGTCTCACAGTGTAAAAAAAATTGACTGGTTTTTTACCCCGTTTCAGCTTGTTTTTCAGAATGCTGAACCAAATGACATGTATTCCAAATGTCTGCATTTTGTTACACTCAGGCGCAACTGTCACAGTTGATCATTCAGACTCTAAGAGTCTTTGCAATGGGAAATTAATGGACAAAAAATTGTCAATAATTTATTTGGACCGACTCAAGTCGCTCAAATACTCTTGGTTCGGCATGACTCTAGAATGCCAGCGTAAAATGAGTGTTAAGCGTATGTTTATTTGTTGGGAAATAGTCTCATGAAAGATGCGTTTCCCTTTTATTCAGCATCTCACTGAGTCGAATGTTTTCAACTTCCTTGACCAAATAAGAAGTCGTTGTACAAATGTATTTTTTATGCCAAAAAGAAAAGAAAAAAGAATCAGTATATCCCTCAATGCACGTTGTTTTCGCAATAATATTCATATGTTAGCATTACATTGGTTTTGATTCACTTGTAAGGTTTCATCTTTGCTGTAAATGGTTTTAAATGGTTTTTCGTCCATCACAGTAGTTTTAAAATGAAACAAGGTGAAATGCTTTTTCCACCCTGTAAATATTGTAAATATATCTTAGACATGATTAAAGTATGGAGGTATTACCATTACCACTTGTGCCGTTGAATAACTGCATCTTTGTATTAAAGTTTTCTTGTGACAATGAAACTGTTAATGATCCAAATTAATTGAAATTATAAACCTACAGGATTCCCACAGTCGTGCCAAAAACCCTGGAAAATCTTGGAATTTAAAGCTATCATGGAAAGTCATGAAATGTTACTTTACAAGGCGTGCAAGAAAAATTTCTTGGAAAAGTCATCGAGTCTAGCACAACCCATACGTGATGAATATATTTATTTGCAGTTCAAGTTTGCAGTCCAGTTTACTATACTTTCTCTTAATGCATGTCTTCTCCGTACTTGTTGCATGTTCAGTGCACCATCGTGATGCTTTCGTGGTACTCAGTGGTCTTGTGTCAAACAGGAAGGCTGAAAGGGAGTGGCATCCCTTGCCTCCAGAGCAACAGGCTCTTAAGATCAGGCATGCAACTGGGAATTTAGAGAAAAAAAACAAGACTTTGTGCAGTATCTTTCAATTTGTAAGGCATTCATGAGAAGTAAAAAACGAGGAAATCAGTGGATCCGAGGAAAAGTTGCATGCCTGTAAGATGCCGAAACACCATAGAAATTGGTCAAGGAACACCCTAATTTTGTCCTGGAAAGTCATGGAAAAGGCGTGGCACTTCATTTTTAATGACCTCAACTTTAAACTTGATTCCCCAGAAGTTTTGCTTTGCAACAATTTATATTCCTTCTCCAGGAAAGCAACGACACACTCCTTGTGTGTTTTCAAGGATCATCAAACCCTATGTGAAGTAACAGTGGCAAGTCTCTGCCCTTAATCGAATAAAACCCTCCGATACTTCCGGATGAATTTTGGAAGATCTGGGAGCTGAGTTAGTGTTCATGTCCAATAATTATTTGAAGCTATTGGAAAATACTGCTCAGCACAACAAAAAGGTGTTCATGAGGATCCAAACACCAACTTGTTATGAGGTGTTCTGGCAAAATAACAGAACTAGGCAGAGGTCGAAATGGGGGTTTGCGGGTATTAAGAAAGAGAATAAAATTCCATCTTATGAATAGTTAATGCGGTACCTGCTGCTATGTACATCAGATTCGAACCAGCCAACCGATCCCGTTTGCTCGGTGGTCGAGTGGTAAGACATCTGCAAAAGAAAGCAGGAGGTCATGGGTTCGAGTCCCACCCGAGTGATTTTTTCCAACTTTCACTCGGGAGGTAACACACTTGAGTATACAGTGTTTATACGTCGGTGAAGGGCAAAACCTAATTTGAATAAAATTCTCCTTTACAATTATGTTTGTTGCACTTCAATCGGACATTTCATTGACAAGTTATGGCTGTTTAAAGTTTGCATTTATCGACATGTCAAAAATCTAAAATAATGAGAAAAAGGAATTTAATTAACAGTTTGACTGTTTTGTAGTCGTGAAAATGAAAGACTCTAATTGTTTTTCTTAACACTTTTATTCCATGGTTTTTATACTGTTTCTTTAAAATAATGTGTAGTAGACATATCAAAGACTACAAATATCAATAAATTTGAAGAAGAAAAAAAACCCTGTTATTTTCATTTTTCTCAACTATGACCCGTTTCCAGTTCCGTCTCATTTTGCCAGAATGCCTCACATATAGCTCACATGGCTTTGATGACACTCAAAGTTGGCGCTGTAGGAAATTGTGGGGAAATGGAGGATTGGAATATCAGCCACACGAAGTTGTAACCCCGATTGTCAAATGCCAAAGAATTTGTTTTCCATGAAACACGGTGTGCCCAGCACCCGGAAGAACCTCACATACTGAGCCAGCCAACATGCAGTTTTACACTTTGTCTGGTAACTTTTGTTAAATAGCAGGAAATAACATCAGATCAATCAGTCATGTTATGGGGATGAACATGAGGGTGGATTCAAAATCCCAAAACGCCCATTTGTGAACGCACATTTACCCAATAAAATGAGGCACAAGTCGCACACTACTAAATAATAGGCCAAATTTAGGCCAAGTAAAAAAAAACATGTTTCTCGTCCGGGTTTTTGAAGAAAAGGAGGAAGCGGGGCTTTTCATTTTTTATTTTTTATTTGTTTCAAGATGGCCGTCAATTAAAAATGTTCTGCAACCGTTGGCGTTTCCACTGTTCAAAGACACTTTTAAAATGAAAGATAAGTTGGACAAGAGAACTGAACATATTTACAGTGTCATTTAGACTTGTATTGGTCTACAATTTATTTTCCGATGAATTTGTGGACTTTTCGGTGTGTTTTTACTGCATTTTTCAAAAATAAAAAATAATAAAAAAATCCAGGCGGCTTCCAAAAAGGAAGCGGGCGGGGACGAGAAACATGTTTTTTTTAACTTTGCCTTAGGTGTCAACTACCGTAAACCGATATAATTGTAACAATTAGGAGCTACTTATTTTATCCTTACCGCATGTGAAATCTAACAAGTGAACATGTGTCCTTAAAGGTACAGTAGACCATGTGTCACTGGCGCAGTTTTTTCATTTGAAGCCACAAAAGTGCTCAAAATCTAAAGAAGGGTGTTAAACAACTAACCTGATGCGGTGTTAACTCTGTGAACACTGTATATTCAGCATTCGGGACGTGATTCTCATTCAGCCAATTGTTGCTACGTGATGTCACACGCTGAACCGATGGTTCTCGCTACGCACTTGCACCCATTCACGGATTTGCCCAATTACAAACCAATTGCCAACGGAAATTTCCAAAAATGCGTCACTTGACACATCTTTGGGAATGTGACCTGTTGTTTTCTTCAAAATGAAAGCATGCCAGAAGGAATAATTTCACAGGGAATTTTAAACCAAGTAGGCTTTGTCACAATAATTTAGTCAGTTACTGTGCACTTGGCCTTTAAGCCTCATTTCGTGGGATACGGCCACACTTGAAATTTGTGACCTTGAACACGGCACTGAAATTCTATTAAATAAAGGGTGTTTCATTTATTGCTCTTATATTATAAACGATTAAGCATGGATGACTTATAACCAAAAATGCCCGATTTTTTTTTCTCCAGAAGACTTCAGTTTTGCCTTGTCAAGTACAATATATCTTGTGAGGGAAGCTACAAGACAAAATGGACATTATGGACAAGGATACAACATTTTTGTCTTTATCAGCATTAAACAGAAATCCACTGGAGTTTATTTTGACAACTTGAAGAAATGAAGCCAAACAAACAATGCTTACCAGGAAGTACATATCTTTTTTTTAATCCAAATAAATATGTCATTAACGCAGTTGAAATCAATTTCTCAAAAGCAATTGCCATTGTGCTAGTGTACGAATGTCAGACCAGATAAAAGCTATTTGTTTAAAAATAGACTTAGTTTTTTATTTTAATACATAAATCCTCAATGCAGAAACACACTGCAAATTAAATCTACGTGAGTTTTCTTTTCTTTTTTCTGCACTAACAGGAAGTGTGAGAGGTTGAGACGTTGCCAAAAGCTATTGTTTTTAATACTGAAATAACATAAAAGAATATTTTTAATGAACAAATTTTTTTTCTACGTATTTTCAATTTTTTTTAAGCATTAAAATTCCAGTTTGATTATTAATAACATTTACCCCCAATCTCTTATTTATTTTTTTGGACAAAACATATGAATCAAATGTACAAATTTCCTTAGGTACAGTCGACTCTAGTTAGTACAAACTCTGTTAATACAAAATTCTGGTTATAACAAACATAAAGCCTTAGTCCCGACTGTGCATTTATGTGCACAATGAATGCGACTGATGTTCCTCTTAATACAAAATTCTGATATAACAAACAATTTGGCTAGGTCCGAACGAGTTTGTTATAAAGAGACTTGACTGTATTGTGATAGGTCATTTCCAGTTAAATGATGTCCAATGAAACGTTGAAAATGATTTCTATTTTACTCTGGCCAAATTTAGTCTTTGAAATATGGGACTGTATCCACCACTGATCCACCACTGTCAAAATATTAACTTGATGTAGAATTACTGAAAAAAATGAAATTCATAAAAATTCTAGACATTTTATTTTACTCGATCACAAACGCACACATTTTAACGAATGGTAGGCTGTAAAAGAACTTAAATATTGCACCAAATTCTAAAACCTGAGTGGATTTAAATAACAAAATTGCGAGAAATGGACATTACTTCAAATATGTTGGTTAAAAAAAAATGAACATGCTTGATACTCCATCATAATATATTTTAAATGAGAACCTCGTAAATTCCTAAATTCCAAAAAGCAACTGCATATTTTGAATCTATTTACAAATAAACACACTAAATTCGAATTCATGACATTTTTAAATAGATCATTATTACTCAATATTAAAATGAAGTGATATTATTTCTGGGCAGAAGTATCCCAAATGTATCTCTACACAAATATTCAGTAAAAATAAGAAATCCAAGTTATTTAAAATTCAATCACTGAAACCACAGATTGAGTATTCTTCCAACTTGTTTCAGACCAGCATTCCGGCGTTGCACTGGTCCAATATTAAAGAGTGACTCACATCAATCCAAATGCATCGATATTGTCTTGAGACAAGTGAAGAACTGATTTTTAATTTGGGCGATTCACAGTGCAGTGCGCCACCAAGACTTTGCCATGGAGAGTCCATTTTTCAAATTTACGGTCGACAAAATATGGCCCATTTGAATGAGTGTCAGTAGACAACTTGAGCTAATCAGTTATAGATCGGGGCAAAGCGTTCTGCCGCCTCACAAAAAAAACACCGAATTGATAAAAAGAAAAGGGCAAACAGATACTCGAATCATAGGCTTACAAATCTACTGACCGGAAAAACAAACAATTTCAAATGTCCTGCGCTGCAAATTTGTCGACCATCTCCCACAATGCACTGGGAAAAATGAACTCTCTGTGGCAAACTCTTGGTAGCGCACTGCATTGTGAATACATGACTTTAGAGTGAATCTATTTGAAGGTTTTTTCTCGGTATCACTCCTTATTGTTTCAAACATCAAACTTTCAATGTGCTAAATTCAAATATTTTTGATAATTTGGTTTGGCACGACTCTGGCATGTCAGACTCATAAGGGTGTCATTCCTTTACATTAAAGTTTACTGACCAGGATTTTGAAAAACACAAGTATAGGAAAGCGCGGCATTATGTCAGACAGTGGAAACATCTGTTCATTATCATGCGTATTTTCATTGGTTGCTATGTGTTGCTAGTCAGTACTCCAGACTCAAGATCCATTGAGTTTTAAGTAAAATAGGTCTGGGAACTAGACCAGGCAATGTAAGAAGCTCCCGGATGCCAGGCTCGGCTATTGGTCTAGTTGGATTGTCTTGTTGCATGACATCACTGGCATGGATTCGCCCTTTGCGATCATGACCCACACAGCCTCCAGCCGCTCTGGTCGGAGCCCCTTGCCCTCCGGCGTACAAGGGACGTCAAAATCCGAAGAGCTGCGTGAGACCACTGAGCCCTGCGAGCTCGGCAGGAAGGTGTCTTGAGATTGACTGGTGCCCTGTGACAGCTCCAAATGTGCCTCATCATCGGTACCCAGCGTGTCATCGGTTCCCAGTGGAACTACTGAGCCGGCCGACGAATTCTGGGAACTCAACACGACCGTTCCGTGCGATTTTGACTCAATTACGGTTCCATAGACAGCAGTGTGCGATATGTTTGTGTTTTTGTGTCGTTCAGTGTTGGCACTATCTTGTCCCATAGTTTCTCTTGATGAGCAAACTACAGGCTTTACTTGGGATTCTTGACTTCTCAAACCTACTGAGTCTGGCTTGAGCGTCTTGCAGTCATCTGAGCACACTTGCGCGACCTCCTTCTGCAGTTCCATTGCACCATTATCAACCAAGTCAAGTAAGGTGCCACTTCCATGCTTTTGTTGAGCATCTGTAAGATCTACCAATGTAATAGTCTCCATCTTATCTTCCTTATCACATGCTTCACTCGTCCTGTCATCAGACTGATCAGCTTTGCAACGACTTCCATCTAATTGTACTGAAATGCTTTGCTTTGTCCTCCTCATCAATTCCCCATCAGGAGCAGGTGTTTCTTGGCTGTTCTTGATGCTGTATTCGTCCGTTTTGTCCGACTCATCCTGGGAGCTGCCCAACTCGGTAATGCTGCCGTGCTTGGTCTCCATGCAATTAGCACTATCTGGGGGTCCAGCATCACCTCTTGGGTGCGTATCAGCGGGTTCAGTCTCAGTGAGTGAATGCTGTTGTCCTGAGGGAGGGGGCGTGGCTGTTTCTGACCCGCCCCCTTCCTTGGACTCCTTGTCAGTGTCCGCGTCGGGCAAGAACCTCAACCAGCTGTCAATCTCGGCACGTTTGGACTCCCGTTGCAATTGCTTCTCACTCCCTCCTTCTGACAAGCCAGCACCTTGCAATGACCCGACTGGATCGCTACGCAGGTTATGTGGCGTATAATCCCTAAGAGATTTGACAAATTCTCCCAGTCCATTGTCTAGATCCTTAGATCCTTCCTGACTGTCTTCCACAGGCTGGGATTGGTCTGGCGCTGAGTCATACAGGTCGAGTTCCCCACTGCTCAGATCGCTGTCGTCCATTGCTAAGTAACTCTCCTGGGTAGAGCCTTCGAGAAAGTCTCCCGACTCTGAGGACACATGTACATCTAGAAAGTAAAATAATAAAATTGAGTAAGTAAAAAAAGCCAAAAAAACACCTAACATATTCAAAAGATCAAAATTAAGTTGGACATTGGAACAAATTTGGAGTGTCCAGACATAAAAGACCAAATGTTGCAGTCATTTGAAATGACTATGGGCTCCATGCGCCAGCAAAAGTGGGCGCTTTTTTACCACTTTTGAGAGGCCTGTGGATGAGACACGCAGCGTGTGCATACTGTGCTGGTTCGCGCGCAAAGCATGCACGACTTCCTGAATATGTGCCAAAGCTATTAGTCACAGCGTCTTCAGGTGAGCGTCAGGCGTCATCCTCGCATGATTGCGTTCAAATTTCTCTTTTGGTGTCTCCCAGACTAATCCCATGCCAATCACAAGCAAATCACAATTAAGTCAATCACAAAAATTCTCAAATCAAACTACAAGCTATTCAATTACAATTTCAATTTGGGTTGACCTCTTGTACAACTCTGGAACAAGTTTCTGAAACAGGTGTCAAGTCTCAGTACAAATCAAATCACAAGTAACAGTCAAATTACAAGTCAATCACAAGTCAATCACAAGTTAATCACAAGTCAATCACAAGCCAAATTACAAGCCAATCACAAGTCAATCACAAGTCAATCACAAGTCAATCACAAGTCAATCACAAGTCCATCACAAGTCAATCACAAGTCAAATCACAAATCAAATCACAAGTCAATCACAAGTCAATCACAAGTCAATCACAAGTCAATCACTAGTCAATCACAAGTCATTCCACAAGTCAAACACAAGTCTATCACATGCCTATCACAAGTCCATTACAAGCAATCACAATCAATCTGAAGTCTCTAATCAAACTACAAGCTATTCAAGTACACTGTGAGAAAGACATTCACTGATCATATTCTGTCGCTTGTGACCTGAGTTGTGGTTTGACTTACAATTGACGTTTGATTGACTTGTGTATTAACTAATAATTGTCTTTTAACTGGTAAATAGCCTTGATTGCCGGAGGTCATTAGGGTCAGATCAAGCTGCAAGTGACCTTTGCACTTTTTTAAAGATGAGCAAGCTGCTAATTAAACTGTTATTATATCCGCTAAAAAGCATCTTACTTTCCCAAGCTTGTCCATCGCACAATTCTTTTCCTTGAGGGCTGCGCTCCTTACGTTTCTTGACTGGAGGCGGGGAGGAATTGAACATCTCTGCAAGCTCATCGTCATTCTCATCATTGGTGTGAGGTACTGAAGAATGGAAGAATGAGAAACAAAGAGTGGTTTTTATTTTGTTTTCAAGGAATTCATACCAGCTAAGAACACTTGAGGCTCATTTTCAAGACCACATTTCCCTTGTCTCCGTCTTGCAGGGATGTAGTGTAGTCCATTATAAGTCCAGTCACAAGTAAATCACAAGTTCTTTCACAAGTCCAGTCACAAGAAACAACGGATGAGCAATAAACAAGGAATGCCTTTGTCAAAGCTCATTTGAATAGCCTGCGAGTTGAATTGGGACTGGAGGACTTGTGACGGATTTGTGATGGACTTGCAGGGACTTGTGATAGACTCGGCTTACATCCCTGCTGGCTTAGTCTGGGCATCAGGGTGACCATTTTAGCCGAATTTCGGCTAAATTTGCAGAATTTTTCGTAAAAAACGAGTTTGACAGAAAATTTGAAAGAACGTTTTTTTTTGGCAGATTTCTGGCAGAATTCTACAAAAAAATGGTTATTTAACAGAAAACCATAGCAAATTTGAAAAAAAATGGTACATTTGTTAAAAAAGCTTCAATCTATTCAAGCAAACCCTTGCATAATGGGACAGGTTGGCTGGTCTAGCTGCTGAGGTTCACTGGGAACCGGATCTTCATCGTGAAGCAACCACATTTTGCCTGACATTTACGCAACTTCATGACATCTTTATGTGACTATAGATTGTTTATAATGTAATATGAACCCTAATTAAGGCAATACCACAACATCTGCATGTGATTTTAAGTGTTTATAGTCTATTTCGAGTGATTCTGGGGAATTTGGCAGATTTTTTATTCATCTGACAGATTTTTGAAGTGCATTTAGCAGAATTGGGGCATGACCTTACGGTCACCCTGCTGGGCATCTTCAGGTCTTGATCAATCCTTGGGCTCGGACTTAAGTGGATTCATAGTTTTGGTGAGACCTGAAAGCACATTTACATGTAGATTGATTAAAAGGCCCAAAATGTAACAGAAGTCTGGGCTCCGTGCACAAGTACCCCCTCAACGGTAAGGAAGGGAGAGTTGGGGGAGACCACTGGGAGAAACATTCCAACGCATTGCCGATGAAGCCTGATGCTCACGCGAAGATGCTTTGTCGTTGTGTGCATTTAGAATAAAATTAGTCATATGAACAAGTACGCAGTGTGTCCCGTCCATGGGGCTCTCAAAAGTAATATGCGCCCTCTCTTGTTTGCACATGGAGTCCATATCTGCTCAACCCCCCCCCCCTAAAAAAAAATTAATTAAATAAGAATCTCAAACTTGGCGTTGCTGAACATCAGCAAACTACATCCAGAAAAGATAAGTCCAAAAAGAAATGTTGACTGAAATTGCTCGGTTCACAGATTGTTGCCATCCACCATGGAAAAAAATGACACTAAAAGTTTGGACAGAACTGATTGTGAAACAATCTGAAATTGTCACAAATAGGTTTTCAGCCAGGCCTGTTGACTATGTGGTTGACTGAAGCTCAGACATTATTGTATTCTTTACAGGAGTGGTGCAAAGAAAATCTGCATAGCCTGCAGACTACAGTCACAATTATTTCTATGTCAGCTGTTTCTGAAGAAAAGTCACAAAGAATTTCCAACAATGCAACAAAACTTCTATCCAAATCTGCAATATCTCTGTAAATGTGAAAATATAAAGCACTCAGCTTATTAATCGAATATCGAGTAAAGAAAATGCAAAGTTTTCATGTTCAGTAAAAAATAAAATATATTTCTGCAACCTTGCACTATCAATTGACCCTCCTGGGATTCCCTGCTGAGCCCTTGCCAACTTCCCCTCCCGACCACAATGGCCTCAACCAATTATCCTTCAACTTGGTCTGTGAGGCCTTTTCAAAAGCAACTTGGTCTTTTGTAGTCTTTCGCAACAGTCTGTCAAGATCATTACGCCAAGTACCAATATAAATTAGTTTCTTGTCCCCACCTACTTCCTTTTTTTCCTGCCCGCCTCCCTTTTCCCTTTTTTTTTTTTAATCATACATTTCCAATATTTTGTGTCTTTTTATTTTTGTTTCCAGCAAAATTGTCCCTGTATGCAAGTTCAAAATCTTGTAGAAAGGGTGAAAGCTCTTTTGGACATGAACGTATCAGCAAACGAGTCAAGTACATGGAAAAATCAATCTGCCATGTTGGAAAAACCACCATCTTTGGGGGGGGGGGGGGGGGGGGGCCCTCCTCCTCTTTTTCACAAAAGTTTGGACAAACAACAAATTTTTGTTTCACTTGGCCTTAACAAAACAGCTTCAACAGCGTCCACCTCTGCTGACTGAGAAAACAAAAAATCGTGAATAAACTACATTTTCAAGGACGAGCTCTTTAAAAAATACAAAAGAAAACATGCGGACAAAGTCCCCAACAAATTTAACAAAAATGAAAATGCCTGTGCCTGTTTTTTTCTTCTGCAAAACCAAACAGACTGACGTCTGCTATTTTTTTCTCAAAAGCATGTGACTGCAAACATCTCTGTTGTTGATAAAATACTTTCCTCTAGGCAAACCAACGGACAAACAAACAAACAAATACCCTGGGAAGATCAATGAATGAGCGACAAGTACAATATTGTTCTGCAACACTAACCCCTCAGCAATATTGGAATATTCCATAACCCTGGCTCCCGATTAACCTGTGTGTAGTCAGACCATTGAAAAAATACACACACACACATAGGCGACCAGAGCAGCTGTCATTATAATAAAAAATATATTAATTGTGTATATACAGCGGGAAAGTCACCTTTGCCTACTGCAGGGGGCTGGGGCATCCATGAAACACGATTGAGTGAATTTAGGATGGAAAATATCCTGGACGTCTATCTGGAGTCCACGAGCCGATGAATACAGACATCAATAAACCAACAGGATGGTAGTTATACGGTAAGACTAGCATTTCTTTATCCACGGTTGGCAGCCTACATGTACATTCACATACTGTGGTGACAGTACTAAGTACTGTACATGTAGTTGAGCTTTCATCATAAAACACGTTTATGAACAAACATTATGGTATGTAGACATATATACATGTACCATGGTGGCAGCAGTAACAGTGTCTAGGCCCGCGGTAGGCTGTTGCAGGTTTGGGGTAAGCCACTGCATGTCTGTGCCAATTCCTGACCCATTCGAGAAGCTTTTTGGGGTTGGGGGAGGGGGTCATCTGTCCACACTATCAAGAGGATGAGAGAGACAGGTTGTTTACTTTGATTTCCAAGGGCTCATGCTCCTTGTAATTTTGAATGCATGGTATGTGGCATACATCATTTTACATGCAGTACCTGACAACAGCTCTTGAATATGCAAGGCCATGGAGCTATTTGTTGGGGTTCTCAGACCTTTGTGGTTTATCGGTTTCTGCCAAAATGAAATTAGCATTGCAAAGGGTACTTGCTTGGCTGGTACTTTGACAACTCAAATTCCAATTCATTATCGGCACTTGGTACTTGGTCTTTGGTAGAAAATGCTCCTAAATTCACAGCTAGGGAGATTTACACGGAGGCCTACAGGGGAGGGAATCTAGTTATATTTTGAATGGTTATCGCATTGTTCTTGCTAGCTGTTACTAAAAGCATCTGGCGAGGACGAATCAATAACAGTCTGATGAAGATCGGTCCATTCCTGAATATGGTTCTCGGAAAGAACCAAGTGTTCAAGTGTTGACGTTGAGATGTATGGGTTCTCTCAAATTGTTTGTTGTTGCCTATCCTTGACCCCCTAGTTTTTGGCTTCAGGATGCGACTAGAATCTATTGTGATGATGTCAAGGGTGATTTTGAACAGGGTTATAATCTGGTGGTTATCAGGCCTCAGTATTTAATTCTTTAATTTTTTTTTCATTTGATTCAAATGAAGCACAAAGACAAACAAGTGGCCTGCACATATTTCTTTTTAGAAAAAAAATTAAATAAAGATCAAGATAAAGTTTTTCTGCACAATTGATCAGTGCTACGAAGCAAACTGTTTTTCTTGAATATTAATTTTTTTTATCTATATTATACAGTGGATGACATCTGAAGATGGCATCAATGTTTTACTTGCATTGACTATGAAAATTTGCAGATCATTAACTACTTCGCGTAGGGATTATTTTCGCAGAAATTTGCTTTTCGCGAAAGGCAAAATTTTCCAGCCAACTTCTGATATACAGCCAAACGCCACTTCGCAAGAGTCATTTCAACAGCATTTGTACGATATTTCTTGCCGAAACCGTGTATGTTTCAATACTCCAAGGTGTGCACTGAAGCGTAAATTGTCGAACAATAGGCTGTGCACAACGGCCAATTCAAGATCAACACACAGTCTGCCTCCACAGACTTCACAGACTTTGTGTGTGTGTACAAAAGGAACGAAAGATTAGCGTGTTAGACGTCACCCGGAGGCGAGTCGAGACAATCTTGACGTTTCAACCCCTCATGCAGCCGCCCCTGTGTATAAAAACAGCCAGTGCGTGTTATCACGTCCTCCGACGCGACCTGGTTAAATATGGGTCCTACAAACAATCTTACAATATCGATACCAAAATGACTTTGAATAGGACACAGAGATACATTGAATGATGCCATTAAAAATCATTTGCATGGGCCCTTTAAAATGTAATTGTAAAGCCATTCATCTGTGAAGTGTGACTAGACAGTTCACATACATTACTAACATTATTTATGAAACCTGTGTGCTGTGAGGCATACAACGGTATGATTGATACAGTTTGCAATTGTATACAAGCACAGCAATGTTGCAATTCACTGTCGCATTTTTTTTTTAACAGACAAGAAAGCTTGCTCATTAAACAATGTCTGAAATTCCAACAGTTGTCAAAATTCCTGACAATTCCTGCGCGAATGGAAAATAATGGGGAGTGTCAAGGACAATGAAATTTCAGAAAATTCAGAGTTCTTAGTCTCATTACATTTACATAGTACCGGAGAACTTATTCATTAGAAAACCATGATTTAAAGGGAAGATATAACATTTGCAAACATCAAAAAATGAAATGATCAAATTATCATGAAATACCTTACTGAATTGTTAGGGAATGACAGTCTAAAGCATCCTGTAAAATTGTGGCTCCTGGTGTGCTGACATTTGCAAGAAAAACTGCATTTTTCCAAGGCTGGTCAGCCGACCAGCGTTGGAGAAAATTGGCTTTTTTTCAAAAACTGCTCCTAATTTTTCATATTTAGTTATTCCGCATTTTCTTTGAAATTGATTACGCATCTGTGAAGGGGTACAAGCCTGCTAGACTGATTCTTTGACCTTACAATTCCCCAAAGTCTTTACATTTCTCTGTTTCATCTTAAGTGGGGTCAGGGAACCACAGTACAAGAACATGACTGGTTTTCTTGTTTTTTTCCAGCATATACAAGCCCAAAATGTGAAACAAGTCAGTTTAACAGTATTTGCTATAACATACTACTCCTCCAAATCAAAGAAAAAGCAAATATTGTACATTCCCTTTAACCTAAACCAACCCAACCCTTCCAAATCCAACTGCCTGTTTGGTTAGAATCTGTTGGAGTGAGGACTGCACTAGTAAACTAATTATGCTTTACATGGAGTCAGGCATACCACCATAATCAGAGTCCAACAGTTTGGGTGTTGGGTTTACCATATGGTGTTCGTTTTTGCAAGAGGAAGGAAGGATCCTAGTAAAACACTCAAGGGGGTTTCATGTGAGGCCTCAGACAAGTGTCTGAGAACGTAGATCACAAAGTCTTGTTGGATTCGTGATGAAAATCTGACCTTGGTAAAGCTGATATAAGGGTCAATGTGAGGATGTACATGTATCCTGTTCACACACATGGGTTTATCATTATTGAAATCTAATGTCAAGGGTAGGGCACTTTTACTTTGTTAATGCTCATAACAGCAGGTATTCACTTACGTGGAAGCTGTCTTTTGAAGGGTAAAAAAAAATGTACGGAGTATGCCAAAAAAGTGCAACATTCAGAAAACAAATAATTTGAACTGTTTAATATTTTTTCTTTAATGACATCATATAACACATTAAAGCCTGACTATTTCTCAATCCACTCCTTTTACCCCATTCCATTTGGGTCCCTAGATCCAGCAATACAATCAATTAAGTGAAAGGGTGTACATTTACTTGGGCCACTCTCACCTGGACATACTGAATCTGGGTTAAGCATTGAATAGGCATTGAATAGGCATTGAAATTTATGACATCACAGGTGAGAGTGGCCCAAGTCAAATGTACACCCTTTCACTTAATTGATTGTATTTCTGGATCTAGGGACACAAATGGAATGGGGTAAAAAAAAGAGTGGATTGAGAAATAGTCAGGCTTTAATAAGGGAATAAATGTGAGCTCGAGAGGTTTTTATCACTCTGTTTAATACCGCTTAGAGTCTGGGTGCTGATAATTACCCGAGTCAAAAAATCCCGATTTTGTTCAACAAGTTCACTTCATGCTTTTTGAAACATCCCTCTAGCAAAATAATGGAGTGTTCAGCTGGCGAGTAAGATGTAAACAACCCTTTTATGGAGATTGACGCGCGCGTAGCATGTTCTGCGCGATGTCACGCAGAACGCACCTGGGGCGTTGCGTTTTGAATTTAGAACTATAAAATTCTGACTCGCATGTAGTGTTGCGCATGCCTACGTGAGGATTGTGAACGTTCAACCAATGAAACGGTAAGAGGCACTGGATTTTTAGGAGTCCACATTTTATTGTGACACTGGAAAAGTGTTTAAGACCAGCTAGCCATGTCTTTATCATCCGTTTAAGACCGGCCACGTGACGGGCTCTCGACCAATAGGAATAGCTAAACTGTCTGAGGTATTTATGAATGTAATATATAATTTCATCGAAGAAAAAAAACATTTAACAGTTTTAATTATTTGTTTTCTGAATGTTGCACTTTTTTTGGCACACTCTGTCTTGGTCTCTTATTGTGGCAAAACGACTTTGGTTTGGTTTAAGAAAAAAAAAGACAGTTGTAAAACTTTGGGGAGTCAGGTTGGCGTAGTGGTATTTTCCTTGCCTTTCACCGCTGTGTCCCGGGTTCGATTCCTGCCTGGGCCAATGTGTGGATTGGGTTTTTAGTCCCTACTTGATTCCGTGGGTTTCCCCGCAGAATATTCCTCTGGGGTTTTCCTCCCACATCTAAAACTGTAATTTCTTCACGTTGTCTTCTCTTTACTGGGACCCATGGGAGATCAGTGGTTTCCACTAAATGGGCTACCCAGTTAAAATAAGAATTAAATAAATAACTAAAGTTTGCTTAAACTAATGCTCAAACCTGCTGACCAGAAACAAGTACATTTATACCAAAATCCAAACCAAACCAAACCAAACCAAAACAAAACAAAAAAGTTTTAGACTGTGATAACTTTGTTACTACTTAAAGAAAGAATTTTCATGATGTCATCTGCACATTTGGCTCACTGGCATGGGCTGAATGCCACTCATAATGTGACGTTGTGAAATTCCGCCTATTGCTACGAGAATCAATTTAATGGAGGGGGCAAACCTACATGTACTTATGAAATCAGGGCACAAAACCAAAACAGGGGCCTACATGGAATGCCATGAGATGGGCACAAAGTATCACTTTCCTCGCCTTCCACCTCTGTGACCCGGGTTCGAATCCCGCCTGGGCCAATATGTGGATAGGGTTTTCAGTCCCTGCCTGAGTCCGTGGGTTTTCCCCTAGAATATCATTCTGGGGTTTTCCTCCCACCACTAAAACTGCAATTTCCTTTCACTCTTCTACCCAGGGACCCCACTGGAAATAAGGCGAAAGACTTTCGCAGGCATGAGAATGAATTTCGATGAAAAAAAACCCCCAGAAAACAAGATGTGAAATCAGGCAAAAAAGACTTAAAAAAAGCTCAAAATTATTTTTAAAATGCGGAAATTTGTGCAAAACAAACACAAATTTCTGTTTGAACAGGAACATTCTCATATCCCAACCAATTGCCGAATAATCACAAACAAACAAACAAACATGCTTTTCTTTTGCATTTTGTTGACTTGCTGTCCCAGCCCTTGCTTTTAACTGGATTTCGACATGTTGAGGGATATAAAAGAAGAAAAAAACACAAATTGCAATTTCCCCTTTGTTAAATGCTTAACTTCAGGACAATGCACCTGGCAGGATATTCTACTTCCACTTAACCTCACAATTATTACTTTAAACAGGACACAGAATCTCATGTGCCAGGAAGCATGTACTAAAAAAAAATTGGCAAAGAAAAACACTGATATATTTGATAACACACATTTTAGATGTGCAAAGGGAAGGGTGGCCTTTCAATCTTTATCAGTCTTGCTTGTGTTGGGACCACTGCCTGCAGTATCCTGAAGTGACTTTGATTACAGAAGAAGTGTGTCAATGATTTACTTTACATTTGAGGATACACTAGACAACCCCTTTAAAGGTAGGGTGGACTATTTGTCGTTGTTGCATTATCTTTGTTTGAGGCAACAACAGTGACTCAATATCTAAAGAACCGTAGAACGGTGTGTAACAACTAACCCGATGAAGCGTTAGTTCTGTGAATGCTGTACATTTCGGGAAAATTTAATATTCTGGATCTTGATTTGAATTTAAAAGTTGCTGAGTCATGGCACAATCCCGAAATCAGCATTTCGGACATGATTCTCATTCAGCCGATTGCTGCTACGTGATGTCACACACTGAACCGACGTTTCTCGCAAAAAAAGCGTGTAAGTTGTGTAAACGCATGTGCGTCATGTCAACGCATTTGCGCCCATTCACGGATTCGCCCAATTACAATCCAACTACCAACTCCCAACGGAAATTTCCAATAATGTGTCACTTGACACATCTTTGGGAGTGACCTTCTTTTATTGTTTTCTTCAAAATGACAGCATGCCAGAAAGAATAACTTCACAGGGAGTTTAGTATCATTACATTTTTAAAGCAAGTAAGCTTTTTAACAGTAATTTGGTTGGTTACTTTTTGGATAGATGCAAATGGTGTACTCTACCTTTAAAACTTGCTTATTCTTCTTATTTTTCCCAGAAGCTGAAAGCACTTGGCTGGACCCAACCCCAGACTGAGCCGACTCACAACAGGCAATCAGGTGCTTCATAGTGGACTAATTGGCCCCCCTATTTTTGGCAAGGATACCAACAGGGATTCACAGTTGTCCCAGTATACACTGAAATTCCACCGATTATGCAAATCACAAGTCTAACGCCCGGCAGTAACTAAGTTTGCTCATGCGACAGCCTAGAGATGGGTGAAGCAGTGGATGGATCGCAACAGGACCTGGAGATGTACAGTGCAGTCAGAGCAGGCAAATGGACATTAATTCTCAGAGTGCTGTTACTAGTGTGGCTGTTGATAGGGTGTGAGACGCAAGGCAGCCAGGCTTGCCCAGAGCTCTGCGAATGCCAGGACCTGACGGTGACCTGCCCCGATGCGACGGAGATTCCCACAGACATTCCTCCGGAGACTACCGTACTAATGTTTCCCCATCATCGCTTCACAAACCTGCCCAGCTACACCTTCGTCCCCCACGATCTGCTCAATCTCAGGGAGCTGCATATCCGCCAGGGCAACTTGGAGGTCATCGACGAAAATGCCTTTCATGGGCTTCCTGAATTGATCAAGCTGCATCTAGACTACAACAACATCCAGGACATTGACGCCAATGCCTTCGATGGTTTGAGCAAGGTGGATTACCTGTATCTGTATTATAATAAGCTGCAGCAGATCCACCCCAGACAGTTTGCGGGCCTTCCCAGGCTGAGGTGGCTGTCACTGAGTTTCAACGCCCTGACAGACATCCCGGCTAATTCCTTCCAGGGTCTGGAGCGTCTCCTAACCCTGTACATCCGTTACAATCACCTCTCAGAGCTCAGGGACTACCAGTCCTTCAGCGGACTGCATCAGCTGCAGCTACTGAGCTTGGAGAACAACCATGCTCTGAGAACCATCGGGGATGAGACTTTCAGTCAGCTGTACTCGCTGACGGACCTAGAGCTGGGAGGCAATCAACTGACATCAGACAGCTTCACCGAGGCAACCTTCTCTGGACTTCACAAGCTTCGCACCTTGAATTTTCACGATAACCCCCTGGGTTTTATACCAGCTCTATCCTTCAGCGCCATCCCACAGCTGGAGACCCTCTACCTCACAAGCTGCCAACTCAGGTCTGTCCAACACGAAGACTTCCAATATGCCCCAGACTTGAGAAAGCTGTATCTGGACAACAACGTGGCGCTGAAGGAAATCCCAGTCCATGCGTTAAGCACACTGCCCCAACTTGAGGTTTTCCACTTCTCCCAGAACTCCCTCACTGACATCCCCGAGTACTCCTTCAAGAATGTAACCAGCTTGAAGGAGATGTTCATCACAGACTCCAAACTGAGCAGCATTGACGAGAACGGCCTTGACGGCCTTGGAAACCTAGTTGAGCTGGACTTGTCAAACAACGAACTCACGACTCTCGCTGAAACGACCCTGGATTCAATACGCTACAGCAGCGGTCTAAAAATAGACCTTGGGGACAACCCCTGGGCCTGCGACTGTCACATGCGTGACTTCCTTCAATGGGTGGATGAGCGTTTCACTCCGAGACAAATCCAGCAGATATTCAACATTACGGAACACCAGCCCAAGTGTCTCAGCCCCCCACAGTACGCTGGCTCCAGCATCTTCGAAATCCCCACCCATGACCTGAACTGTAAGGCTCCACCTCCCAAGGACATCAGCCACGAGATAAACCAGCGTCGGGTCACCATCGGTAGCTGCGTCAGTCTGGCCATCGTTGTGATACTGTGCACTGTGGGAGGGATCCTGTTCTATCGAAGGAGACAACGAAAGCTACGAGAGATGCTTCGCCGATACGGGTCCAGGGACAATGTCAGTTCATTTCCACTAGATGATAATGTATCCATCTGATCAAAATCCTCTTAAATTCTACATGATAAAAAATATCTGGAGTGGTTTTTTTTTTATGGAGATATTTACAAAATGCAGCACCTCTGGATGCACATGTACTTGTTGTACATTTGTCAGTGAATGTTTTCAATATTTTTGAGAGTACCATTAATAGAAAAACATTCTTTCAAACATTATTTTGAAAAGGATAAGGCTGGTCATCACAGCCTGAACCTGCCTCAAAATAGCTTTCTAAACAGACCTTTTGTCTACACCTGAGAAAATGCAAAATTGAAGGTTATGCCTTGTCTACGATGTTACAAGGACAAAACAAGTTCAAGGTTTCCAGTGGTAGAAATAAATCGGCATACTGCACGCTTTCATTAAAAGTACCCGGATGACTGCAATATTATGTCAGTAAAAGTACCCGGAAATTACTTTTGATACTGTCCTCATCTGGGCATTTTTTTACAACTTTCGCTGGTTCCCGCACATTCAAGGGCATAGAAACTCACAGTTGTCAACCAGTCAACAGTGCGTAACGCGCGGTACCATCGCACGCGGATGCAGCACGCAGCAGGGTATACGCCCACTTTTGTCGACAACCGCAATGACAGTTTTGAGCGGCGCGAAATTTGCTTCCTTAAGCAAAGAATATTCTAAGAAATTTTAGAAATAACAACAGTATCCTGAAATTTCTTTGTTACGGATCAAGTCAGCTTGATATAAGTAATAAAATAATATTGGCTGGCTCTTTTTCTGGTGATGCAACAATATATTGCACTAGATATAACAATAAAGCTCGCGCCATATATTCATAAATCTACCCTCAAAACAGCCATATAATATTATATCAATATTCCATGCACTTAGGTTTAGGTGTTATTGTTTCACCTTTACTCAAGGTGAGAAACAAAGCATGACCTAGATTGATAAAAGTGTTTCTTAAACAATTTCACCTGGGCTGCAATGATAAACCGTACATGCACTTGTTGAAGTTTATTTTTTGCATCTGCATTGATTTAATTCAGGCAATTAATTTATACTGAACAATAATGTATTTATCGCCAAGCCAGTGTTACAGGGAATATACAACATTTGCAGACATCAAAAAACAAAACTACCAAATCATTATGAAATACTTTACTGGACTGTTAGTGAATGACAGTCTAAAGCATCCTGTAAAATCATGGCACCTGGTATGCTGATATTTTCAAGAAAAGGTGTATTTTTTTAAATCAATTTCCAAAGCTTGTCGGCCGACCAAATACTGCCCCCAATTTACCATATTTAGTTAGTCCGCATTTTGTTCCCAATCGATTGGTTCCCTGACCTTATAATTCCCTGACATCCTTAAGTTGCTTCATTTCATCTTAAGTGAGGTCAGGGAACCATACTACAAGAAAATGTTTCTTTTTGGGGGGGGGGGATCCAGCATCTACGAGCACAAAACTTCAAACAAGTCAGTGCAACAATATTTGCTGTCAAATACTAACTCCCAAATCCATCCATTTCTGATGATTTCAGCAAAAGCAAATGTTGTATATTCCCTTTAAAACTTGAGTTGTACATGTATGTATATAGATATGTTTCATGCAATGCAAAAATATGAAGTGTAAAAGATGTATTCTGCAATCTATTTAGTGATGTGAATCATGCTAAACAGTTCTGCATGAAGTTGAACACGGGCCTTTCTATAAATTTAGGGTTGTGTGACATTTTCCTGTCCCTGACACCTAAGAACTATGTGATTTGTCATTCACGCGTCATTAAAGATATAGTCCATCATTTGTAATTTGTGCATTTTGTTTGTTTGAAGCAACAAAAGTGCTCAAAATCTAAAGAAGGGTGCTGAACAACTAACCTAATTAAGTTTCAGCTCAGCTTCAGCAGTATATTTGGAGAAAAACAACATTCTAGGATCTCGATTTCAAATCAAAAGTTGCTGAATCATGTTTTGAATTGGGCCTGAATTCAGCGTCCGAGACACGTTCTCACTGAGCCAATTGCAGCTACGCGATGTCGCGCAGGGATCCGACGAATTAAAGTAACTGCGCGCGTGTGCGTTGTGTCAACGCTTGCGCGCGCTTCGCCGAATAAAAAACAACAACTACCAACGGAAATTTCCAACGGTGCTTCTTAAGACGCACCATTGGAAACGCTTTCTTTTGTTGATTTCTTCAAAATGACAGCTTGCCAGAAAGAATAATTTCACAGGGAGTTTAGTCCCCTTACTATCTTTCAACCAAGTATGTTTTTCAACAATAATTACGTCAGTTACTTTTTGGATAGCTGCAAATGATGGACTCTGGCTTTAAAATGACTTCAAACTATTTTGAATTTGTTGGGTAGATAGTTACAGAATGGCTCTTTAGGAAAGAAGGCACGAAAGAGTTCGTCCAGATTTACAAAATCACACATTTCAGATGTAACAGGCACAGGAAAATTTGAACCCAAATTTATAGGATGACCCAAATGTTAAGAACATGTAGCACACAAGATTGCACGTGGCCAGTAAAATCAAAATAAAGTAAGTCATCGAACACAGTGTGTGATATGGACAGTGCGTGAGTTTGAAATAAAAACTCCTTACATGTAGATATTTTCTTTAGTGTTGAAGAATGAAGATATAAATCTAGCCATTTTTTTTAAAGGAAGGGACTAAATTGGGGAATTTTTTTTGCACTAAAAATTCACCCACATGCAAACAATTAATGTGAAAAGCCCTTAAATGCTTTAGCCTCATATGTTAGGCCAAGTAAAAAAAAAAATAGTTTCTCATCCAGGATTTAAAAAAAAAAAAAAAAGGGAGGAGGCAGCCCTTATTTTTAAGTTGGCGGATTTTCCAATGTGGATTCTTTCATTTTCTGGACATTTTTGCTGATACTTTTGTGTCCACAGGAGCAGTGACCCTTTTTCTATCAGATTTTGAATTTGCATACATAGCTGCAATTTTACTGCAAACACATAAAAGTGACAAAATATATTGCAAACGTATGATTACAGAAAAAAAAAAGATGGGTTAGGAAAAAGCAAGCACGAGAAACTGGTTTATTTTTTGACTTGGCCTTAGCTGACAGCGTGCAAGTCACTTCCGCCAAAGCTAAGACTGAAAGATGGTTAAAGGAACGCAGAGTGATTTGACGCAACACTGTAGTCCATCACAATTATGTATCACTAATTCCTGGAAAATCCGATATAATGTTATTGTGTGTTTTATTCTACAAATAGGAACAAATCTCATAACCCCGGGAAGGGTTACAACAAGGAAATTGAACTTAAAAAAAATTGTACGACAGGCAGGTTTATTAAGAGTCTCCTTTAAGATTATATTATGCTTTGCCTCTCTTAAAGTTTGGTAAATTAATAAACATATTTAGCAACACATCTAATAATGTGTTTATCAGTAGACGACATTAAAAAAAAAATAAGCTGATCATTTTTTTGTTAAACCATTAAAGCCAGACTCCATTTGACAAAATGTCACTAAAAAAATTCTTTTGAAGATTATCATACAAAGGACATTCTAATAGAAAATGCATTTCAGTTTCAACATCAATTAGACAATATGGACATAATCTTTCCAGTGGAGCTAAACAAGTGTATCCCAACTTCAATAATTAACTTGTGAGATGAACATATTGATCACCCTTCATCAGCATTTATTTTAAAGTGACGTTGCAAAAAAGGCGGCTACTGCGTACACCACCGTCTTCTGCTAAAAAAATTGGTTAAAGTGGTCAGAAATTACCTCTCATCGCACAACAGAGCATCTAAAGCCTTAACATTTTCCAGGGCCCTTAAGCAGGTCCTGAACCCCACGCCTTCAATTTTTTAATCAACTTTTCGGGGGACAAAATTTTATTTTTGGCCTCCCCCCTGTTCTAGTTTCACCTGTTCTAGATTCACCCTTGTTCAGCAGGAGTTAAAACAGTATGCATATTTTAATCCTTCACATTTATTGAAATTATGTGAGGCGTTTTGGCAAAATTAAACGGAACTAGGCACAGGCCGTGTGGAGAAAAATTAAAAAAACTCAATGGGGTGATTTTTTTTTTGATTTTCAGATTTATTGATATTTGTAATATTTGATGTCTGCTACACATATTTTGAAGAAATGGTATAATAACCATGGAATAAAACTCATTTTAAGGAAAACCAGTTGGCATCTTTCTATTTTCACAAATTCAAAACTTGAAACTTTAAAGGCCTTTTTCTCAGTGTTTTACTCATTTGACATGTTGGTAAATGTGAACTTTAAACAGCCATAACTTGTCAACAGAATGTCCGATTGAAGTTCAACAAACAGAATGGTAAGGAGAATTTTGTTCTCTTTCCTAATATCTGCAAATCCTCATTTTGATCTCTGCCCAGTTCTGTCTCATTTTGCTAGAATGCCTCACATGTTATTTTTGTTAATTTCTAAATACCAAATTCATGTCATTTGGACAATTAGCATTGTTAGCATCAACTACCATACTTCTACATTCCATTGAATAGTTAAATTATGCGTGGCTAACAAAAAAAAACATTTTTCAATTTGTGAAGAAATAATATTATGCTCTTCTAGAAACAGTGCCCACCCTTTGCCAATGCTTAGAAAGTAGGATTCAGTGAGTCCGGAGCTGAATTATGTAGTGTGCCAGTAACTAAATGCAATTCTTTTACTGAAAAATAAAAAGACTTTATAAAGAGAATGAATAAAATATTAAATCAATAAAATTTGTGTCAATAAAAATCAGTGAAGACAAGTGCAGATGATTGGTCAGTTTATTCATGAACCTGCCCAGTACAACAAAATATAACAAAAACAAATTTGCCAATTACACTGTTTGCTAGAACATTCCACAGCAACATGAGGAGAGAAAAAATGATTCTACAATTCTAAACCCTTACCATTAACATTTCTTCCTGCCGTCCCCTTAAAACAAGGTTTGACAAAATGTAATCAAAACCCAGGGCCTGAATTTTAAATGCTTGTGCAAACATGACATGTACGTGTATGTTGACACATCAGCATCTGAAACTGCACTTAAACTCCACAGACAACATTGCTCCTTTCAATATTTAACCAAAAACAAGCACAGACTTGGCGAGTGCAGGCTGCTTAAAGGGGCAATGACATGAATTGTACACTGGGACATACTTTCTGCAAATGTCCATTCCTCCTAAAAATGTATGATAACTATGAGACATCCCTTTTTTGCTCAATCTATTTTGTAAAGTCCACTTATATAATCATTTAAAACATTCCACGCTTTTTCTGATAACTGAGGGCGCTGTTGCTGTCATGTCACTCAAGGTACACACTCTTCAGTTTAGGAGTTTTCTGTTCAAATTGTGAACCCAAAGTTTCGGTTACTGAAAAACCATTTGCGAATAAATCTGTTCAAACACTTAATTTCATTTATACACCCTGCATGTACAAATGACAAGATTGAAATACTGTAGCTTTTCTTTTTTTTTTAATATATTTTTCGGGGTTTTTTAGCACAAAACGCGAGGTAAAATTGTTGAACTAAATTGTTGGAAATTGTGAAGTTTTGACTTGTTGTGACTTTTTGACCGAAAAGGTATTTATGAATGGGACTAAATATGTGCTTGACCGGTATTAAAGGGAATATACATCATTTGCTTTTGCTGTAATTTTCAGAAATGGATGGAATTTGGGGGTTGGAAATATATAGCAAATATAGTTACACTGACTTTTTTGAGGTTTTGGGTTCGAAAATGCTATAAAAACCAAGAAAAACAATCATTTTCCTGTAGTCTGGTTCCCTGACTCCATATAAGAAGAAACAGAGCAGTTTACATACATTGGGGAATTGTAAGGTCAGGGAACCAGTCTAGCTGGCTTGTACCCGTTCATAGGTGTGTAATCGATTGCAAACAAGTGCGATGGTCAATTGGGGCCAGTATTTGAAAAAAAGCCAGTTTTTTCCAACGCTGGTCGGCTGACCAGCGTTGGAAATTGATACAAAAATACCACTTTTCTTGAAAATGACAGTATACCAGGTGCCATGATTTTACAGGATGCTTTAACACTGTCATTCACTAACAGTCCAGCAAAGTATTTCAAAATGATTTGGTAGTTTTATTTTTTGATGTTTGCAAATGTTGTATTTTCCCTTTAACTGCTCGGGCCATTAGCCGCGTCCAGGCCCCTAGCTGGTACTTGGTTAAAACCAGCCAAGTACATATTTATTCCCTTAATAACAAATGTTGAAGTTTGTCTTCTTTGCCGACTCTTAATATGACTTGAATCCTACCTCTTCTAGTACAGACATTCATCAAGGAACCGCCTCTTCCTGGAAAAAGTTGTATTTCATAAATTCTTTCCATTTATTCAGTCACCAAAATTTAATGGCAGTTGCAAATAGTGGCAATAACAAAAATAATAGCAATCATCTTAACAACAGTTATTTACAATTAATGGCATTCAGTGGCATTTCGCCAAACAAGTAATATTGCATTTACACACATTACCCCTCCTATGCAAACATACAATCTGTGCGAAGTAGTCCTTTCAGTCAAAACTTAATCAAGTGACTGTTTTCAACAGTTAAGAATTCCCAGCCAACATAAAGCAGGATTGACTGGCTGTGACTGTTTATGTAACTTGGTACAGCTTAGCTTTGACTGTGGGTAATTGATAAGCCAGCTGTACCTACAACTGGCCTGCTTTGTCTGTTCATGGTCTGTTGTCTGAGTTTGACTAGTCACAGTGCTTGTTTGACATGTGATCTGACTGCTGGTGACTAGCCTGTGTTAAAAGTACAGCAGGGGAAGTGGATGGACATGTTGATTGTCTGTGACTGTTTAAATAAAAGGAGGGTTACTGGAAGAAAGATTTGAAGGTTTACACGGTGAAAAGAGCAATCAGAGTATGTGTGTGGTAGCACCATGTAACAAATCTCTTTTGTGAGATTGTGTGGTTCTGAAAAGAACCGGGGAAACTCAGTCTCCTGACGACGGGCATTGAGTTGCCCTCAGAACCTCAAAAACTCACAAAAAAGACTTATGAAATTATGCAACTGTAGACTTACTCTTACTGCTGGAGAAAGTAACAGTGTGAAATAATCGTCTAAAATGACTATTTACATTTTTTAAAGGCACCTAGGATCATTTGCATTTTAAGTATTTGTTTCCAATAATACCATTCTAAATCTAAAGAAGAATGTTCAAAACCTAACTCGTTGAAGTTTCAGCTCAGTTAATATTCTTTTTTTTGTCTCGAGAAAACAGTAAAAAAACAATGCACACCCTTTTGACCAAATAACACAATTTTATCTACAGCCATGGGCGTCACGAGGGGGGGGGGGGGGACAAGGTGGGCGCTTGTCTCTCCCCTTGAAAAGGAAAGAGAGTGAGGCGAAGGTGATCCAGAACTATGAATCCTTCCTAGCCGTGCATAGCGCCGCCTGCCCCATGGCCCTGGAACACTCCCAGAGGTGAAAGTGACGTCACGGTACCGACGCGGGCAAAGCAAGAGGGCAGTTTCTCTTGTATTGCAAGACTATTAGGCCCTTCGGACTATCGAACCTTCGGACTAGACTATCGAACCTTAGGACTATTGAACCTTCGGACTAACGAACCTTCGGACTAAAAACCCCTTCGGACTAAAGAACCTTCGGACTATCGAACCTTCGGACTATCGAACCTTCGGACCATCGGGCTGTGACCCAGTTACAGACCTGAACTGCACTTTTCATGAACGCCATTTTTCTCTCTCCAGAGTTTCACACCAATGTCCTACTGGGATGGCTACGTGTATTTCGAATTAGATGCGCAAAAAACTGTGATCTTGGGGACGGTCTATTTTTCCACATATCTTAATGCAAAGAAAAGGAATGCTCAGTACAATGCAGCCATAAACCATTCTTTCGTTACTTAGCTCATGGCAGAATTTTATTGTACACTACAGACAAAAAGCCATAAAACATGTATTTTTATAGAAACATATTGAATAAACTCCAAGTACGTCTATATCCATGTCTATATGTGCACCACAAAGCAATTATTGAAGCAATTTATAAATGTAATTCATATTCATGAGAATAAAGCAGAAAGACTAATCAATTGTAATCATTTTAGGCAAGGATTTGCCCGAGGAAACCTCAGCCCGTCATTTTTAAGCTCTGGGGCTTCTACAAATCACTTTAGTGTCGGTCGGTCGCCGAAAAATTGACAACAAATATTTTACCAAAATTTAGCAAATGCCATGCCGTCGTTAGTAAATGCACTCTAATAATTGTTTGTAACAATACGTAATGTTTATAAAAATGTTGTAAACAGAGGCAGCATTACATAGGTGCATTAATGTTATAGTCAGGTGGTATTTTGTGTAGTGGTTGGACGGTATTCAGAAGGAGGCCAGAGCTTATATTGTGCACCCGCACTTGTTATATCCCCCACTCGATGCTGCAAAAAGTCTTTTGTCATTGTGACGATAAAATGCAGTATACTGGAAGTGCAATGAATGAACATAACTTTAAAAAAAAGAAAGAAGCATTTTACAAAAATCGAAAAATTATTCAGATGTTCAGTGGCGGACGTTAAACAAGAAGGTCGTGATGACGTCATCACCTGAGAGGTAGCCCTTTAGCGTCAACTTAAAATGTGTGGTTGGGGGTTTCCCAAACTTTCGGTCAGTTTGCCACAAAGATTCTTTGGAGCCAAACAAATTATTTTGCAATGTTTTTAAATGATATCATCAGACAGAGAGTTAGTCAAAGGAGATCATCTTTTTTCTTGTTTAATAGAAATCCACCATTCAGTGCCCAGTAAAACAATAAATTCAACTAAAACGTTCGCGTGATTCTTATTTTCAAAGAAAAGAGTTTTCCTTCTGCTACCTTTGGTCAAACGATCAAATGCTTTTAAAAAGGGAATGTACATTATTGACTTTCGCTGTAATTTTCAGAAATGAACTATTTGGGGGGTTAGTATAATAGATCAAATATTGTTACACTGACATGTTTGAAGTTTTGTGTTCGAAAATGCTGGAAAACCAAGAAAAACAGAAATGTTCAAGTAGTCTGGTTCCCTGACTCCACTAAAGAAGAAATGGATCAAAAATGCCGGAAAATGGTAAGGTAAGGGAACCAGTCTAGCTGGCCGGCATGAACATGGAACCATGGTTCGACTCACGTGACGTGGTACCTGGCTTCAACCCCGACGGGGAACATGGCGCTTGTGTTCTTGGGCAAAAAACTTTACTACAATTGCCTCTCTCCACCCAGGAGAATAAATAGGTACCTGTGAAGGTTGAGACTAGAATATGCTGATCTCGAGCTGCTGCAAACACTGGTCTCATGACCTGATGAACAGGGGTAATAATTGTTAAGCACTTTGAGACCGTTGGTATTAAAGCGCTATAATAAGCACATTATTATTATGATAAATCCAAATAAATGATATGTCTTTAAGATGTAGGTGACTGCTTAAAGGATGGCACCAAGTATCCATCGTCCGATTTAGGAGACTGTGGATGCTTTTCATTCTTTGGACACACTGCATTCTGGTACTCAACGCCATCAGCAGAGTGTAGATTGTTTTCTGGCTTCCTAGCATCAGCATATGTGTAGACAAGGGGCTGCTGGCTCTTGATGCTGCAGTAGATGTGCTCGCTGCGGGTGGATGCTTCTAAGCTGCTGAGGTTGTCGTCTGGCGACAACGTTGATCTCTGGAAGTATGATTGTCGGATCGAAGTCTCCATATTGATTGTTGATCTGTTGGTGTGGTCTGGCGACATCTGCTGCACAGAGAGTTGGCGTCTCTTTTTGCAGCAGCAAGTTGCAATTATTGCTGTAGCAATGATCAGAATGACAGCGCCAATTGCTGCGGGTATGACTTTTTCGAGAGGGAAGGATTCGCAGAACGCATCAATCTCTTGGCTGGTGAAGTAAGTCTTGGAGCCATCATCAGAAGTGCAGTAGGTGGAGTCCAACTGGAGGACGTTAATGTTATTCCGCCGGGTCTCTAAGTACCTGGTGAGCTTGGTCAGAGTGCAGTTGCAAACCCAAGGGTTCTCGTGCAGTGAGAGCATAGTCAGGTCATCCAATCCCTGAATGGTTTGAGCAGACAAGGTCTGGAGTCTATTGGTGTGGAGGTAAAGCTCTTGGAGGCCTGCGGTCACACCCTGGAACGCATTTGGGTGGACCGAGTCCAGCTCCATCCTACTCAGGTCCAAGACGTGCAGGTAAATAAGTCGGCTAAAGGCATCCCGCCGCAGTGCCCGGATGGGATTTGCTGATAGACTGAGGTCTTCAAGTGTCTGCCTGAAGTTTTCGTTGGAGATGGCACTGGGAACCTCCGTCAACAGGTTGTGGTTCAACCGCAGTGTTACCAGTTTGGTCAAGTCGGCAAAGGCGTCGGCATCTGTCGTTCTGATTTCGTTGTGGGAGATATTAAGAGTTTCCAGATTTCCAAGATCAGTCAGCATCTCTCTTGTGAGGTTGGACAGTCGGTTGAAGCTTACGTCCAAGTCACGCAGACCTCCCAAATTTTCAAAGGGTCCGTTTGTGATGAGACTGGGTGTGTCCTCGAGCAAAGGTTCAACATCAGAATCTGACCTGCTGAAGTCAGAGATCTGATTATTAGACAAATCCAGAACAGAGAGCTCAGGTGCCCTTACCATCGGAACTCGTCTCAAATTCAAGTGGCTGAGATTCAGAGTATGAATGTCTCCGTAGACAGCAGATTCTAACTCCAACTCGTTTAGGTTACTGTTTCTGCAGTTTGCCGTGGTAACACCGGTCTCATTCGAGCACATGCAAATGTCGCATATCTGCTTTCGCAGCACTTCTGCTTGGGGCACTAAGGGCTGAGTCACAGCCGTCAGGACAAGATAGTGGAAGAAGAAAAAAAATCTTTGCATTGTGGTGATCTCCATCATCATGTCGCTCCAGAAAAAAAAAGTTAACCAACACTGAGCTTGGCATGCACACATCTGAACTTGACTGTCGCTGTCGAAAGTGTTTATAAGGGATCCTGTCTGCGTGCCAGTTCTGCGAATTTTTTCTCTCTTTTTTTAGCAACTGATGCAACCCGACAGGAAGTGACATTCTGTTGTCAACTTCCCAAGAATGCTCTATGCATGTCTCCTTAGGTAATTTGCTTTTATTTCCTTGTGTGGTACTAGGTATAAACCAGGAACCACATTGTTTGAAATCAAAATAATCATCTACTCCCCTGACTACAGCCTCGATTGTGGTTTAGGCTCAACCTGGCTGCACTATGGTGGCCCTGGTTAGAATCTAAGCTCTTACAATGAAATTCACGATTCCTCAAGCTGTCCGCAGGGAAGGTGTAGAGCTCAATATCAAAACTTGTTAAATACCTCTCCAATATTTGGTGTGTTGTTTTTTTGGGGGGGGGGGGGGACTTGTTAACACAGTCGAGCCGCAGGCACGTAAAGGCGCCTTTGGCAGCCAGCCAAATGACCCATAAATGATCATGGAGCACAGCTAAAGATTGAAAGTGTTTGATTTTTTGCATAGGGAGGAAAACCAGAGAGCCCAGAAAAAAACCCTCGTGGCACAGGAGAGAACCAACGCACAACTTTACTCAAATATGGTCCACAGCCGGAATCGAACCAGGGCCACATTGGTGACAGGCGAGCGCTTTATGCACTAGCCACCCACGCCATCCCATAAAAGGTCAAAATGCCACTGCTGAAAAGTTTTGTACCCTGGCCAAAAAGAAAGTGTGACACAGCTTTGTTCCTCACACTTTGCTGCATTGTGCTGAACTAAAACTAATCAAAGTATAATATCCTGAAAGATGAGCACTTAATTCCTGTCAGAAGTTTATTATACAGGAAGTAATGACCAAGAAAAAAAAAATAGATCCTGGTTGTCACTAGATTTCCGCAACAAACCTCTGGCTCCTAGCGTTTTTTTTCTGAGGTGCACGGAAATCCAGAAGATGAAAGAATGCAAAAACGTGTTTATGCTGATTCATACTTTCATTTTCGCCGAAGGTCGTGTTGCATTTTCTGAGTCCAAAAAGTGTGTTGGCCTTCCATAAAGTGCAAGTCATATCACAAGTCATTCATGAGTTGAATCACAAGTCAATCACAAGTAAGATTATAAGAAACACAGAATAAATAATGACAAAGCGATGCCTTTGTTACAACACAATTGAGCTTGTAACTCAAGTAACAACAATAATAATCATTTGGGAGGCTAATCATCCTTACTCGCCAGAGTTTTAATGACTTGAGTCAATAGTCCGACTCGAGTCACAATTTTTGGTGACTCGACTCGACTCGAGTCCCTAAGGGCAAATGACTCGACTCGACTCGAGTCACTGCGAGCAAATGACTCGACTCGACTCGAGTCCCTCATCAGAATGACTCGACTCGACTCGAGGAAGGCTAATAAGACTCGAGTCCCAAAAATAAAAGCAAAACTTTGCGAAAAATATTTGCAATGACTTACGCCGATGCCGGTTTTGTTCACGTCACGTCACGCGAATAATGTATTATACATACGTGGTTTGATCAGTGTTCCCATTAGTTGAATGACGATCAGCTGGCACCCCCTTTTTATTTTCATTAAGAGTCAAATGTGGTGTCGCCACATGTAGTGTCGCCACGTGTAGTAGCCCAAATGTAAAATTTAAAAAGCAAAAAATGACTTTCTCTCTTGTGTTTATTTATTGTATAGTGCTCAAACATTTGTGACTCGAATTGACTCGAGCTAAATACTTGACTCGACTCGACTCGACTACACACTGTGACTCGACTCGACTCGACCTTCTTGACCTAATGACTCGACTCGAGTCACTTCTTTAAAATGACTCGACTCGACTCAAGTCACAAAAATCAGTGACTCGTTACAACTCTGTTACTCGCAGCTGAGAAGCTGGAGTGCGAAGGACGCGGCTACAACGTGGTCGAGCTGCAGGCATGTAAAGGCGCCTTTGGCAGCAAGCCACATCGATCCATATATGCCCACAGAGCACAGCCTGAGATCGAAAGTGTTTGATTTTTCCGGAGGGAGGAAAAACCGAAGGGCCCAGAGAAAAACCCTCGCGGCACAGCAGAGAATCAATGCACAAGGTACAATGTTTCAGAGCCGTTCGTGATCGCTATGTAACAGGGTCGCGCAATGTCGACTTTTTCCCACAACACAGGGCGTTCTCCCCTTGATTTGAGCCCTCTGGCGACAGTTTAGCCGTATTGTGACTCCCTTCTATTCTCACATTGGGTCATTTCATATTAATACACAAGCCACAGTCAATGTACATTCTAGTTCTCTGAAAACCATCCAAGTTTAATCACACGAACAATCCTTATATAACAAAACATTTGGTAGCACAATACAGAGTAGGAATCTGGTTTTGTGAGGGTTTTGTCCCACTAAGAAACTGTGAATTATTTCAGAATAAAAGACAGAAAACTTTTGCAATTCCTTACAATCAGGGTTGTGGAATTGTGCATTGCTCATGTGCTGTATTTTCACCAGTAACAACTGTACGTCAGTAGCACGTGATCAACAAGATCTGGGCTGTTCAACTTTCTTCTTTTAAAACCGATAGTGAACATAGACATTGAGAAAAAAACACCTAGTTAAATATATAAATAGGATATATAAAATATATATAAAATTTATTGCAACAGAACCCTTGAATAGGGTCGGTAGTTCGGATTTTTCTCCTTTTTTTTGGCCAATTTTGTGTGTGCTGTGCTGATTGAATGTGTTATGCGAATTTCAGCCTCAACTATTTCCATTGCACAACGAACGCTATACAAAAATGGTCACAAAAACTGATTAAAGCTTACCTTACTAATATTGTTAAAGTATTTACTGTCGATAATTCTTAAATATAATGGAAAATTCAGATCGTGCACACATTATGCACAACACTAGTCAAGTCGGGAAACTGGCCCGTACATCGCGCGGTAGCGTGCGTGATGCATGTGTGTGGCGGGCGGCGGACTTTCGTCCAAAAAGGGGAAAACAGTGGAAATCCGGTTATCCGGATCTTCTCAAGGAAATTCTGGTTCGTCTCACAGAAATTCCGGAATTCCAGAAAAATCCGGACAAATCTCACCCCTGACTACCACATCAGTGCGTCAATACAGCAAGATACAAGCGTGTACAGTGAGATTTTAGCTTTACGTTGTAACTTGCAACTTTCGAGAGCGTCATAAATGGGAAATATGCTTTGTTTTCCCATGTAGCTTGGCTTTCATTTTGAAAATTCCCCACAGATGAAATGGCAAACCTTTCTTTTTCATTGTCAGAAAGTTACCAAGAAATATGTAAAGTTGGTTACGGGTACCTGATCCCATAATCTGGAACCGGTTCCTGACATCAACGGTCAGGTACTCGGGTACCTGGTTCCGATGCACATATGCCCCTCCTTTTTTTACAAAACTGATCTGACACTACAGATGTTGCTAAATAAAATGATGTTCTCAGACTGTTGCCGACTCACCGGATATCTGTCAGAGGTCAATAAATGTGGGGTGCTGTGGTCCAATGGTTACGGTGTTCAACTCGTGTGCCGTGGTACATGGGTTCGAATCCTGACCGTGGGAACATGGTGCTTGTGCTCTTGAGCAAGGCACTTTACCATTATTGCTTCGTCCTTTGGATGGGACGTAAAGGCATAGGTCCCGTGTGTTGTGTAATGCACGTTAAAAGAACCCAGTAACACTTATCGCTCAGAGAAGGGGTTTGCCCCGGTGTTTCTGGCAGTGGCTGCAATATGCGCCGCAGTACCTTGTAAACCATTATAAGGTGCTACATAATGGGTCTCATATTTCTCATAAACTTTACTTACCTTTCTTTAATAATAGCATTAATTTCCAGCGCCTGGAGTACCTAATTGTTGGTAGATACGTGCGCTATATAAGACTCCGATATTATTATTATTAATAAATAATGTTCTTGATCTACAATCTTACCTGCAGTCTTTCTCCAGGACGCTCGCACAGATTTCTTCAGCTGTCCAAGAGGTTTATAGACAGATGGCTGGTTGACGCTCTGAGGCTTGTCTGCTGCCCTCCTAAGATCCTGCAATCTGTGGATGAGTGCAGAAAAAATTCCATCAATCTATGCTCATTATCACAAGCTAATCGTGAAGCCTTGCAGAGGTTTTGTTTTGTTTTGTGATTTTTTTGTAAGGGGAGGAGGGCTAATGATTTGAAGCAATTGAGTTTATCAGATCAGCACCCGATTTCACGAAGCGAAGCGAAGCGACGCGTCGCAACTCGAGTTATGACATGTCGCAACTCGCAATGCGTCGTATCATCCATTTCACGAAAGTTGTGATGTGTTGAATGCATCGTAAGTTCCTTGACAATGGCTTAAAACACGTCGCAAGCTACAACGTGTCTAGTGGTCGTCGCAAAATAAGAAGAGTCCGTTTTTAGCCAGTTTTGTGCCATAAACATTACATAAACGAGATTATATTACCGAGGCAATGTGTGTAAAGTTGTAAATAGAAAATTCATTGAATAATCATGAATTAGCCTGGAACATTGTAGTTGAAATTTCAAAGTAGCTAAACAGTCCACTGAGAGCTCGTTTTCCTTTAAAATTGCATCGCACGGCCGCCATTTTGTCTTACGTTTTAACAAACTTAGAGCGGAGATCCGACGACTCTTTGTTGAATACCAGACGACTATTTACTGTACGCTGACTTAATACATAAAACAGTCACTGAGTTGTGCTATAAATACACATACGATGCATCGCACTTACGACGTGTTTTGTGAAGTGGATCGCAGGACGCGTCGCAGCTGCGACGCACCGTAGGGATACGATGCGTCGCAGCGCTGCGATGCATCGTAAGTTACGATGAGTTTCGTGAAATCGGGTGCAGGATGCTCACACGGCATAATATAAAGACAAAGCGTAATGTTGACAAAACTTAGTTCTGTTTTGTGACACCAATCAACAAAAATTCCAGAGTTAATTAGTTAATAAACTGGGTCGTGTGGTATGCTAGTGTTTGACTGTGGTGGGACTATCCGATTCGTAAGTGTGACGTCATTTTCAACTTAAACCACGTCTGCTGCACACGGAGTAGCATTGGAACTATTGGAACCGGAAGTACAGTGAAACGTTGCAATAACGAACACCGCTATAAACATTTGGCTATAACGAACATCTCTAAATTCTATTATACAGGCTGAGTAAAAAAACACGCATCTCAAATGGCAGGACCAATTTTTGAATGAATTTTTGCCAGTAGCACTTTCAAAATCTAGGATATGAAAGCCTAACCAATGAGCTTCCTTTTAGTACAAGAATCATTCAAATCACTCATGTACTTTTCAAGCTAAGGCATTTTGAACACTAACACAGTTTTAAAGTTCTGTCTAAGGATCACAAAAAAGGTATTCTTTCAGCAAAACAAAAAACTATTCACATGCATCCCTTTAAGAATTGTTTTTGTTTTGCCGACAGAACACTTACTTTTTTTGTGATCCTTAGACAAAACTTTATAACGGTGGTTGTGTTCAAAATTCCGTAACTTGAAAAGTACATGAGTGATCTGAATGATTCTTGTACTAAAAGAAAGCCCATACATTGGGCTTTTGTTTCCTAGATTTTGAAAAAGCTACAGGCAAAACTTCATTCAAAAATTGGTCCTGCTATTTTGGATGATTTTTTTTTAATAACCCTGTAATGCACAGTCACTATAACGAACAACCACTACAAGGAACATTTTTTATGGGTGTTCCTAATAACAACGTTCTACTGTAGCACATATTGGTAATCAGTGGTGCCTGCGCATGTGTTACACAGTCACTTACGAATCGGATAGACCCTTATTGCGATCAAGCAGCCATCTTTGAAGTGTCTTATGTTATTTTGATTTAGCAACAATGAATGCAAAACACGTCTAGTCCATGTCTGAAACAGGATTATATATCTGTGCAATAAAAGCACAAAGATCACTGCAGTGTGTCAATGCTTGTGTTCCTGCATGGCATTACGCCTGAGGACAGACAACAAAAGGAGCACAAAGGGGCCATTGATCCTCGAAGGAAGGTGCCTATTGTCCTCGAACGCAGGTTTGTGTGCTTAGTCTATGGGAGAGTGTTATATTACAGGGACAAAGGAAAACACAAAGCCAATCCTCGGAAGCATAGCAAAAAACAACTGGGTGTTCCTGGTACACCTGACCTGTGTTTTTTACCACACAAATTCATTATTAAAGGGAATGTACATTTGCTTTTGCTGTAATTTTCAGAAATAAATGGATTGGAGGATTAGTATGTTATAGCAAATATTGTTAAGCTGACTTGTTTCACGTTTTGGGCTTGTAGATGCTGGAAAAACCAAGAAAACCAATCATGTTCTTGTGGTCTGGATCCCTGACCCCACTGATTTAAGATGAAACAGAGCAATTTATAGACTTTGGGGAATTGTGAGGTCACAGAATCAGTCCGGCAGGCTTGTACCCCTTGTATCAATCTTATATATACAGGGTGTCTTTAAAAAAAAGATGACCATTTTTAAATATAAATTATAACAAATCTGCTCAATATTTTAGAAAACGTCATATATCCGGAAAATGATCAGGATATCCTCTTTCCAATAATGTCAAGTTCATGACATCATTGCAAAGGATGACTAAGACATCATTGCCATGGATGACTGAGCAATCATGGTTATGACCGTCGTCTATTAAAAAATCAGTGTGCTATTTCTGTCGACAACTTGGGAACAGGGATCATTACAACTAAACAAACAAATAAAACCAGTTAAAGGGAATGTACATCATTGGCTTTTGCTGTAATTTTCAGAAATGAACTAGTTCAGGGGTTATTATAATAGATCAAATATTGTTACACTGACATGTTTGAAGTTTTGTGTCCGAAAATGCTCGAAAAACCAAGAAAAACAAAACTGTTCAAGTAGTCTGGTTCCCTGACTCCACTAAAGATGAAATGGCTCAATTTATAGATGCTGGCGAATTGTAAGGTAAGGGAACCAGTCTAGATGGCCTGCACCCGTTCATGAACATGTAATCAACAGCAAACACAATTTGAACTGAAACAAATGGTAAATATGGAGCAGTAGTTGAACAATAGTTAGGTTTTTCCAACGGTGGTCGGCCGACCACCGTTGGAAATGTATACAAAAATACCATTTTCTTGAAAATGACTTCACACCAGGTGCCATAATTTTACAGAATGCTTGTGACTGTCATTTACCAACATCCTGGTAAGGTATTTCGTAAAAACTTGGTAGTTGTATTTTTCGATGTTCGCAAAATGTTGTATTTTCCCTTTAAAATGCATTTTTCACGGTTTCTGGCCACTGACCTCTCGTTGATAATTTCTTCGGTGCAATTGTACGGTATCACGTTGGCGTAAATGTTGACTGGCCGAATGTAGCCGACAAAATCACGAACCTGGATACACATCAATAGAAATTAAACAAATTCAGAATTAAAGATTTTTGGCACACACATGAGGAAAATCTAAGTTGGGTTTATATTGAATAACTTTGATTATTAAAGCTCAAACCTCCCAGTTCTTTTTTTTATTCGTAGGATTGAAGAAGGTAGAGACTAGCCAGCTTTTGCATAATCTCTTGACGGTTAGTTTACTTGACAATTTTCATATTCCAACATGGCATGTTAGCGTCAAAGTTCAAACAGTATAATTTTAAAAAATAACATGGAGAGCCTTCTCAGTATAGGACTTGTTGATGTAATATACAAACCAGATTTTATGCCATGGCACCCCAGAAATCTATTTTTTTTTCTAGCATCACCTAAGTTAAGACAGGAAACTATCATAACTAATAGGGCCCCCCCCATAAAAAAAAATCGGTCAACCCCACCCCCCACCCCCCCCCCCCCACTGGAAAATTGACAGATGAAAAAAATTACAGTCCTGTAAGTATAGGTTTAACAGAAAGTGCCTTTTTAGAATTTTTTTTCTCTCTTCACGAAAACCGTTTTTCGCGAGTGGCCTTTTATTTTAACGTCTTGTGGAAAGCGAATAGCACCAGCTATTGTCTGACATTGGTCATGATGTTGGCTTTGGACAGCGCCAACATAGGAAGTTGGTGTCCCTCCCCCCTGTTTATTTTACGGAGGCCAGAAGCCCGGTGAAAAAAAACATGTCTACCTTCATATAATGAAAACAATGTTTTAGGCGACCAAACACAGTGCAGAGTAGAAGGTGTTACTTTGCATTCATAATTTAACAACAAAAATGATAAGCATGGAGAATTCTATTTGTTTTCTTCAGGAAGGCAAGCATTAGATGTGGTTGACCAAACTTGGTTTGCTACTTCAACTTACCTCACTGAACGAAGAATGGAAAGAGAAACACAGCCGGTAGCGGTGACCAACCTTCCTGTTCACCATGGTTACAAAAAAAAAAGACCAGGCACTAAATACAGCGCGTGTTCATACTTTCACTTTTTCCAGGAAATGTTTGCAAAGGCTGAGCGTGCCAACACATCCTGGACGTCTGCAGAGTCATGCAAAAAAAAAAATAACAGCGTTGCTGTTGAAACCCCTCAGCCGAAGTTTGTCGAAAAGGGAAAACTGACATTCCGAACTCAAATATCATGTCTAATTGAAATTATCATGCAGAAACCATTAACTCACCACAGTGACCTTGACCTTGAGACCCCAAAACCAATCCCAACTTGCCTGTACCGAAGGGCAACCCCCTACCTAAGTTAGACACCAAAATCTCATTTCCAACTCAAGTTATCATCCAGAAACCATTTACCTTTAACTCACGATGGTGAGTGAGCTTGACCTTTGACCTTTTGACCCCAAAACCAATCCCAACTTGCCTACTCTCAAGAGCAACCCCGTACAAAAGTTAGACACCAAAATCTCATTTGTAACTCAAGTTATCGTCCGGTAACCATTTACCTTCAACTCACCACGGTGACCTTGGCCTGTGACCTTTTGACCCCAAAACCAATCCCAACTTGCCTACTCTCAAGGGCAACCCCCTACCAAAGTTAGACACCAAAATCTCATTTCCAACTCAAGTTATCGTCCGGAAACCATTTACCTTTAACTCACCACGGTGACCTTGACCTTTGACCTTTTGACCTCAAAACCAATCCCAACTTGCCTGTACCCAAGGGCAACCCCCTACCAAAGTTAGACACCAAAATCCCATTTCTAACTCAAGTTATCACCCGGACACCATTTACCTTCAACTCACCACGGTGACCTTGGCCTTTGACCTTTTGACCTCAAAACCAATCCCAACTTGCCTGTACCCAAGGGCAACCCCCTACCAAAGTTAGACACCAAAATCCCATTTCTAACTCAAGTTATCACCCGGACACCATTTACCTTCAACTCACCACGGTGACCTTGGCCTTTGACCTTTTGACCCCAAAACCAATCCAAACTTGCCTACTCTCAAGGGCAACCCCCTACCAAAGTTAGACACCAAAATCTCATTTCTAACTCAAGTTATCATCCGGAAACCATTTACCTTTAACTCACCACGGTGACCTTGACCTTTAACCTTTTGACCCCAAAACCAATCCCAACTTGCCTACTCCCAAGGGCAACCCCCTATCAAAGTTAGACACCAAAATCTCATTTCTAACTCAAGTTATCATCCGGAAACTAAGCTGCCCGGACGGTCTAGCCAGACGGAATTGTGGGGTGATAGCATTGTGTTCCCATTATCCCTTTTTCTAAAGATTCTCTTCTGGGGTGATGTTTTTCTATTGTGAAAATAGTGGGGTGATGTGTCCTGAAAGGAACATCACCCCACAAGTGGGTTATGGTCAGAACGGCCCTACGGACGGACGCCGTAGACGATGACAATACCCCTCGAGCTGAGTCAAGCCTCTCGGCTGAGGGGTAAAAACTGACATTTTAAAGAGCACTTCGACTGGTGATTAAAATGCTTTGTATGTGAAATCAGTGAATTCCATGCAGGAGCGGTAGTCGGGCTGTGCCCAATATGCCTGATATTGGATCATCAACCGAACATCCAAATAGCACTTTTTCGATTCACATATTCGAAAAACGAGCAGAGTCAATGAGATGATAAAAACATAAAATTAATGTGGTTTTAGTGTGTCAAATAACATAACACACCCTTTTATCGAAAGCCATTATCGTGCACAATTTGAAAGTTTATATGAGGACTATACGCTCAAATTTCTTCTTCAAAATTGTCAAATATCAGCCAGTGCTACCTGTTCTTTACATTATTTTAATAAGCTCTTTGTCGATTTTCGACAAGCGCAGGTCCAAGCAAACCCTGAAATGCGGCCAGATTTGGTTGGCGCATATTTAACTTGATCAGTGCATTTCGATCAAGTCCAACTTTGAATAATCGAATACTAAATTATTTGTAAAAATGCACAGCCTTAAACTTTAGCTGGTCCTTGTGTGGCTTATTCGAGGTGTTGTAGCGGTGTACATTTCAATGAGTATGAGTACGAGTTCTTTGCCATGAGTATGTGTATGAGTATTTTTGTCATGAGTATGGGTAAGACCACAAGATGGGCAATTTTTTCCCCATGGGTACGAGTATGAGAGGACAAGAGGTGTCAATGCGCCATTTTGATGTAAGGTTAAGGCACATAAATACCCAAGTCTTGTGAAGCGCTTTGAGACCTTTGGTACGAAGCACTATATAAGCATTACATTATTACATAAGGCGTACATGTGTATCATGAACAGGGCTCCCTAGTGTAATGTGGTGTCCAGTCACACGCCACACACCCCCCCCCCCCAACCCTGCTTTTCAAATTTCCATGACTGGGTTATTTTGGATTTTGGTCATCCCCATCCCCTACAACTCCCCGGGCACAGATTAAAGCCACTGCCTTTCCGTAAGTAGGGGCAAATTTCAATAGGTACACATGTTCCCCAGGACTTTGAAAGTCTTGCGGGAGAACATTTGCAAGAGTACAAGTACGAGTATTTGTGTGTGCGATATTCACAAAATGTGTTGTCAGACATAAGAACGTCATGGTCCAGTGGTTACGGTGTTTGACTCATGTACGAAGGTGCGTGGGTTCGAATCGTACCGGGAACATGGTGTTTGTGCCCTTGGGCAAGACACTTAACTACAATTGCCTCTCTCCACCCAGGAGTATAAATGGGTACCTGTGAGGGTCGAGGACCGATTGAGCGCTGATATCGGCTGCCGCGTGATCCCGTGGTCTGATGAACGGGGTAATAATTGTAAAGTGCTTTGAGATCATTGATACAATGGAAAGCGCTATATAACCACATTTATTATTTGTAAATAATGTTGGCCCCAAAATGTACAGAATAAACGTGCTACAGATTTCCAAACAAATTTACAGAGATTTTTTTTATCTCACTTACTTGAGTACATCCGATGGACGAGCGTTGCTGGTGAACCACATTGTGCTGGGTACAACCACTAACACGTTGGTGGCGTGTTGCATCGAACAGTCCTACAAGCAAACCAAACAAAGACAGGACGTCTAAGTTAACACACTTAATAACCTCAAGCAAGAAAATACCATGGAACTTTCGTTCAAAAGTATCCAGAATTGTTGGATTCATCCATCTAATACTTAGATTTATAACACCTCACCCCCGGATTCTGTATTTTGATTGGCCGAGAGTGAATCACATGGTATTTCGCTATTTTTGCTATCTTGCTGTGCACGGTCAAAAGTACTATACCCGTAGCAACCAAGGTGCTATACACATGAACCAGTATTGTGTGCAATGCATGTATGAGTGTGCGCGTATTGTTCCCAAGCGCTAGCGCGCGCTACAGAACCGGGTTCAAACATTTCGTGAAGGGGTAGTTTGTAAAAGTGCAAGTAAATGTTCGACCAATTTCGTATTCAAATTGAAGTACATTTTAATTGTATTTAGATTAACTTAATCAGTTATCACTTAAAATCATGCAGAATCTGTGGGAGAGGTGTTATAAAACACATATTGATTGCTTTATCTCGTGATGTAGTATTAAAAGCCTCCCTCGGTGATCCATGGAGCATTCTAGTTTTCCCTTGGCTTCTCCTTGGGAAAAATAGAATGCTTCATGGATCACCTCGGGAGGACAGTTTTACTACACCACTCAAAGCAGTCAATATTTGTGTAATGAACCACTGACCACCTATAATATCATCAGTGTAGACGTCAACAGTTTAACGCTGTAAAGAATCCTACCAATTACTTCAGGAGACCTTTTGGAGTCATTCTCGAATACTTGTATTGTTAGCTGTTTATGTAACAAATGTCCGCACTGTCAGGACACAGAGTGAATATAAGACTGTGTCTAAAACACGCATCTTAGTCTATGGCTGTGGCTATTCACCACAGCAGACCAATGGCACAAACTGAAGCCGAAGCCACAAAGTTATCCAACTCGGATGTGGCTCTGTTGTGAAGATACGTACCACGTATCTACAAGCGTGGACTTGGGTGCTTCTGCCGTCCGACGTGAGGTGCTTCGCTAGATCTGGAACCCGCTCGTATTGTGCCATGACGACAGGCGACACGTGTACCTAAACGTAAAGAAGGAACACAAGTGGGCTTTGACATTTCAGCAGAAAAATTGAGGTATACAGCAACTTAAAAGGAATTGCAGGAGGACTTATATCCCAAGACACTATCAGGCCTCACAGTGCCCCTCTTCACCAATATAGGTTCTGAAAATCAAAATTTAGGTTTGAAAGGTTTTCCAAGCACCAAAATAAACATCGTGCTATTTTTTCAGCATGAGGTAGCAGAAATACAGCGAATTGCTTACCGCTAGTTCTCCACACTAGATAAAGTTACCAATTTCATGCACTTAGGTAGGCCTACACTGACAAAATCGTTATTTTGGTAAAAATGAACCCACTAACCTGTGGGTCACATTGATTTTTAAAATATTTTTTACAAATTGTTGAAATGCATGCCAGGATAAAAAATATAGGTTTTTTGTAAGTTACATTGTACATACATGTAGGTTATGGTACCTTAAAAATATAATAGGCTCCCAAGCTGAAATACAGGTTTTATAGGTTTTAAAGTTTTCACAGAGAGGTGCAGGCCTGCAGTATTTGACCCAATTTTGATGTGCTCATTGCTGTCTGAAAGCATGTCAGAATAACAATTACAAGATTGTTAAGGTAGGACTCGAACCCACAACCTCTTGCCTTCTAAAGGCCCTGTCACACTGTCTGCGATCTTATATGCGCTCTCAATGCGTCCTTGAAAAATAGCTGGGGCGCAACAACAACTACTATAGTACTAGATCGCAACGACAACTACATAGGTCGCCAGATGGGCGCCAGAGAGTCTTAATGGTCTCAGATGAGCACAAAGGTCTTTGAACATGCTCAAAACAATCGCAACACCTCTGCGCTCTGGCCAGGGTGCCGTAATGAAGCAACTCGGGCGCTGTGCGAGCGTGAATCGTGCGACATTGAAGTGGCATTGAGGCAGCTTATAGGCGCAAGGCAGTCGATGTAGTCTCTATGAGAAAGTAACTTGACTGCGATGAACTTGTATAATATTTTTTGAAACTGGACGTGTATTGACCGTTTTGTCGTGGTATTTATACAGCGCAAGTGACGTCACATGAACGTATTTTGGTCGAATAGAGAGCGCGACGCGAGCTACTAGGACATATCAACAGCGAGCAGAGCGTAGCGTGAGCACAGTGACAGCGCAGTGGCAGCGACTAGATCGAGTAATTGGGCTTGACAGGGGCGCATAGAGAGCGAGTTGAATGCATCGTAAGCGTGGGAAGAGCACAGTATGAGCGTAGCTTGAGTTTCTTTGAGACAGAAAGTTGTCATTTTCTTGCGTCCTCGCTGCAATTGTTCAATTTATGAAAAATAATTGGTCGCCGTAAGGTCTCCTATGAAAGCGCATATAATGTGACAGGCCCTTTATGCAGATGTCTTTCTGAGTATTATGAAGTGCTGATGTAAAATTTAAAAATTTGCACAAACATCATTACAAACTGGGCTGAAAAAAAAAAAGTTTACAGAGTGTGAACCACACTTGCAATTTTTAATTTTCGATGTAGATTTTTTCAAATATATACAATCTTCAAAATTAGTCAAAGTTTGCCACATTTATGTGAGTGAAGTACAAGGACAGTGCAATTCTTTTTCTTTAGTGTAGAGGATTTTAAAGGCTTCAGAAAGATTCCTAGCACAAATGCATGAGGAGTTACGGATATAAAGTTCATTTAACACTGTACAAGTAAAAGTACATTATGAACAGAAATGGGTTATTTCAATCGATGACTGAGATGTTTGTCTTTACCTTTAAATTAAACTCCTTGCTGATCTCAACAAACAGGTACTCATAGCCATATTTGGCCTTGCAAGCCAGACGAACCATGTGGGTAGGACTCTGTTGAATCTGTCTGAGCAATTCACACAACAAATTGAAATTGTTTTAAGGAGCCAGACTGCTGTCTCCTAATGACACTTAAACTAGGTTTGAAGGAAAAGCCCCCCCCCAAAAAAAAGTCGGTCTCTGATCAGACCAAAGTTCCGGAATCGATGCGGCAATGTGGTTTTGTTTTGTTGTGTTTTGTCTTTTCAAGCTTGGATTGTACAGACAAGGTGGGTACTATTTTGCTTTTTGTCTCCTCATATACCCTGGTGTCCTCCATCATTTGGAGTCCAGCTGCCAATGAAAATTGGAGGTGGTGCGGTAATAGAGGGTGCTGCTGTGGCTACAACGGACAATTTGAAGAAGAACAAACATTGACGTGTATAATCAAAATTGATGAGCACGTTGACAAGAGACCGATTTTATTTTTTATTTTTTGGCCTAGTCTTCAGTTTTTCTTTTGACAAACTGGCCAACAGTATGAAATGCTTGAAGTCACTCATGGCCTTTCAAGTCCAAAAACGGTTGACACAAAATTTGAGATCTTTCTTGTATTTTATTGAATTATTCCGGTTTATGATTTTAACGAAAATTAAAATGGACTCCGTGCACGAACAAAAGTTGGCCTTTTTTGTGACCACTGTGCGTGGAAGACATATTTGCGTACACGCACTTTTGTGCACGCATTAAAGGATAGAGCTTAATGGTTCGGTCTATTGCGACCGATTGGTAAGATTATCCATTTCAGGAATCCTAAAATACTGCCTGATCAGTAAATAATTGTTTTACAAGAACTCATGGGTAAAAATTAAGACAAACACTCTTACTTTTCGACTAAATCCAGAAGTGCGTCCCGTGACTGCTCCTGTTATAGAATACAAAAATAAAAATCATCTGAACATAAGTAACTAGTTTGTTATATGGCTGATCGACATCAGACAAAATGGGAAAAAGCATTTTTCATGAAAAATTAAGCTTGGTCTGTCAAGTTCCAAGTTTAGATTGTTTTTGTGCAGACTCTGAATTTTTCCTTAAAATAAAACTGAAAGACAAAAAGTATGTAAATATTGGGAAGCCAAACAAGCAGGTGTTAATAAAACAATGGAAGATAACTACAAGGGCAAGTTGTTTAGCTTGGACACTGCCACATGTACAACTCTTTGTCAAAAATAGACACCTGAATTGCATGCTTGTGATATAGATGCTGGGAAGGTATATATTATCTGGGAATGTAACGATAAAATCAATCCCAAATACTTCACTAGTCCTATTTTTATACAAAACCACAACTTTAGGTAATTGTTCTTTCAGCAAAACAATTCACATGCATCCCTATGAGAATTGTTTTCATTTTGCTGAAAGAGCACTTACTTCTTTTGTGATCCGTGGACACTTGTAACTTGAAAAGTACATGAGTGATTTGAATGATTCTTGTACTAAAAGAAAGCCTAATGACTGGGCTTTCATATCCTAGATTTAGAAACTGCTACATGCAAAACTTCATTCAAAAATTGGTCCTATCATTTGGGTTTCTTCTTTTTTTCAATAACTATGTATGGAAGAAAGATTTTCAAGTCATCTGAGCTGTCATACTAAATTCTTCCCATCAATAATCAACAAGAACATATTTCTCAAACCATCTATACTTTGTAGTTCTTTCATTTACCCTGTAGTTTCACATTTCGTAACTCCTTATGTAAAAAAGAAATTCACCAATACTAAAATAGATCTGGACAAACAGTGAAACTTACCCTACTGGGAATGTACATAGCCTCCGGCACACAGAAGGTAGTGTCAACATACGCACTCTTGATGTCTTTTATCCTAACCAAATATAAAGAAAAAGAAAACAATTATTACAAATGTAAGGGCACCATGATAAAGCAACAGAGTAAACAGTAAAACAAATTACAAATTTATAAATTTCTTGGTCAAGGATTGGGTCGGAATTTTACGAAACATGTGGCTTTAAGCTAAAAAAAACAAATGGATCAGATGCAATAATGAACTTTTCATGACAAAAAGAGAAACCCCAGATACTTGTGAGGGGTTTGTTGTCTTTTCAATCTACAGTATGTCCCCCAAAAATGTCCGTCTGACTGTTTTTGAAATAACTACAAAACCATGAGGTCAATTTTGAAAATGTTTGGTCGTTCAGATACTCCTAAGCCTTGGCCTCAACCCCTATGAGTTTCATTTAATTTCAGTCACGCATCGCTGCACAATTGTCAATTGATCACAACAACATTTTTGGAAGCTGTGACCAAGTTCCTTGCCTTATTCCATTTCTGTACTGTGTTAAGTAAGCTGTGTAAAATCCTGCATGTTGTGAAAAGGGCTGCAGTTGGGATTGGAATCATTTGCCTGGCTATCAGTCATCATGGCAAGACCTCAGTTTAATGCTCAAGGGCAAATGATTCCAATCCCAAACCACATCAGCCTTTTTGTCACAGCATGCAGGATTTTAAATAGCTTACATAACACAGCACTGAAATGGATTAAGACAAGGAACTTGGTCACAGTGTCCAAAAATGTTGCTGTGATCAACTGACATTTGTGCATTGATGCGTGACTGAAATTAAATGAAACTCACAGGGGTTGAGGCCAAGACTTAGGAGTATCTGCACAACCAAAAATTTTAAAAATTAACTGCATGGTTTTGTTGTTATTTTAAAAACAGTCAGACGGACATTTTTTAGGGGACATATTGTAAAGGTATCCACAACTCATGGGTTCAATTTTGCATTAAACCTTTTCACACATATGCACATGTGATTGTGGCTGTGGAAGTAACGTTTCATACATGTGTACATACACACAGAACACAGAATGTTATTAAAGCTCCTGTATTTTGCAAGTGCGCCCTCTATTGATAAAAGTACAGTAAAGTAAGCCAACCATGCCTTTCAATTTAGGTTTTCAGTATTAGTATTACAAATGGCATGGTTCTCAAATTCTTAGAATCATTTTCTTATGATGCAGGCAAAGATAACCAACACTCATGTAAGTGAAGAATAATTTTCCTGAAAGAACAAGTCTTTGATGCAATGTGGCACTGAATCAGACAAGCCACAATTAACACTCGGATAAAACTTCTTCTCCCCAAAATAAAACTATTGGATTTATAGTTCCAATATGCCGGTTTAGTATTTCAACTGCCGATGTGTCGGGGACGGTGTTTCTCATATTGAGAGATAAGGTGACCGACCTGTTCCCAGAATGCAACGGTAACATGCGCGCTGCTTCTCCCTTGGCCAGACGGAAGTCCCCCGTGTACAAGACGTTACCCGCTTCCCCCTCAAAAAGGAACCTGTTAAAGGGAAGATACAACATTTGCAAACATCAAAAAACGAAATGATCGAATTATCACGAAATTCCTTACTGGGTTGTCAGGGAATAACAGTCTAAAGCATCCTGTAAAATTGTGGCTCCTGGTGTGCTGACATTTTCAAGAAAATAGTATTTTTTCCAACGCTGGTCGGCCAACCAGCGTTGGAGAAAACTGGCTTATATTTTCAAAACTTGCTCCTAATTTTTCATATTTAGTTATTCCGCATTTTCTTTGCAATTGATTACACACCAGTGAAGAGGTACAAGCCTGCTATTCTCTGACCTCACAATTCCCTAAATTCTACAAATTGCTCTGTTTCATCTTAAGTACGGGTCAGGGAACCAGACTACAAGAACATGATTGGTTTTCTTGGTTTTTCCAGCATCTGCAATATAACAATGTAATCTTCCAAATACATTTAATTCTGAAAATTGCAGCAAAAGCAAATGTTGTCCATTCCCTTTAATTACAAAAGGTAGATGAAAACAATCCCATCACATAATGGCACAAATTCATAGACCACAGTTTTTCACAAGGAACAAATTTCATCAAAATACAGTGTGTTGGGACATCAAAGCAAAAAGTAAAGTACACAACTTCTTAAACCACCCTCATTGAATGGCGGGGGGGAAAAATGGGGGAAAACACAAATCATATTTCTATTCATAAATCTGAATATGTAACAATGAGCTTATTTGTATACACAGAAGCAATAGTGTCCGCAATTTCTAATAACAAGGATCCACCAACAGTGGGAAATTTAGAAGTGTACAGAGGAAAGTTGTTGCAACAGTAGTAATGTAAGCCCAAAGTGAAACAAAATCTATTTTAAGTTGTCCCAATATATTCATCACCTGCTAATAAAAGCGCAACTGTGCAAATATGACCGTTAACATGAACAACAACTAAGAAAAATATGTGGATGTGAATCTGTGCTATTTCAAAACACTGAGAGAACAAATGTACTGAAACTGATATAACAATGAAACAATATTTTACTTCCTTAACCTGTATCAATTACTTTTGATGTTTTAACATGTATTTTTATGGATATAAGCAATGAACCAAATACTCATAGGACTGTTATTCAAAGATTTAATTTTAAAATCAAAACCAACTTGCTTTGTAAAAACTAAAAAATTATTTACGTGTTTAAAAATATCTGGCGGCATGAATCATATCTGTCACTTATAGTCCGAACTTTCCTCGCAGTTTCGTACTGGATGAGTTGATCTAAAAGATGGAATTGCAATACTTTTCTGCTTATTTCAACACCATTGTTTTTTAACCGATTTTCTCTGGATGTACTGTATACACATAAATGTATGCCACTATGTCAAATGCCTTCCTAACAAACTGTTGCTTTCTGTCAATTTGCCTGTATACAATTACATCTGTCTTATCTGTTATTGTACGTTAACAATAAGTAAACTACAATTTATGGACATATTAGGGGGGGGGGAATGAAATTTTTTCTCGATTTAGAAACATAATTGTAAGTTGAAGTGTGAGTTGAAGTGTTTTATTCCCCATAAAAATTGTTATTTCGTGATATAAGACCTAACCCCCTCCCCCTACAAAATACCCTGATAAAACTGTAGCCCCTCCCTTCTAAAAATAACACTCTTCTGTATTAAATATCATTGCACAGGCCTATCAAAAAAAGCTAGGGGGTGACCTAAAAGTTGGCATTTCACTGATGCGTAGGTACTTTGTGGAAGGCCCCTTATGGTGGATGGAACTTTGGCATCTAGCCTAGAGTTTTAAGACGTCTTATATGAATTCTTGCAGACAGGCATGGGAACATCAGAGCTTTAGCTGTCCCCTGGGAGGGGCAACTGTGTAAGACAGGGTGTGGGTGTCCGACAGACAGGGGGGGGGGGGGGAGATTGGAAAACCACCAACCTACTAGCTAATTGGGTATGGAGTCCCCCAGTGACAATAAAATGCTTCATAATACTAAAAGCCTCAGATTGTTTGCATCTCCTTTTCCAGAGTTGTTTGGGTTTATGGTTTATGACTTCCAGACTCCAAAATAGCATTCACGAGCTCTGGGTCAAAATACAAGGCTGGTTTTCACTGAGGTGCTTTTTGATTCTAGGAATTCTTTGCAAGGCAATGTGGGAGCCTTATGTGGATAGGGTTCATTATCCTTGGCATTCTCGTAAAGAGATTCTTAAAGGGTACTACCACAAAACAATGAGATTTTGATGTTGCTCCTTTTGTACAATCAAAGCAGAATAGATTAAAACCTGAAAAGTCAGCGTTTTTGTTCGTCTGACAATGCATGGCAAGTAATGAAATTTTGTCATGCTTGCAATGGACATTATTCACGAAAAAGCCATTTTGGTCGGGTTCCCTGAATGTACTTTATTAATTCTTAACTGTTGAATGGGATGGTGCCAGACTATTTACACATTCTAGCCTCGCTTTCATTTTTTTGTGGCTTAAAATACTAGGATGTTTAATCACAAATTTAAAATTATTCATCAGAGCAGACTGGTATAATGTGTAATTAACTTTATGTCATTGCTTTCATTTATCTTCCCAAGTTCCAACAATGAAGATTTTACCTCACTTTAAATTCAATATGGCCGACTCTTGAATAAGGCCCATGCATACTACATAAGGCTCTGCATTTAGTGGGTCCAAACTACATGTACAAGCTGTAATCCCAGGCATCGTTTGCGTCTGATTGTTTCCCTCAATTGTGTTCTCCTCCATTCCCTTTTTTTTTTTAACAAAGCGAGACATAGAGGTTTTGACAACTATTTAGCAGCAGGTCAATTGTGACTCGTGACCAACAAACTTCTTAAATTGGGTTCGAGTCTACTTCATCCATACAAAAAGGCAAAAGGTTAAGACTGGGTTTTCTTGAGCGTTACCCTTCAACCTTACATGTATACAGATTATGGAGTAATAAGGTAATTAATCATGGCCTACTCACATTACTGATCCAGGGCAGTGGCCTGCAGCCAACAGTGTAACAAGCACCTGTTCCTCCTGAAAAAAATTAACAAATTAATACAAGAAACACAGTTGTTAGCCAGTTGGAAAGTGGAATTGATCTGCCTGTGTGTGAAATTGTAGTGCGTTCCAACAAAACTGAAAAAAAAATAAAAAAATTCAGAGGTAAAAACGGAAAGAATGTAGTATCCAGACGCCACTTCAGTGGTTGTGTACAAAGTCTATGGAAAGTCAAGAACATTTTCTAAGTATTTCAAACAAAATTAGAACTCAGTCCCAGATTCATGGCTTTTCAATATTTTTGCAATGACTGACCTTCATTGAGATGATATATGATGAAAAAAAGTGGCGTCATGCTGTAACATTCTTTCTGTAAAACCTTCGGAAAACTTTGCACTGTGGACTTCCTGCACGAATGGTTGATGGCGCACTCATTCACAGCTTCGCCAAATTAAAAACAAACTACTGACGGAAATTTCGAAAAATGTGTCTTTAGACGCATCGTTGGAAAAGGCCTTCTTTTATTGTTTGTTTTTTTCAAAATGACAGCATGCCAGAAAGAATAATTTCACAGGGAGTTTATTACCATTACTATCTTTAAACTAAGTTTGCTTTTCGACAATAGTTTTGTCAGTTACTTTTTGGATAGCTGCAAATGATGTACTCTACCTTTAAGTTTAAGGATCCTTTTTTTCCTGGTTTGCCAATGATTAATGACTAAGACTGCTGTTTTGATTAATGCCACAAAAACACTTCTGCAACTTTCATTTCTACTTGGGGCTGAATCCATTTAATGCAAATGCGCAAAGTAAATTCTAAGGGTGACACACTGAAAGTTCAACTGTTGACATCATAAACTGTTTTTTCTTTCACTTTTGCTTTCCTGTTAAGTATGAGACCCCACCCTTACTCCAAACAAACTGGACAAAATAAAAATTACATAAACAGAAATGATTTGGAAACAGACATTCTTAATATACATGGGCCATTCTATAAATTTGGAGTCCACTTTTTTCCTGTCCCTACTACATCCGACATCTATGATTTTGTAATTCTAGATGCATAATTCTTCCTCCAAGAATGATTATGTGAAGCAAACGACCCATCCAACAAATGAAAATTAATTTAGAGCCTTTTTCTTAACCCTAACCGCCCTTTTTTTTCAGATGAGTGGGAGAGCATGTTCTTTTAACCCTAACCGCCCCGGAATCCTTCAAAATCCTCTTTGCCAAAATGGAGGAATTTGGAGGATTGAGGTTACATGGCAAAAGTGCATTACTGATTTCGTAGGATGCACTTTGTCAAGGTCTTGGGCCGGACCGTGTGTTGTTTTTGCTCAGCCATGCATAAATATAGGCCTGGATTATGCTTGAAATCCTCCGCACTGCTCCAGGATGTCACTGGCCAAGCCTCAACATATTGACAGTGATTGCTGGAGGATTTTGCAGGATTCAGGCAGTGGTCACCTCAAGAAAACTTGAGCTAATTTGTTATAGATTGGGGCATAGCGTTCTGCCGCCTTACAAAAAACTCCATATTGATAAAAAGAAAAGAAAAGGGCAAACATTATATTCGAATCATACTTTTACAAACTTTCTGGCAGGAAAAACTAACAATTTCAAATGTCCCGCGCTGCGAATTTGTCAACCATCTCCCACAATGCACTGGGAAAAATGAGCTCTCCGTGGCAAACTCTTGGTGGCGCACTGCATTGTGAATCGCCCGAATTGGAGGATTTTGCAAAATTGAGGCTACATCCTAGCAAAAAGGCCTCCGGAGTTAGGGATAGCCCTAACAGTCCTAAATCCTCCAATTTCAACACAATTTTGCACACTAGGGAGTTAGGGTTAATGACACTTGAATGGTAAATTACAAAATTCAGAGGAAACACGGACAGAAAAAATATCACATTTTGGACCGAAAATTTATAGAATGACCTACAAAAGCAATAACCAGGCACACACAGATTGGGTCTCAAACGCTCCTCCCTTTGCAACACTAGGATGAAATTTTCGTTCATAATGACGACTGTCACTGGACACCCATATGGCTCATTAATCACTGTGAAGAAAATGAGAAAGTGATGACAACTTGCCTCGCCATTGATCTCGTTGTAGAGCGCGACGGTGGTGGGCTCCTCAATGGGCAGACTGGTAATGGAAGACTCCAGATGGACATACCGTCTGTCCGTCAGGAGAAACTCGCGCGTGACTTCTGAGCAGTAGAGCCTGATGCGTTTGCTGCAAAGGAATCAAATTTTGTAAAATTAGGGATTTTTGCACAAGAATCATAAAAAAAAAGATTTGTTTTTAAATTTTCATTCAAATTTCTGGCAAACACTTGCTTCTACGTGAGCATAGAGGTGTTATTCCGCACTTGCCTGAACTTTTTTGGTGAATGTTTGTGCAATCTTGGTGAAAAAAATTGAAATAGAAATGAATTTAGGCTAACTGCAGAATTTTCCGATTTCATTACAACTTCGGTAATTTTAAAAACTTTATACATTATTTAAGTTATTCTCATTACTTTGTGGTCACTGCATCGCCAGTAAACATGTACACAACCCTATGGAGTGCGCCACTGCATGTTGCACAAAAATATGTCCACTTGAATGCTGTTTGCCCTGTTCACACAAGTTTACTCACCCATGAACAAGTCATGCTTTGCATTTTTCCAATACCACTGCACAAGAGGAGAATGTACGTTTACATTACATGTGTGGACATTCCTTTTTTTCGTGTAGTTACCCTAACCCCAAAATGCCTCCAAAACTGTATTTCAGAGAGAGGGGGAACCTTGTGTGGACGTGGGCATGTCCACACAACGTCTTCACTACCTGCACTATGAGGACATATTTTGTTCAGAGGTCCACACAGTGACTGCACTGCCTGTTCAGCACCTTATGTACAGTGCTGTTCATTATGGATGTTCAACATGTGATAAGCTTAAATCTCAATTTGGCAGGGGCCAAAAAGGGATGTTTTGAAGTTCGCAAATTTCAGGACCGTTTCGAGGGGTATGGGAAAGTGGTTGGAAATATGGGGGGAAATGTGCAGACTTTCTCAAAAAAAATTCTTTAATATTTTTTCTTAAAAACTTTTAATTATAATCTGAAGAAATATCTTTTGAACACAATTTGTTGGGTTTAATTTCAATGTAACAGGTTTTTGTTTTGCTCTTTTCTTCTCTTGCCTGGTTTGAGTTTTTTTTTGAAGGGGTGGGGGAGTTACTGTATACGAAGTATTTATAAGAACAGGCATGCATATACAGTATTTGAGAGTTCACTTGCTTAAATATTCTCATTAAATTGAAGCCACAGGCTGTTTTTGTCGGTTTTGACTAGCTGTGCTACGATGCATGACGCTCCGCAGGCCATTAAGAGCAGGCTCTCATTATCAGAGCTGGGACAGGTTCACACTTCAGCACTCACTGAGCCTTCATGTTCAACATCAAGCACAACTCCACTGCACATAACTCACTAAATGACAGATAATTTCCCCTGGGGGAACGTAAGCCATAACACCCTGGATATATATAACTGACAACTTTGATAAGGAGTGAAAGGTTGAGAATGTTGGGACCGTCTCATAATATTCCATATCGTATCACTTTCACACTATCTTGTTTATCACTGCATATGGCTGGTCAAACAAATCGCCATTTGCCTTTGGGGCTAACAACAAATTGTATATAAATTTAAACTGAATACTGTTTTATATTAAAACAATTTGTTTACATGGATACATTTAAAGGGGCACTGCGTCCTGAAATCCCCAAAATGTCATGCGTTGGATTGTTGACTTATCCTTTTTCGGGCATTTTGGTTGATAGGAAACCAACCTAACGTCTTACCATTCCCGAGAAAAGACACACAAAAAACTGATTGTTTACATCGGACACGACGGAGTATGCATTCGTTTTTCCAGTCATTTTCCATTCAATGTACGATACACGTTGTGTGTCAGATAATTATTACACACAGCACCAATGCACAAATGTGGTTTCTTACACGTCCGCAAAAGGCAAACACTTTACAGCTGGAATCACAACTAGCACGAACAGCCCGATTTTTGGGGGTCACAAATGTGGACCCTGAAATTCGTTCTCACACGAAATAACACAAAAACGCCCCAGATTGTTTACATCGGGCACAACGGAGTACGCACACATTTTTCCTGTCGTTTTCATTCAATGTATGGTACACATTGTGTGTGTCACATAAACATTACTCACAGCACCAATGCACAAATGTGGTTTCTTCCTTGTCCACAAAAGGCGAACAGTTTACAACTGGAATCATTCTAGCAAGAACAGCGCGATTTTTGGGGATTGCAAAAAGTGGACCCCAAAATTCGTTCTCGCATGAAATAACACAAAAATGCCCAGTTTCTAAAGAATAGTTGTGGGGATGTTTATATCTTACTTTTGAATGTTCTTTCCAATTAACATCATGTCGTTCAAAATGCATTTTGTAGCCTAATTGGGCATGTTCCAGGACGCAGTGTTTCTTTGAAAACAAGGGAAAGATTTCCATATAAGAAGTTCACTAATTTTCCTCTGTATTGACTAACAAGCCCCCAGATAGCAATTTCAAAGTCAATTTGAGCAGTGAGAAAATACAAGCATTTTCTTAGAAAACACTTAGAATTTTTCAGTCCAATCTCATAGGGTTTGTACACAGGGTGTTGAGTGAACTTCGTATATGGAAATCTTTCTAAAACAATTATTATGATGTGTTGGAGAGGCGTATAATGTATGCAATTTATAAACAAAAAGTAAGCAAGCTCCTGTCAACAATTGAAAAGCATGTATCCTACTATAATTTAAACATAACTAGTGGGTTAAGGAATAAAACTTGTGTAAACATCCAGGCTTTTAGGTATGTAGACATGAAATTGATGGAGCTTGTGAATTCACAGGCTTTTCCTGCTCGGCAGAGAGTATTTACAGTAGAATGAAATTACCATGACTATCACCTAGTGACCTCACAAGCGACCCTAGAAAACCTGTAGACTGCATTTTTTAATACTCTCTGAAGGCACAGGCATTCAGGGAGGGTGGATAATATTCTGGCTATGAAAAATGAGAAGCTGTCATCGGTTGACATATGGTTGGGGGGGGGGAGACCTGCTAGATACATTAAAGGGTGGGATGTTGAACTTGTGCTTGTGTATTTTCATTGTTTGACAGAACTGGTGAGAAACGACTGTGTTGGATGAGTCAGCCCAGGAGATGGCTCGTAATGGAAGGCTTGTGCCGATTGATGTCAGAAGCTTTGAATTGGGTTTGCAGGCAGAGACCCTGCAAATTGGAGGATTCAGGACTCCGACTGTTAGGCCGAGTAAAAAAAAAAAATAATTTCTAGTCCGGGGTTTTTGAAAAAAGGGAGGAAGCGGGGCTTTTTTTTTTATTTTTTATTTTTTTCAAGATGACCGCCTTTTCAAAATGTCCTGCGACCATTGGTGTTCCACTGTTCAAAGACACTTTTAAAGATGAAAGACAAGTTGGACAAGAGAACTGAACATATTTACAGTGTCATTTAGAGTTGTATTGGTATTGGTATTTATTTTCCAATGAATTTGTAGACTTTTTCGGTGTTTTTCTACTACATTTTTCAAAAATAATAAATAAATCTGGGGAGAACCTTTGAATCAGGTAGGGACTGAAAACCCAATCCACATATTGGCCCACATGGGAATGGAACCCATGTCAGTGGTGGAAGGCAAGCAAATGCTGCAGAACCTTTTTTTGCAAGATATTGAGTTTCATATATTTTTCAGTACATTTTCAGCATTGAGATGGCGATGTTATTTTATATGATGGAGGTGTGCATCAGTAATTGAATGGGTTGTCAACTCACCTTAGGTGAAGTCGCTGGGAAAACTTGCTGGAGTCTAGGCCCACCATATGATCTGATGCAATAAGAAAGTAGAAACGCAAAGTATTAACATGGGCCCGGCCACTTGCTTAAATCTAGTATTGCTACAGGTAAATGTATATTGGCAGCGCCTGTCTGACCATCTAATCTGATCATCTGAGTTATATAATGAAATTGGGGAAACAAAAGGTACCTTTTGCATTGATGCCTTTGTTTGATTTTTTTTAAAGTAAAATGGGGAACTGCCAACTAATGGTTGGATGGCTCAGTTGGTAGAGCACTGGAACGGCAATCTGGCGGTCGCAGTTCAAACCCTGCTCCAGTCAATTTCTTTGTTCAACTTTTAAAAATAATTACGTAATTATGAGAATAATACTACTTTTAGCAGCCATTTTGGGACAATGAATGGCTAGGAGATTTAGATCAGATTTAATATAGATTTAGGTCAGCCCATAAAAAGATTAAGTCCTGTGCACAAAAGTTACACTTGTTTACATTTCATTTACCCTAACTCCCTAGCATAATTTACCAGGAACCATACCCATCCTGGCAAATTCCAACACCCACATGGGAAATCACATACACACACACACTGTTGGACTTAGTTTCTGGAGGTATGCCAAACCCAATGTAAAAGACCATCAGTTTAGGGGTACTGTACCCATTCCAACAGATTTCAACAACACCTGTTGTCGGGCTTTGATGGGTTGAGTTCGGTTAGGGTTAATTCAGATGCAAGACCCACAATGCTCACATAATTTCAGAAAATACAACTGATAATTTAATTGGGAAATGTGTAGCCAAGGCAGTGTTTCCCCTGGCTAATGAACTGAGCGAGGTGGTAACAATTCAAGTTGATGATTGAAACGAAATTTATGCAGTCTGCAAACTGAAAAGAATGCAGCGCTCACAAAAATGCGCAATGATTCCAAAAACACATCGAAATTGTGAGTTCTTGATACATGGAGGTGAAGGAAAATGCTCATATATTACACAAAATGAAAATTTTTCAATTGATATTTCCTTTTTTGCCAATCTTCACAGCGAGGTGGTGATATTGGCAAAAATTGAGCGAGGTGGTCACTGAAAGTAGCGAGGTGGGCCACCTCACGTTTGAATGGGCAGGGGAAACACTGAGCCAAGGCAAGGGTTCCAAGATGGTTCCTGCAACTGAAATCCAAAAAGGAATGTTCAGAGACTTACCGGCATGTGAGTGGGAAAGAAAGTACGCTCTTGCTCTGAGAACTGCCGGGCCCAGGAATCTGTCGATTGCAATCTGTGGGTATTCCACCATCAATCCCCCAAATGTGCTCATTTTGAGGCAAGATGCGCTCTCCGACTCCTACAGAATTCAGATATTGTTGACTTTCACAACGATGTTCAAGTGCTGTGTCAAATAAAGTTAACCATGTTAACTGACGATTGCGTTGACTTTGTTGACTCTAAATTAACTCGAGACTAACAGTCAGGCCAAGTAAAAAAATTAATTTGTTAACCGTCCCTGCTCGCATCTTTTTTTAAGCCGCATCTTTTTATTTATTTTTATATTTTTTTCTCACCTCAAAAAGCTATTTTTACCATGCATAAATACATAGAACATTGTTTAACATACAAATTTTGACTCTACTTTAAGTAGAGTCAAAACACTTACATGTATGTTAAACAATGTTCTAGTAGGATAGCTAATAAAATGGTCGAGGGCATTTTGAATTGAATAGTTGGCAGCCATTTTTTAATTTAAATACATGGCGGCCATCTTGCAGGAAAATAAAAAATAAAAAGCCCCTAATCCTCCTCTTTTTGAAGAAACCCGGACGATCAACTGGTATTTTGTTTACTTGGCCTAACACCAGTGGTCGATTTTAGAGAATCTTCAAGGAAAAATCTCAGTTGTGCATGTAACTTATATTTTCTAAATCAACACCTGCCTAACATGTAGTACTATGTAACATTTAACACTGACTAGTATAGAGACCTAATGGTAATCCTTATCTTTAGGACCCCATTCCTGTATAAGGTTTAAGACTCACCAAAACAGCTGACTAAATGACACTCCAAAGTGACATTCTGATATTTCGTGACACATCTTAATAGCTAGTAATGACACCTTGAATATTATTGGCAGGTATAATTTTTTTGTGAAGACGGCAGGGCTTTGATTATAATGAGGGAAATTACAGGGTAGATGACGACAAAGACAACCAGAAAACAGGCTTAAAAAACAAAGACGGCAACTTTGAAAGCCTGATGCTGATTGGCTGATAAAAAAAAAAAAATTCTAATGTTTCTATCAGCAAATTAGCATCGTGCTTTCATGCGTGTTGTGAGAACTAAAACGTTCCAGCAGGTCTCACGTCTCTGATTGCCCAAAAAATAGGAAAGTCACATTTTCTTTGAAAGTGCATTTCAAAATTACAACAAACATGAGTAAATCTGAAGAAATAGTCACTTTGGTACTGGTGAGTCGCCTGCAAAATTGAGTTTTGTACAGAACTCTTAAAAAAGAGGAAGAGGTGTTCCAAGATATTAAAGATTACCTGGCCCATAGAGAAAGGACAAGGCTATCCTTTTGGCAACACTGGGAAAGATTGTTGCAACCTGACGCCACTTCAGTGGTTGTGTACAAAGTTTATAGAGAATCAAGAAAATTTTCTAGGTATTTCCTAACAAAAGTGAAAATGTTTTCAGTCCCATATTCATGTCTTATCATCATTTTGCAATGACTGATCTTCATCGGTCCTACTAAAATGAGTCAACAAGTGTCAACTGGCATCAACAAGCGTCAGCGGTTGTCAACCCAGCTTCAACAAATTTTGAATAGGTTTTTGAACATCAAATTCAGAAGTAGCTTTATAAAATATGGTAGTAGCTTAATCTACGACGAGTTTGTTGGTTGAGTGTTGGCCGCCACCTTGTTTCATGCGAGTCAAGATCAAAACAAAATGCGGCCTATACTAAATCGACAAACTCTTCATAGGTTTCGCGTTGCGTTAAAAAAAAAACTTTTTAACTGATTTTAAATTTAATTTAGCTGAAGATGTTCTCTTTCTACCATATAAAGCTACTTGAGGTTCTGATGTTCAAGAACTTAAACAAAATATATTGACGCTGGGTTGACGGCAGTTGACGCTTGCTGTAGTAGTAGGACCCACCGTACCTTCATTGACATTGATAGCCTATAAAAGTATGGTAATCCTTACTTTTAGGACACCTCTATTTTTTACGAGTTCTGTTCAAAACTGACTTTTGCAGATGACTGTCCAGTACCAAAGTGACTTTTGCAGGCTAAAGCAGTCTTTTTTTCTTCATGTAAACTCATGTTAGTTGTAATTTTGAAAGCACTTTCAAAGAAAATGTGACTTTCCTACCTTTTTTCACAGTCAGACGTGCATGTTGTAGTTCACACACGCGTAAAAGCCCTACATAATGAAAGCCCCATGCTGATTGGCTGCTAAAAAAAATAATTAAGATGTTTATTTTTTATCAGCCAATCAGCATCGAGCTTTCATTGCATCGAGCTTTCACATTTGCCATCTTGGTTTTTGAGTCTGTTTTCTGGTTGTCATCGTCGTCTTTTACCCCTCAATTTCCCTCTAAAATCAAAGCCCTGCCCTCTTTCCACAAACTTAAACCTGCTGATATTCAAGAAGGTGTCATTGCCAACTGTTCAAATGTGTCAAGAAATATCAGAATGTCACTTTTGAGTGTCATTTAGTCAGCTGTTTTGGTGAGTCTTTCCCTTCCTATATAGGAACGGGGTCCTAAAAGTAAGGATTACCAAAAGTATAATGTCTTCTAATTCTACCTCCATGGTCTTATTAATGAAGAAAAAAGTGGCGTCAGTTTGCAACATTCTTTCCGAGCATGCATGATGCTCCGCGGAGCATCATACTAGTTCTAGGAGAAATGGCCGCCATGTACTTACACTTTTCAAACAAATCTGCTGGCTGCAGTGCACATGGCAAGCAACTTTTTGCAAGGACGATTCCGCAGTTCAAAGATCCCGCGGCATGCGGCATACACTGGCATAAGCGCATACGAATCACGATACGGTACGCGATAAACGCAACGCCGCGCTGGTTTAAATGACACTAACGCCCATTTAACAGCAGAAATGCCGATTTTGCGTGCATAATTGATCAAAACATAGTCTTAGATTACTTTTGAATTGAAATGCAATGGGTGATTACAAAGCAGGAGAGGAAATTAAAAGTCAAAATTCATCACGACACAACTTCAAAAGTCAAGATCGATCACTCGTGGGCAGCGCCATTTTTAATACTAACTTCAAACGACCTATTGAGGGCGCATTTTAAGAGCAATCAAGCGAGGTAGGTACAGTTTACTCGACCGTCCGCTCTTAGAGGCGTATATCCAGCTTTTTATGGCGGGGAGGGGGGGGAGGGGACTTTACAGCATCGACGTCTGAACCGTCTTAAAATTGTCTTTAAAAACCAAACGCCGACGGAGGGGGGGGGGGGAGCTCCCCAAGCCAATGCTTTAATCTCTATTACAAAAAAAAATTGAAATGTTTAGGATTATGATATTCCTCACTGCTAAATGTCCACATTTGAGTTCGGAGTTGGACTTTATTGGGCAAAAAATCTTCTGTATCCGGATCCGATTAAAGAAGCCGAGGTTCTGAAACAACTTCATAGTACATTAGCCCTCATATTCATAAATATTGGGTGGTGGGCTGAAATTAATTTAGCTTTGTAAATTTGTAAACCGTTCGAGTATTTTTATGTTTAAATTGTAAAGAAATCGAACTTTTCAATAATCCCCTCTCATTTAGTCTTCGAGACACTAACTTAGTAACTTCAATCTTCAAGACGGGCAGAACGTACTTTATACCTGTGACGATCACACGTACGCCCATTCAAAATAGTTGTCGTGACCTCCAAAAATTTTGCTGAAAATATTATGATGACGAGTGACATCTTGAAGGAACCGTTAGTACAATGACCCATAAATATTTCTTGAAGTAGCGATATGAACTGACTCTTCTGACCTCATCATGTAAACAAGTGTCCAAATATTTAGCCGTCATACTACTATGAAAATAGCATTCTTGCGTCGCCAATATATCTTTTGGGCTAAACGAAACATGTCATTTTCAGAATCGCACGTAAAGCGTCAGCCTTATATTTTCAGTTTTAGGTGCAGAGTGTATTAGGAATATAACCATTTTTGGGGGGTGGGTAGACATTTTGTTTCAGTTTTGTTTTATATTTGGTATAGTTCCCATGTCAGCAGTATATATGCAGGCCGAACTTGGTTGTGAATGACAGCATATATTGGAAGGTTGATATGTCGTTTATTATATCACAGGCGGAGAAGGAGTTTTGTAAAGGAAAAATAAACCGGGGTTATTTTGGATTGTGGTATATGAAAACCTAGTACAGGGTCTTTAAGGTAGATTTTCCCTTAAAATTCAGGAGATTTAGAACATTTAAAAAATAACACCAACATTTCACAAACATTTCAACTTCCTGAACAGGAAAAGTACATGTATGGGTAAAAAATAAGTTTCAAATTAAGAAATAAGGCGAAAAAAAATTGCTTCTGCTTCCGATCACAATGCTTTTCAAACATAGGGTCGGTAGGTCGGAAAGTGGTTTTTTTTATTTCGCCGAAAGTGCCGATTGAATGGAGCATAGAGCAAGGAATCATGCTAATTTGATGTCTGGACTATTTGAATTCGCGCCACGAAAGTTATCGAGATCTACGATAGCTGAATTTTCATAGTATTTATCCAAATTCCTTGATCATCGATTGACATAATATGAATGCACATACATGTAATTATAAGAATTATTATTTTGTAAATAAAATTAAGTTTTTAAACTTTGGAAAAAAAGAAGAATTTTTTTTTACAATTTCTTTCAAGGTACAAGTGAGAATGCCCAGAGAAACAATTGTGATTGGTTAGTTTTTGGAGACGTTTGCTTGAAATGCTTATTCTGATTGGCCAGTATTGGTATGGTCATAATGCATATTCAGTAATGAAACTGGTATATCAAAAAGGGATTCCCAAATCTTTCTTCTTTCTGATAAGCTCTTGAAACATGATTTTTTTAATTATTAGATTTCAAATTACCAATGCAACAGTGTAAAAAGATGATCACTAAATTCTCGATAATTATGTGATGACCGGGAGAAATCAAGTTTAACTGGTTCACGGTCCCATTGGTTTGTGCACCAATTGCCTGGTTTGTTTGTCATCCATACCCAAGATGCATTGCAAGTATCGAAAAGGTTACATAAATTGCCGGGTCAACTCGCTAATACCTTTCAAGGTTCACACGTTGATGTTGCATATTGTCACTTGTCAGTTATTAAAGAGATAGTACCTAATCTAAAGAATTGTCGGACTTTTCTACACGGCCATTTCCCGATGATCACAAAAGTACATTGTATTGATCTTTTTGGCCTTCAAATGAAAACGTGCGACAGCAGACGGTGATTTCCAAACCTCGGTTTCGTCAACAATTTCACCTAATCCACGACTGCAGATTTGGAGCTTTTCGTGTGAGCCATGATGTAAATACTCTAAATTTTGACCCGCTACAATCATGGAGGGTTTTTGTTAATGTTTCTGATGCAGAACAGGGACCTGCATTAAGTCACAGTCCTTCAAGTCTGGCCCTTTAATGTCCCAAATCCCCAGTGGAAATTACGCATAAGTTTGGAAACCACCGTCGTATATATCATTATTCGTGAGCGCTTGAGTGCATAATCACAGAGGTTTAAACGGTTGAAATTCCCTTTTCACATTCAAATTCACATCCTTCATTTATTGTGTGTGTGGGATGTACAAGGTCTGGTGATTGGATTGGGTATACTTGGCGATGTGAATTACTTCCTTATTGCTTGTTGCATGCCGTATTAAGTTTGTGCAGCCATACCCGCTTCCGAACTTGCCCCGGTCTGCGAACGATTTATACGGATCGGAGGATATGGAAAGAAAAATGGTGATACTGTTCGGCAGCCAGTTGTCGAATGTCCTGTGTGGCAGTAGTAGCCTAATGGTCCAAAATATGTTGAAGTTGGACACAATGTCTTTTCCTCCATGGTCCAACTAACGTAGAGCATAGAGAGCAATATGTTGCCTCTAAACGTCAAGTTACATGGTTTGGGGCGTGAAACACTGATAGGTCGAATGCATGGGCAATAATGCGTGAAAAATTGCAGACATTTCATCCCAAATATTCCAGACAACTATTTGAACAATCAGACAAGACGACGATTGGCCTTGGATAATCTTGCTTGAGAGTAGAGGTCCACTTTTAATACCGTATTATGTACACAGGCCTATTCCACACCTCTATACGTACACCGATGATACCAATTTAATATAGGCCTGCGCCTGGGTCTACATACGACTGATGTAGAATCGTGATTGAATTCCTTTGAAAGCTCTGCATGCCATGCTTGGTTAATTTTTGTTAGTGGATTTTACCGATAAGATTTCCAACCCGTACTTCTAATTCTATACGCCGTTTCATATTGATAGAAACACGTAACAAGCAATTATGTCTACATGTTTACATGTACATGTACGTTGTTCCTTGCTCTTCATGGTTGTATTGATTATTGGAACACCTTAGCTTGTGGTCAACACAGCAAAAAGTCTTTTGTATTCACAGAAAACCTTCAGCTTATTCAATCAACAATAGGTTCGCTATAGCCTATGCAGTACCTCGGCGTTAGCTCTAGTCTAGGTACAATAATAGGCCCGACATGATGGTAAACCCACCCACAAATATTGTGTACGTCAAGTACATGTACATGTATACATAAATAACTACAACAGCAGGCAACCAACAAGCCTAAAAGTAAAACCGTATCTTTAGCTTTCTGTCAACTGAGTCGCAACAGACTTCTTTTTGTTGAAACAAAATTCCTGGCTTGGCTATCCGGCATTATAAAGTTACTGTTTATACCAAGTTCCCGCTGAAAACAGCCGCTCAATTCAATTAATCGTGCGGGCTTGAATTCCTCGACGCCCGTTATTTATATCAGAGAAAGAATAAAAAGCAAACTTAATACTTTTGACCAGAGCTATATTTTATGTAACCAAGTGGAGAAACAAATATTCTTCTTTTTGGTCTGTAGTGAAAGCTGCTAACGCAATGTTGAAATAATGTTTGCAGTTTGGTTTCAGTATCAACATTTACATTTTTTTCCTGTCGATTTTCTCGAAATGTCAAATTTACACAGAATGACTCATAATCTTTATCGCCCTCGTAAACATAAGGATATTTGTTCGGTACCGCGCGTGCTGTGGTACCCGTACACTCACAGCATGTAAGGGGAGCGACGCAACAAAATGTTCCAAGTTTGCTGTATGGGCATGTCGTGTGAAAATGTTTCCTTTTTTGCAGGAACTCGGTGACACCATGGAGGAAGGAATCCTCCATGGTAACACGTTTTTTCCCCCGAAAATCTAAAAATAATTAATTTCATGAGATTTGTTTTGTGAATATCTGTCTCCAAATTTTCATTTGGACAATGAGATTAAATATACCATGGAGCTGTATTTTATAGCTCCATGAAAATACCAACTACGTTCATGCAATTATTCACATACCAAAACAAGTCTCAGTTTATGAATACTGTCCCTCAATTAAATCTTTCATTGACTTCTCAAACGAATTTTCGTGATATATCAGACCACAAAGTTTTCTTCTAGTCCGAACTCTAGCAACGCTTCTTCGGGTCATTGACTTCGAAGCCAACATCTCCATGATTTTATTTCACGTTTTCCGTGATGGTTATAGCTCCATGGTGTGATGATCATAGGACATGACACAACCTCGCCAGACTCCGGAGTCAAAACATTTCACCGGAGTGAATCGCATCACAGCGGGTATGCCCGGAGGGCCCAGTGTGCAAGGTGGGAAAATCGAACAGAACGAAAGTAACTTCCCAAATTTTGTGCTCACGTAAAGTGTTCATCAGATTATGAAAACCAGACAGCCTGCGTGTGGTTATTGTGTGTGTTTGGTTTGCATCAAGGTT